TAATGAATTTTTAGATAGTGTAATGGTTCGTGACCCTTGTATATTTGACTGATTCAATTCTTATCAGTTTTGGTTTCTAAAAAGTTTGTTATTTTGAATATGCTTGGAGATAATAATTATACCATTAAACCCAAAGAAAGCATGTCTAGTAGATCCTGATTCTTGTTCCACCTTGAAATGGTAGTTGAGGGACATCTCTTGCATCCTCGTCATCAAGCATTCGTTCGCGTTCACTGCAAGAAAATCGCTCTCATTTTCATTGAAAACACACAAATTCTTGTATTTTGTCTCAAAACCAATTAACACTTGCATGACATAATTGAAATGATTTAGAATATTGTAATTTGAAAGCATACCAAATATCCACCGGGCTTGAACGAGAGCAACCTCAGGGTTGTGGACGAGGAAGGGGACAGCGCGGGTTAGGTAATCGGGCTCGGGTTGGAAATCGGCATCGAAAACGGCCACGAAGTCGCATTGCTTGACGTAGCTATGTGTAAGAGCTTCTTTCATAGCCCCGGCTTTATAGCCGTTCCTGTTATCTCTCCTTTCGCACCTTATGTTTATGCCTTGGCTTTGCCATTTTGCTATCTCTATGTCCACACCTTCCTGCTTAAGGCCTCTTTCACAGTTATTATACTATACAAATACAATATGTTTGCATCCCAATATGTAACGTATATACTAGTCTCGACTATATCGAAATCTTGTGTCATATATCTCTGTTTTGCAAATCAGTTAAAACTTAAAAGAGAATTAATTTATAGAAGAAAAGAAAAAGATAAACATTTTAGGTGAAAAAATTATGAGAATAACTAGTGTGTTACTAGTAATATACTCTTTTGAAAAAGTCTATGAAAAATGTTGTAAAATTCAAAATTAAACAGTTTCTAACTATTAAAATTGAAATTACAAGTACCATGTAAACAAACAAAAACAAAAATAAGAGGCATCACTTCAACTTGTTGTTTTTATATACAAAAAAAAAAACGCAAGTCAGAAGTCCAAAATTTAACTTTTATAGTCTTTATCAAACGCCTAACTCATTGAACGGAGGTTAACTGAGAATTTTTTCCTGCAATTTTTAATTTTTTGTCTAACTAATAAAATATGATGTTAAATATATACGTAAATTATGTACTTTTCTTATTTCAATCTTTCATTTTTTATATTTCTGATTATTAATGGTTGTTGACATTTTGTGGAACAATCTTTTCTAATCGATTTGGTCAAAATAGATGCATCTATAGTACATCGTTTTGGCCACCTAAATGGCCGATTTTTAAAACACTGCAAAATTATATAAATAGCTTTTTCTAGCATATATTTTGATGTTTATAAGAACAATACTTAAAGCAAAAAAAAAAGTTATTAATTATTATGTGTTTTGAACAAGCTACTTACCCTTACGACCGGATCCGTAGAATCATCTACAACTTGAACTACTAAACGGGTAGATGGCCATACCATACTGCACACTGCCGCTATAGATAATTGAAAAACCTACAACGAATAAATAGAGTATGCATCAATCTGCGTTAGTTCGTATTATATTATAACGTATAGAGAGTGCAAGAAATGTAATATGATATACCTCTTTTTCATTGTACATTGGTATTTGGACAAGAACCATTGGATAGTTTTCGGGTCCAACCTCAACATCTTCTTGCATGGCCTCCCATTTGTACACTTTCTCGGGTTTTCGTCTAAATAACTTGACGAAGAGTATCACAATGTTCATGTAAAAACTCTCTATGAACACTATGATGGATAAAACCAAACACAGCACCACCAAACCCTTGAAAATGGGAATTAGCACAAGACTTCTCGTTTTCCTCCAATAATATTGGAGTTGCATCCATTCAGATTTTGCAGCATTGTTGTCTGCTTCTAGCCTCTCGTGGGCTGCTGCTGCATCTTCAAGACTCCATCCATTAACCTAATTTATGCATGAACAATATCAATTAATTAATGTCACAAGAACTAAAAAATAATAATATGTATATAAACCGAGAGAGAGTTATATATGAATTACTAGAAGCAAGAGGAGACTAAGAGTGGAGTCGTATAGGAAGAGGAAGGGCTTCAGAAACAGAGACATTGTTGCTCTACTGCTGAAGCCCGAGGAGAAGCTTAATTTTCTTTATTTCTTGTCACAAAATGACCCTTTTTATTGACATTTTTTTTATTGTAATCCCTTTCACTTCTTACTGACACTGCCTCCATTTTTTTTTGTCCTTCACTGTTATGATCTCCAACTTTTTGTTTTATTTTTCACACTGCAATTTCAGTGGACGAGGGCGTTAACCTTATCGTATCTTCTCTAAGCTGGTAGCCACAGAAGGGAATACAACAAAAAAGAATCATCTCCACCTATTCAGATTTAGTTAGAAAATTCCCACGTGATTCATTATGCTCTACATTTCATATTATTTTTGATAAATACATTTCATGTATATTATTATTGTCTCATTAATTATAATAATAATACATATATTTAAAACCAAAAAAATACATCGGTCATATAAGGAATAATTTTAAAAAGAAATTAATACAAATAATAACAGGTCAAATATACAATTCTAGCAAACATAGTTATTTTTCTATTAATTTTTTTTCTGATCGATTTTATTATCAAGTGTTTTTTTTTTTTTTGAATTACCAAAAGATTCTGGACCGAAATCTGTAATTTCCCAAATTTAAAACTACAGCATGTAATACTAATTTTGTCTCAAAAACCACTCGAATAAGCAATCTCTAAACTTTGCCAATAATATTATCAAGTGTCATTAGCTCAGCTTAATTTAAATATGAAATATAGAGGTCACATGATCGGATTGTTCTTTGGACGAGACTACATAGCATCTTCGAGAATGTACGGGCTTACCTTATAATCATTAAAAAAGAAAATTAATTCTAAACATATAATCGTGACATCTATACTTTTTGTTTCCTTACTTTTCTTTTATAAAATAAACGTTCAGTTATTTGTTACGTGTTAACTTCTTTTTCTTCAATATAAAGATACAATCATTTCATTCTCACCTGTGTGCCCCTTTTTGTTTTTTTTTGTTTTCCATAAAAATGCTAAATGTGCACATATCCCACGCCCGTCCCAAATTTAAGACATAACCTTGCCCCCTATATATTTAGAAATGGAAAATTTACTGAAATCAAAAAGTTGAAGTTAACTTACTAAGCAATGATTAATAAAAATAATATAAAAATGAAAGTTTTGGAGAAATGCATCACCATGAGTATTTTAAAAATAAGTGACCAAATTTAGCATTTCCTTTTACTGTTATATATGCCACATTTGTCTTCCAATTTAGTGATCAAGAAATTAAAACTCTAATGAAGAAGAAAGTAAACACAAATGCATCTTCGTAAGATTATCTGTTGATATTTACTTTTGATTATATGTTGCTATATACTTCTGATTATATTTTGATAGTTTTGAGAAAAAAAATCATATTTATAAATTTAATGTTTTGTATATTTATATCAGGTCGTTTACCTTCACTTCATGAGTTCGTCTGTCCTCTGTGTGGAATCATGCGCAGGGTTAAATGGTCCAGTTGGCCCAAGGTTCAAAACACACAAAATTGACGATGTGTCAAAAAAAATTTGCTTCTGCCTACAATATTGCATTTCTTGGAAGAATTCATTAAACAAGATATAAATCTTTGGAATTACTCAAAAAAGAAAAACAAAAGAAATAAAATTACACGTTTTTTTAATGTTACCGAGAGGTAAGCGGCTTTAGGTGCAGTGGCGAATCTAAAAAAAATTAGTTGGTGGCATAGGTTTTTAAATAAGAAAAAGAAAAATTTAGTTGGGAGCAACTTATTCTTTTTTTACCACTAAATTAAAAAAATTTTGATTAAATTTATTTAAATTATTTTTAAAAAAATATAAATAGTAGGGAGCACTTAACCCCATTGAGCTTTTCCTACCTCCGCCCCTGTTTAGGTGGTACATCTCATTTGATGGTTAGACTAGGGACCAGAACATTTTAAAGAGTTCCCTCTTGGTAAACCAATTTGGCTGCATGCAATTCGTCACATATTTTTTTGGAATTGAACTAGATTATAAACTTTTAAGATTTTTTTTGTTTCAGTTAGTTCCACAGTTCGATTCATGCGAACGGGCTGGTCCTGGGTTGAAGCAGGTAAAACTCTTGTTTTAGGCGGCAGAAAATATATGTAAAAGTTAAGAGCATCAAATTTTGAAAATGTAGTGTAAATAGTACTCGATCATGGCATAAATGTCTTTCTGGTAACAGATTCGAATCCTGTGAATTTTTTTTTGGGTTTTTTTAATAATGGGCTATAATTTTTTTGGGGCAGGCGCCAAAACCTATTGGACCGGAATATGACGAACCTATTACTTTAAAATTCATGTGAACCTAGATTCTATGTTAGTATCATATAAATTGGCATGGAATGTCTTACTTGAAAATGTTATACTAAATGGATTCTGCGCCAACTGCTATTATTATGCGATGCTACACACAACACTCATTCGTTTGAGTCCATAAAATATAACATTTTCAAGTAAAACATTAGAGCGGTCTAAATGTCTAATATGTTGCGACTGTGACTTTAACAACAACTAAAAGAAAGTTATGATAATATATAATTGGCTCTACAACTTACTGAACATTATGATTCATAATTTTAGTTGATAATGGATGTAATTACTTTGCGATGTATTTGATGTATATTTGTGTCTACGTTCATCATGTAAGCTGGTACACTATTAACCAGTGTCAGTTCTTTTTTTTCTTTTGGTTTAAGGCGCCGGTTTGGAATTGATTGCTACTCTATTGGGCTTTTAGAGGCCCAGTCGTCGAGATGATTTTTTCACATCTCGATTCTCGTTACACGACCGAGATATTGCTAAATCTTTGATCCAACGGCTGAGAATCACTTCCATCCAATAAGATGTGAGAGGAACAGTCTGATAATCTCTGTATCCACGCGTACATTTAAGAACTCCAGAGAAAAATTCAGACATTCCTAATTTTAGTTGATTTTTTTTTTAAAGAAGAAAAAGGAAAAAGAAGAAGCGAGTTTGCCTCTGACCACCAGCTTTGTGTTTTGCCTTAAAGATCACATTGGCTAGGGTTCTTTCGTGCAATCCATTCATGAAAAATCCTGGATTCTAGCCAATTTCTGTGATTAATTTTGTATCTTTTACTTTTCCCCTTATCATCACCTTGCTTGACATTATCTTCTCCGGAAGGTTTCAAAACAGGAAATTTGGTCCTGGTAAGTTCCAGATTCGTCTTCTTGGTTTCTCAATTGAATTGAGCTCTGCGTTTGTGGGTTTGTGTTCGATCAAATCATTCAGGATTCGGATTGATCGTTCCTTCCTTCAATTCTCCCATATCGACATCGTTCGTGAAAAAAATCGTAGTAATTGCAGTGATGCATCGGGAGATATGATCACCTCCATCTCTGATTATTACTTGTTTCGATATTATACTTAAAAAGAATGTTACCTGTGAGAGAAGGGCTTCAGAAACAGGTTAAGATTCTGATTGGATTAGGGAATTTAGGGTTTGGGGGTTATAGAGGGATCCACTCTAGATTTACTAACCCTAACGGATTTCTCGAACCTGCGAGCTCTGATTTGTTGGTGGTTAACGAAAGGAGGAACCTTTCCGTCGTTGGTGCCGTCTCTCGAACTTTCTCGGTTCCTTCAGTATCTGGTCCAGCGTTTCAGGTTTGTGGGTATCACATTGATCTTTTGGTTTCGGATCCGGTGAAGAAGGCTCCGTGTGAATCAATGGCGAGTTTTGGTTCCAAATCCTTGTTTGTGGATCGCCATTTTGATCCTCTGGTTTCAAAGCGTTACGCTGGTGTGATATATGGAGACGGTGGTGGAAGAATCAGTATGAGACTCAGAGGAGGAAGAGATCACCGGGAAAATTCCACGGTCTATGGGTATTTTGCTTATAGAGCTGCGAAGAAATGGATCTCCTTGAATACCCAAAACAAAGGATATGGATTTAGAGGCTTGCATAGCTCGCTCTTTAACCGGTTTTCAGCTGGAAATGCTCCTGATGTCTCCTTCGATAACTCTGCCACTGAGGAACAGGTTAAGGATCCTTCGGATTCTGTAGCTGCTAAGCTATGTATTAAGCCATTGAAGCTTGTCTCTGGTTCGTGTTACCTTCCGCATCCTGATAAAGAAGAGACTGGAGGAGAAGATGCTCACTTCATCTGTGCAGAGGAGCAAGCGTTGGGTGTTGCAGATGGTGTGGGAGGCTGGGCAGAGCTCGGTATCGATGCAGGGTATTACTCTCGTGAGCTTATGTCTAACTCAGTGCATGCAATCCAAGACGAGCCTAAAGGATCGATTGATCCAGCAAGAGTATTGGAGAAAGCTCATACTTGCACAAAGTCACAAGGGTCTTCAACGGCTTGCATCATAGCCTTAACGGACCAGGGGCTTCAATCGATCAACTTAGGAGATAGCGGGTTCATGGTGGTCCGTGAAGGGCATACGGTTTTCCGATCACCGGTTCAACAGCATGACTTCAACTTCACGTATCAGCTGGAGAGTGGGAGTAACGGCGATTTGCCAAGCTCAGGTCAGGTTTTCACGGTTGCTGTTGCTCCTGGAGACGTGATAATAGCTGGAACGGACGGATTGTTCGACAACTTGTACAACAACGAGATCACAGCCATAGTGGTTCACGCGGTGAGAGGTGGTATTGATCCTCAGGTGACGGCGCAGAAGATTGCAGCTTTGGCGCGGCAAAGAGCACAGGACAAAAACAGACAAACTCCGTTCTCGACAGCAGCACAAGATGCTGGTTTCAGATACTATGGAGGTAAGCTTGATGACATTACTGTTGTTGTCTCTTATGTGGCGGCTTCAAAAGAAGAAGGTAAACATTGATGCAGAGAGACAAACTACAGATGTGTGATGTGTTAGAGTTTTTTTTTTAAAGGTTTGTGTTTCGCAGAGACCTCTCTTGTTTTGATTTGTGGCTTGTGAGCGATACTCCTCTGATTATATTTGATTTTTTTTGTATATGTATATAAAAGAGAAAGAAGTTTGGAGTTAGTTTAAGAATTGCTCAGCTGTAATTGGTTCACGCCCACGGACTCACAAAAACTAATAACACGCACACAGTATAAGCTGGTGGAGTTTCTTTGTCACTTGTTTCCCCTTTATCTTCTCACTTTGTTATTTGACTACATAGGCTATAGTAACTTTAAACCTAAGTAGTTAGTCTGGTGGCAATCATAAATATCTTGATATAATTCACTTACTTATTTGGTCAAAATTCTCATACTAATCAACGCTTAATACTTGAACTAGTTACCCACATTTAAGATCATTTTAAGCTGTCAAAAAGAATTAAAAGTTGCAATGACTTTGACATTCATGAACCATAACTATCAGTCTAATCATCAATGAAGGAGAATGTACTTACAAGTTGTACATCACAAAAAATTAAATTTACTAAAGCTTCTACTTTCTAATAAGCTTACGCCTCGTTGAAGAGAAAGAAAATTTAGGTCTCAACTCTCAAGTCATTTTGTAGTGAGAAAGATTCGAACACGATTAGAGGACCTATTGAGACATAAATTGAAAATGGTGCGATGAAAATAGTCAAGAGAGAGTATGTGTGATGATGAGCTCGCCGTTTGAAGATGGATCTAAGGAAGCTTGGATCCTTATGGATGAGAGACCGTCCTCTCTCACTGTGAGTGGCTTTTCAAGTAGCTTCACTCCTTGCTTCCAATATCTTTCATCTGTAAGCAGAGAATGTCATCAAAACGATTGCTATAGATTGTGCAGTCACGTGTTTAAAAAGCCAATCTTTGCTAATCTATCTACAGCTGCTTTTAGTCACCAAATTAAAGCATTAGTCAACAACTATCTCCATTCGATCCCTTTAAAGCAAAAATCATGGTTTTGGGTATACTGAGAGTTATGACTTATGAAGTCTCATACCCGGTCCTGTTGAGATCACGGTTGAGTTTTCTTTGTCCATCACCCAATCCATCCACAATACAATTCCATGGCATACACTGGGTTTGAGTAACTCAATCTGTTTGCAGAAAAAAAGCATTCATCAGATATGTTTGTACTTTGTACTAATGATATCTCTGCAAAACCGTATGTACATATAGTTTGTGAATCTCCAACTAACATACCTGTTCATCCCCAGAACATGGACCTGTGATGGGCTTGGAGAAGTCAAACTCCATGACTGTGAACTTCTTGCTAAGTCTCTGGAAATTATCCAAGAAAAGGACCACTTTTATCGTTTCCCAATGCTTGGCAGTACATAAATCTAAGAACTTCTGTTTACCTTTGTCTCTCCACATTGCCAGATAAAGAAGGGCAAACAAGGACTTCCTTTACCAGCAGGTAGATCACCACATCCGCCTAAGGTTGTATTCACCAGAGCATGGTCAAACCCTTCGACACTCCCAAGGCAACAACGACTCTTCCAGAGATCCTATGCGATAAGTCAATTCATTAGTATACAAGCAAAAGCGTTTCTGTTCTAGAATTGGTAAGAAATGATTCAGAACTTACAGGAAGATACATTGCACAACCTCTCAAAACTCCTTTATACGGCATTACCACTGCATCTTCTGACAGGACAGAGTCAAGTAGAGTTCTGTCCTTCCTTCACGCATACCAGAAAGAAAATCAAGCTATCGTTAACAAACTTTATAGCATCTTTGCAAAAGTTAAGTGACCACTCCAATAGCAACATTTACCAGAATCTGAGATTCTGCCACGGAAGCCCACTTTCAAGTCCGTAGTAATACGGTTCTCCAATCAGCAGATCAATCTATTGGTAGAACATAGAAACACGAAATCAAAAGGAAACCTGATTTAAGAAACTGAATGAGAACGGATAGGGACTAAACTAAGGGGACATAACTTTTCAAGAGTCCAGCACCAACCCATAACTTATTATGAATTTTGAAAATGATGTACATCACGTGAAGATTTACCTCGCCTGGATACGCCTCCGCCAACTTTGCCTTCCCTTCTCTGAAATATTCGAAACGATCTTTTGAAAAGCCATTTGCATCAGCAATGGCTTCCAAGTATCTGGCACCATCCTCTTTCAGCCCAGGTGACAGTGATAGTACACGCGATCTATTGGAGATATGTAGAGTCATAAGTGGTAAAAGAAGACTGTCATCAATGACGAGACATTGTGTATGAGATTTTCCCTGTAACTACAAAATAGGTGAAGTACATTAAAGTGCGCACCAGAATGATGGAGAATATCTGTATAACTATATGGATTGGAATACTGTTCCTTATTAGCATCAACAGGCCAAAATATTATCACAACCTTATGCAGTTTTCAGAGGAAAATTTTGTTAATGTAAAACAGACATAGAAGTTAAGAACCTACAGCGTTTCTTGTGGCCTCCAACATGAACTGCCTATATGTACTGTCACCATATATTGCGATTCTTTCGGGTGGTAATGTGAGGTGCAGATCTCCAGTACTTAAAGGAGACTGTGTCATCTCATGTGTCACGCTTTGAGTCTTCTTCAGATTATACAAGATGTTAGTACAAGTATGAGCAGCATGCAAATGAACTTTTTCTCCTTCGGATATAGACACACCTGCTCCTGGAGTAAACCAAACACACTGTTTCCAGTGGTCACACCAGTCTCTTAAACCTGCATTAGGAATAAAGTCAAATGAGACCAGTGGTCAACTAAATCTCGGATCCCAATGGAGCTGAATGTAGTGCAATTCAGGGTAAAAAAATGGATTCCTCTACAACCATATAACTGCGCGAGAATTGACATATATCACATGATTTCCAAAGGAAGGTGTAACTCACCTATCTCAGAATTTGAATCTATCCATCTGGGAGCAGTAGAGTAGAAGATTGTTCCTTCACTATCAAGCTGCAGCACCCACCTGGACAAAAAAAAAAAGATTCCTCGTTTGATTCTGGGAAAACAGGTCAGGTCTTGAGCCTTTTGCCTAGAGATCTTAGGTGGATTGCATGAATATGCATAAGAGAAGTGTATTTTCTTCATTGTAGAGTGTTAACTATTAGTATTGTGAAGATATATGCAGTTCAAACGCCCAAAAAGGAAAAGAAGAAAGCCAGTAAAGGACGTATTACCATGAAATTATAGCATGAATACTACCCTCGGTTATTGCTTCTATGTGCACTTCAAGCTCTCCATTACTCTCTGGCCGTTTCCAAAACTCAAATTCAAATATTTTGACGGGCTCTGACAACTGAACGAATATATGAAATGAGTGTATAAACAAAAGCTTATTGCAAAAACTGTAGGGGAAAGTTTGGGGTATTAATACCAGCTTGATCTCTTTCTCAATAGCATCGACATGCATGCCATATTGTTGTGACTTGATGCCAATCAGACTCTCCAACCCAGGGCCATCGTTATTTTCTAGATCATGCATGTTACATAAGAATGTACTTTCTACAAGCTTGACATTGCAAAGAGAAAGCAAAGGGAAACAATGTGAGAAGGAATATAATCAGGCTCAAGACAAACCACACAGTCGATAAAATTCAAGGAAAAATAGCTCATAACAGATCAAGCAACGAACCTGGCAATACGTAGTAGCTCGGTAAGGCACTGTTTTGGGATTATCGACCAGTAACATGTCATGAGCATGTTGCAAACTTGGGATAAGACCTTCACCAAGTAACTCAGAGTCCAATATTTCGCTGACCTAATCAAGAAAAGCAAATGAAAAAAACAGATTCTTAATGTTTATCTCGTCTCAAATTTCCTACAAAGCATGGAAGATTGTATCTATACTTACAAGAACGTCAGCTCGGGAAGCCATGTCTGACCCAACTTTCAGTTCATCAGATCGTTTGTTGATAAGGTTAATGTTCTTCGTCATCCCGTTCTTATGCAAAACCTTCCTCATAAGCTTAACCATCGGGAGGTAAGACTCACACGCCGTCACAATTCCCTTTGAAACATCACCGGACTCTTCTATTCTCATTGCTCTCGCAGCCATCATCGATAGCAACCCAGTTCCAGCACTAGAACACACACAAAAATTCCACAAATTCACATTCAATTAACCATTGGGATCAACATAAAATCGGTGAAATTGAAATCAAGCGAGTTGTGGAAATGAGAACCCAATGTCAAGGACGTGGCAAGGTTCGGTGATGGTTTTCTCGATTGCAAGACGGAAAGCTCTGTTGCGATACGAATCGTTGAGCATGTCGAGATATGATGTCGTCGCGAGGAGGCCGTCCGGCGAAGTTTCTGGAGCTCCGGTCTGGTCATTCTCTTCGATGACAATCCACTCAGAATTGCCGGTGAGAGGGTCTTGCCTGAGCTGGAAGACGCGTTGACTAGATTGTGAGCTCATGGTTCGAGTAGCGACGGACCTTAGACGAGTCACTGAGTGACACCGGAAGGAGAGGAAAGGAACGAAGGGTTTGGGAACAAGAGACAGTGACGTCATGAACGGAGCTAAGGTTTTAGCCACCGTGAGGTTCGTGACTCGTGTCGCGTGTAGAGATTTTTGCCGTCAATTTCTGTTTTTTTATTTATTTAAGGACCCCTATGATATTCTTTTTATTTCAAATGAGCACCATAGTTTACTAAATTTACTATTGAAATGTTCCTAAGTGATGCCATGTCTATTGAAGTACAGACATGTAGGAAATTTAAATGCCCATTTATACTCATCTTTCTATTTTTATGTATCTTTTGAAAGTGATTACAGATTAAATATCCAAAAATTCTCATCAAAAACTCTCTTACTTCATGCCAAGAAAGAAAAAGTTCTAGCTAATTTGGTCAAAAATTTTAATATTCTCTTATACAAAAAGTTCTATAAATCATAATTGTGTTGTAAGAAAAAAGGTACAAAATTGTCAAGTCAACAATAAACCTCCGCAATGAAATAAAGATTATACTAAATCGTAACTTACAGGAGTTAAGGGGTTAACTCAGAAATACAAAAAATTTGCGGGGTTAAAATAGAAGTACACTCACAAATTTTATGTTGGGTAAAACTTTGCCCGGACTATTTTCCCCATCAACCCAACTTAGAAATCCAGTTTTCGAATTTGATCGGCGATTTGAAATTCCGAACGTAAAAATCAGAGACACGAAAATGGTGGGAGCGAATCAGGCGTGTATCTTCTGTCAGATCGTGCGCAATCCTTCCTCCACTCGTCTCCTTCACACTGTAAGTTCTTCCTCCTCTAACGCTAATTGAAGTGTTTGCTTACGTTTTTTCGCTGCGATCAAACGGTGTCTCTGAATTGCTGGGTTTTTATTTATTTTTTTTTTTCAGGATGAGAAGGTCATCGCGTTTCAAGACATCAAGCCAGCCGCCCAGAGGTTTGTCCATTTACTCGCTTTGGTTCTATTGATTTTTCATTAGATTCCTTTAGCAAATCAATGTTCAGCTATGGATTCGTAATCGTTTGGTTTTATGAAGATGACGATGTAACGGAACGAGAATATGAAATTCTCAATCTATGGAAACAAGTGCTGCTAAAATTAGTGGTTGTTAGTTTCATGTGAATTGAGTTTGATACCTTTAGCTTGGCTATCTAATGTAATCACTTGCATACCCTTGCTCGATTAGCTGCGATTTAGTATTAAGAACTAAAACACTGATGTAGGCATTACCTGGTGATACCAAAAGAACACATTCCAACAGTGAGAGACCTTCAGAGAAGAGATGAAGATTACTCACTGGGTTGGTCAGCAAAACATAGTACATCATTTTCTGTTAAACCAATGTAAATTTTTGATAAGGATGTTCATTTTATGATTTGAGCAGTAAGTCAAATGCTAAGTGTGGGACAAGAACTGCTGCTGAAAGACGCACCTCAAACCATACATAAGTGAGGCTTCTTGGTTACAAACACGATATGGTGATGTTTTGTAATTGCAAATGATGCTTGTGTAGCATTAACATGATCTGAGCTTCCTCACAGATTTGGTTTTCACCAGCCGCCTTTTAACAGTGTTGATCATCTCCATCTTCATTGCTTTGCATTACCTTTTGTCCCCAGGTACGGATATGATTTTCTTGGGAAATTCTTTGCATCTCGCTTACTTTCTATGGCCTGAAACTGCAAATAAGCTTTCTTATCAAACATTTGACATCAAAACAGATGGAAAGCCATCAAGTACACGTCTTTGGGACCTTTTGGTGGTTTTATCGAAGCAGAGACACTTCTGGAGAAGTTAAGGCCTCACGGTTCCCTTCATTCAAAGGTGTAACTGAACCGGCCTACCTGACTTCATTCCGGTGCTTCTCTTCGCTGATTTTGTGCTATATCTCTTTTCTATTCTTTTGCTGGCAAATCTATTATAGAATGCCAAATATTATTGTGGATTTTTGTATGGGAGAAGGACGTGTTGAGTAATATTATGTAATTTCTGGCGCTGACCAATAGTTGTAGGCAGTGAAGCCATTCTCATTTTTTCCATACTTAATGTATAGAAATGTAGACATGAAAGAATCGGATATAATATTGCAGTAACTGCCATAAGATATAGACTTAACTAGAGATTTCATATAGTATCGCTGATATATGTGGGCCTTCTTGTGTTGTTTTGATGCCCTGACGTCTCTAAATGTAGGGAGGTAATGGTTGTATTCACGAGATTATCATCCTCGGACTCCAACTTAACTGGTGCAGATGTGTTCTTGCAACAACATAGTTATCCACAGAGCAGGTAACCAAGTCTTGAATAAACTTCTACGTTAGTAATGACCTTTTTCTGTTGTGATCTTGTGAGGTAGTAATATTGTATTTCATGCTAACAAATCTTAGAAGTTATTTAGAACTGTGATACGAGAACACTAGAGAGTAAAAACCTCATAGGGCCTCAAGTTTCAGACTATCGCCTAAACTTGGGCGGTTCTGATTACTGGTTTTTCCTTTCAGGGGATCCTTAGGTATCAGTAGTACGGATTATAATTTGATGACATCACAACAAAAAACCTGAGCTTAGCTAAGTAGTAGATGCCACTGAGACAAATCTTCTCTGTTCACAAGCAACTTGTGTAGTTAGATAGAAGTACAGCTTGCAGTTTTAAATGCCTTTAGCTTCTTTAGTTGATATTGTAGCTACGGGGTTACTGTTTCCGAGATCAAGTACAAATAAGAGATTTGTTATGGTATAATATTCTGGTGACGTTTGATAGGAATCACTGGACCTCAAAAATGTAAGCTAAGAAACAATAAGCTTAGGGATTGAAATTCTTGATTTGACATTGGCTTGAAGGATTTAGGCCCACAAATTATAAGCTGTTTTGGATGGATTTACTGGTAATCCTCAACCACCCCCGTCAAATACCAACTCTTTGTTTGGTTCTTGCTCTGTTTTTTTGTTAATAAATTCTGCATACGACATATACACATCTTATTTTCCTACATTTTTTAAATGGGTTGGTCCTATCCTTGCATGTTTTTGTATTTGTAATGCCTTTGAACAAAGTAGCAGGTGATCATGCTCTTCTAAAGCAGATAACTTTTACAATAAAAAAAAATATCAATTTGTTTTGTTCATTGGTAATGATTATAGATGAAGGGGTTGGTGAGTTCGTCTTTTTCTCTGTGTGGTAATACAACTTTTAGGTTTCTTAATAGTTAATACTATGTGATTATTTCCGATGTCTCATCATTTTGCTACCGTTGTGTCACCTTATGATACTACCTTTCTAAGTAGTTTATTGGATCATATATTCGCAGATTAACCACATGAAATGTATACAATTATGGAAATAAGTGGTCATCTCATGTATCAATTTGCTTTTTTATTGCATCAAGTCTCTAATAGCTTTTTGTTTATGGTGACACAAGAAAGCTAAAAAGCTAAAGCTGGCTCCTGTGAGTTGTGAGGAGAACAGCTCTGGCGAAGAAGACAGCAATGAACCCTTTTCTTCTTGGAGTGACGGCCAAATTTATTGGCTTTTTTCCCAGAATATTACAATTACGTCACTCTCAAGTTTCAACCCTGAAGACTCAGGTATGCCTTTGCGTCATTGGTGCCTTCTTCTCGTTTTTTGTTTTTTCGAGTACAGCTAATTTAATTTTTCTTACATAATTTTTCGAAATCGCCTCTCTGTTAACAGCTGTATCCAAAAAATTGAATTTAAAAATGTTTTTTGTTTAAAGAAAACTAGAAGAGTCCATACTCTCTCTTTAATTAAGAGACGACGAGTCCATATCCAAAACATTGACACGGTTTCGTTTCGTTTTTCAAAATATCCAATACTTTTAGTAAAAGATAATGCAAGTATTTATTTGTTTTTAATTTTCCAAATTTTCAATGCGTTCTTTTGCGAAACTTATCCTGTGTAAACTACTTTTCGTATTGTAAAAAAAGAAAGAAAAAGAAAGAAGTATCGGCTTGTGCCGGAGGAGGTTGGTGATTTTTATAGGTCCCTTGGTAGTAGTAGCCTTGTGTCGTCTAGCGATTCTCTACCTAATTTAGCCTCAATAAAAAAAAACATAGCCATTAGCATTTACATTAATGTTTTTAATTGTTATCTATTCAGTATTATGATGAATCTTCTTTTGTGATGATTGATTAGTTTAGAATAGTTAGTTTAGAATATGTTCATAAAAGTGCTTCCAAATCATTATATGTATTCTAACAAGATATACTTGTTTGGGATAACACAATGCATCTCTTTTGGTCATATATCTTTCACAAATTAATATAATATTTGATATCATCAATCATAACATGCATTTGTATGAAAATTAAAAAGTTTCGCTGCATAATAGATTAGTCAATCCTGCTAAAATAAAATAAAAACATTAGGTTAGTCAATCACTCGATAACGGCGGTGTAAAATGCTTTAGTCGGCTTGAAATAGACTAATCTTTGTTACAACCAGTTATGCGGTCGGCTAAGTGGCTTGGTTCGGTTCGATTAGATGTTTGATTAATTGGTGAGATTAAATGTTTGGTCAGATTTTATAGATCTCTGTTAATATGATCAAGAGAAGAACTATGTAGTATAAAGTTAATTGTTATTTTGGACCCCAAAATCTGATTTTAATAAATTGTAGTGATAATTCAGCAATTTATAAAGTAACAAAAAAAATAGATAGCTTAAAAATAGTAAATTGTCAGGTGACATTGTGACAATACCGAAGGAGAGTTTAAGTTGTGTGCGGAGGAGAGCAAGCTACACGTACCTTTCTCTCTCTACTCCTTTACCCTGTCCATGGCAAATATCCCACCTGGCTTGTCTATGTGGCCTAGACACTATTTTCCCTTATTTTTAACATTTTCCAGGAAAATATTTATGGTATTTTATGGTCTCAACTTTAAGGCATTGATATTAATTTTGAGATATCAAAATAGTCCGAAGGTGTGGATGTTATAGCCAATTAAATGATTGACATTGAACTCTAATTGGAACCTAAATAGGAGAAAAAGACGTAGATATATACTACTAATAAATAAATGTATGGTTGCATGCAAACTCAACCATCTCATCAATGGAGTTGACTTCCCATCATCAAGTTTCACCATACGACAGCGTTTTCTCTTATGTATTGGTTTAGTTTCGTGTCAAAATCCATTGCTATGTCTAGTACTCTGCATGCCACGCTCATCAAAGTCTTTTCTTTTCAACTATCACTGAAATGTTTGCCAAAAAACTAATGTGTTTTATATTTTTATATCATTCGTTTGCATATAATTGCCTTTTTGGTGTAAACTGTTTTCATAATAACCATAGAATTAATGTTTTATCTAATGATCATTTCCCCTTGCTCTGTCCTATAAACATAGGACCTCCTCTGCTTTCAAATTCAAAACCATTTTCCTTGGAGCCAATGTTTTTTTTATCCACCATGAAAACATGCTGCATCTTCTTCCTCTACTTGGCGATTCTCCAACACTCTTTCTACTTCTCTGTTTCATCATCACCTCTTTTTCTTCCTCTCTCTCACTCTCTCTCAACCTCCAAACACTCTTTATCTCCTCTCCACCTCCTCAAATCATCCTCCTCCCGCTCCTCCGCACGCTTCCGCCGCCACCACAACCACCACCATAAACACCAAAAACAACTTCCTCTCCCTCTCTCTTCCGGCAGCGATTACCTCCTCTCCCTCTCCGTCGGCTCCTCCTCCTCCTCCTCCGCCGTCTCCTTCTACTTAGACACCGGAAGCGATCTCGTCTGGTTCCCTTGCCGTCCTTTCACTTGCATCCTCTGCGAATCCAAACCACCTCCTTCCCTCTCCTCTCTCCCCTCCTCCGCCACCACCGTATCCTGCTCCTCCCCTTCTTGCTCCGCCGCACACTCTTCCCTTCCCTCCTCCGACCTCTGCGCCATCTCCGGCTGTCCGCTCGACTTAATCGAAACCGGAGAATGCAACAATTCTTCCTACCCTTGCCCGCCTTTCTACTACGCTTACGGTGACGGCTCTCTAGTAGCACGGCTTTTCTCCGACTCAATCTCTCTCCCTCCTGCCTCCGTCGCTAATTTCACCTTCGGCTGCGCACACACCACTCTCGCCGAACCAATCGGCGTCGCTGGATTCGGCCGTGGACGCCTCTCTGTTCCCGCTCAGCTCGCTGCTTACTCCCCACACCTCGGTAACAGCTTCTCTTACTGCCTCGTCTCTCACTCGTTCGACTCCGACCGTCTCCGCCGCCCGAGTCCACTCATCCTCGGCCGCTTCGCCGAAGAAAAAGAGAAACGTGTCGGAACAGAGGACGGCGATGATGAGAAGAAGAAGAAGATCGAATTCATCTACACGGAGTTGCTTGACAATCCAAAGCATCCCTACTTCTACTCTGTTTCCCTCCAAGGAATCTCCGTCGGAAAACGGAATATTCCTGCTCCGGCGATGCTTAGACGAGTGGATAGATTCGGTGGCGGAGGAATTGTCGTCGATTCAGGGACGACGTTCACGATGCTTCCGGCGAAATTCTACAACTCGGTGGTGGAGGAATTCGATAGCCGGGTCGGGCGGGTTCACGAGCGGGCTGATTTGCTCGAACCGAGTTCCGGTATGAGTCCTTGTTACTATTTGAATCAGACGGTTAGAGTTCCAGCTATCGTTTTGCATTTTGCCGGGAATGGATCCAGTGTTACGCTTCCCAGGAGAAATTACTTTTATGAGTTTATGGACGGTGGAGATGGTAAGAGAGAGAAGAGGAGAGTCGGATGTTTGATGCTGATGAACGGTGGAGATGAATCGGAGCTTCGAGGTGGGACCGGGGCGATTCTGGGGAATTACCAGCAACAAGGGTTCGAGGTGGTGTATGATTTGTTGAACCGAAAGGTCGGGTTCGCCAAGAGGAAATGCGCATCTTATTGGGATACACTCAACCAGGGCTAACATGCGCCTAATCCAAAATCTTAGCTTGAATCTTTAAAATAAGCCCGTTCTTGGTTCGACCTTTAAACCGGATGGGTCTTATCGAACGTTAAATAGATGTAGCCTTAATAATTCGATGAAACCATCCTCTAAAAGTAAATACAGAAGGGTATGTAATCGAGCGGGTTCGTAACGTTGTCGATATAGTTTTTTATTTATTAAATCAATATGAAATTTTCATATTGTGCACATATATTATGAAAACAAAAGAAAAGCTTCCTTTACTAATTGTTTTTTAAAATCGAAACCACCTAAACTTTCTGAATGTCATAATTTTAAGGGTTGTTAATGATATGATCTGTTAGCTAGGTATCGCTTTAACAATTAAATGAGAGCCAATTTTATTATAGAGAGATTTAGGAAATACTCCTTTAAGGGGTCCAAATTAAGGGGACGGAACCAAATTTTCTTTTATGGGCGATAGTAACAAATGATGTCGGCAATCTAGGCGTTACTTTCTATTATCTATCAATTGATAATACTCTAAGTAATAATTCATAAAGTGTTGCTTGGTAACCTTTGACCAAAAAAAAAGTTTTGCTTGGCAACCAAATCAATTATTATACCATAGTCCATAGCTACAAGTGATTAAAAAATGTGTTATTTGTTAAGATATATCACTGTCTTGATGATAGACATTTAACAAGGGGAAACAAACAAGTAACCATCAATAATTTGGCATACTGTCACTACCGAGTTGGAAGAGAAGATTGGCTAGCTTTATTAATCACTTATGATTGTGAGTCGATGATTAGACTAAGGACTGAGAGGTGAGGACACGTGGCGATGGTTACGACCAGCAAGACAACAAGCAGCCTTTCTAATACGATATCGCACAAGTCGTTAATTACTCTAATTTTTAATTTGCATTTCAACTTACTGAAATGTAATTTTTTTTTTTGTTTTGCATGTTTAAAACTTCAAGAGGGATTGGCTCGGAGTATGGAGACAGCTAGCTGTAATCCACACAGCACACGTGTGCGTCTAGATATTTGACACTTGAATAAACAACTGAAAAATATCCAATGCGAATACAAATTACAAAAGTGATATCGCTTCCGTACAATCATATACTCCCATTACAACCCCATTACAAAATATTTTTCTTTTTTTTTCTCAGTGGATAAGCAGACTAGACCACATCTCTCAGTCTCAAGTTTTTGTTTCTTTCCTCTGCCTATGTAACCAACTCATTCTTAATTATCTGTAGCAAGTTTTGTTTGTTTAAAGCCATTTTCTTTTCTGTTGGCTTAATGGCTTTAATGGTAATAGCTTGTTACGTGTTTTTCGTAAAGCGAGTCAGTCATTTATCTATACGTAGAGAATATTTGTATATATATATGGACCAAACCCACTGAACCATAAAAAGGAAATTTGTAAATTCTATCACGCATCCCCAGTATCCTCTTATCCTCTAAAGTATATTTACCGTTTGCTTAATACTTTTTCCTAACTCAAGGATTCTAAAGATCTCATTTTGTTCGCTATAACCGATCTAGAATATTGGCAATATATCAAGACTGTGTCATACCGTGTCCTCCTAAATGGAAAGCCGTGAGGACATATTACTCCATCCCGAGGGATCAGACAAGGTGATCCTATTTCTCCATACCTATTTATTTTATGTACCGAAACCCTAATCTCGCAGCTTTGCACTCGGAACTTGACGGAAAGATTCAAGGGTTACGAGTTGCTCGGGCTAGCCCCCCAACATCCCACCTCCTCTTTGCCGATGACAGCCTATTTTTCTGTAAGGCAGACCCTAATCAAAGTAGAGAACTTATCAGCATTATCCAATCCTATGGAGAGGTCTCGGGACAGCAAATCAACTATAGCAAGTCTTCCGTCATGTTCGGTAATGAGGTTCCCAGCGACTCTCGTCAGATTGATAGCAAAGGTATCCATTGGGTATCTTAGGAATCCCTATGTGCACATCTTGAGGAAGGTGGTCTCGGTTTTCGATCCTTTGAGGATTTCAACCTGGCCCTCCTTGCTAAACAGCTATGGCCTCTCCTTCGTTTCCCTGACTCTCTTCTTTGTCGAGTATTAAAAGGGAGGTATTTCAGATATTGCAGCCCTCTAGAAATATCTGCTTCGAACCGCCCTTCCTATGGTTGGAGAAGCATACTTGCGGCAAAACCCCTACTAGCCTCCGGGATCCGCAAAACGATTGGTTCCGGTTTCGATACATGTGTATGGTCTGAACCGTGGATTCCCGATTCTCCACCCCGACCCCCGGTGGGCCTTCATGGCGAGAGAGACCCACTTTTGTTTGTCAACACTTTGATCGACTTCGAGTCTAAACAATGGAAGATGGAGCGGCTCAGGGAGCTTTTCCCTCCGGAGGAAATTTCCCTTATCCTTGGGCTACGTCTGAGTCAAAATGTCTCGAGAGATGGGTACAGTTGGTCCCTCACTAAATCCGGGAATTACACGGTAAAATCAGGCTACTGGACCGCGAGAGCATTATCTCGTCTCGCTTGTGACCTCCCTCTTCAGGGACCTAGCGCTACGGCACTAAAGTTAAACACTTTGTGTGGCAGTGCGCTACCGGTTTTTTACCGACTTGTCAGCGTCTCGCATACCGTCATATTGGTAGGGATAAGGGATGCCCTCGATGTGGTGCGGATGAAGAGACCATAAACCATGTTATTTTCGAATGCCCCCCGGCGAAGCAAGTATGGGCTTTGTCCTCGATCTCCTCGGCTCCTAACGTGTTCCCACTTGCCTCAGTTTTTGGCAATTTGGATTTTCTATTCTGGAGGGCTCGGTCTCTCGGTTCTTGTGAAGATGATCTTAAGGCATTCCCTTGGATTATGTGGTTTATTTGGAAAGCTAGAAACAAGAAGATCTTCGAGAATGTGGAAGAGTTACCCCCAGACATTCTAGATCATGCGAGACGTGAGGAAGAGGTGTGGAGACGAGCAAACACTATTGATACTGAGTCGGCCCCCCTGAGTGTGGACTGTGGGGCTTCTGATTCTTGCCTTCCGGAGGACCCACTATGCTATATTGACGGGTCTTGGCACGAGTCAGACAGCTTCAGTGGCCACGGATGGCTTGTTGAAGCAAGACGGAAGACCTTGGTATACGGAGCTCGCGGATCGGTCCGTAACCTCTCGCCCCTCCATGCTGAGCTAAACTCACTCCTATGGGCTATGAAGTGTATCCTCGCATCGGATATTCCTTGCGAATCTTTTGCCACGGATTGCTCCGATCTTCTAGCCATGACGAGTAACCCTGAGGCCTGGCCTTCGTTTGCGTCAGAACTTAGGGATTTCACATTTATGTATTCATTGTTTCCGTCGTTTAGACTTATTCATATTTCCCGCACTTGTAATGTCCGTGCCGACAAGCTTGCTAAAGAGGCAAAAGCACGAGATTGTAGATTTTCCCATGTAGGTCCTATGGCATCCAATTGGCTTTCTCTCGAGGAAAGTTATTTGCCACGATTTTAATAATAGTGTTTTTGAGGTAAAAACAAAAACAAAAAAAAAAAAAAACCGATCTAGAATATTGTACAATATCATAATTTACCTTTACCCATAAAATGCGGTATAACTCTTACACATGGATTAATTGATGTTTTTGTGGTATTAGCTAGTCGACATCAATTAAGATTTACGTTGTGTACAATACTTTGATATAAAATAATTGCTACACTCGTTAGCATTTGAAACCACTGAACTTGTTACAGTAGATAAATAGAGTAAAAGCTATTCAGAAGATTCAAAAAAAAAACTATACGAAAGATCCCAATCCATGTTATAAGTTGATGCTATCAAGATTCAAGAGCCAAATAAAGGCATATAGCATCACCCCCGACCAAAAAAAGAAGAAGAAGAAGAAAAGCATCACCTAAATTAATTAGTGAAGTGGGCTTGCATCCAATATATGGGCCGATAGAAGCGTATCAATATTATGCCTGCTCGTACGTGCCAATGCTAAATCAGATAGATGTATGAATGCTGTTAAAAAGTTTTTATACGTATAAAGAGAAAAAGAAATAGAGAAATAAACCGTAGATATATATATATATATATATAATATACACATGTATTACTACGTGCCTAAATTATGCATATAGGGGGGTTGTACTATAAAGCTGCATGCTTACTAATTTTAGCTTACTAATTTTAGCCAAAGACCAATTTTCGTCTTAATGCAAAAAACAGACCTTTTCAGTCTACGGAAATTTCAACACTATACGTATCATAGACTGTGTATACACAGTATATTTATTAGTGGTAGTTAAAATGAATTTTGTTCTCATTAATTTTTGTGAACAAATCCAAATTGGACACGCGTCCAAGAGTAAAATTACAAATGCAGAAGCGACGCGTGGCACAAGAGGGAGAATTCCGTTTGTCGTTTTCACTCGACACAGACACACACCTCCATACTCTCTCCACCTCCTTTCTTCTTCAATCATTTCCATAAATCTCCAAAAACCCTAGAGACCAGAGAGAGAGAGAGCAAGAGAAAGAAAAAAAGTCAGAAACCCTAAAAAAAACTCTCCGAGATAAATACTCAGCCGCCTAAATCATGCCGATCACGCACGTCGATCCCGTCCCTCAATCCCAAGGTATGTATATCTCTTCGAAACCCTGATTGATTCCATCATTTCTTTCTCAAACTCTCGTTAATATCGACGATTACTGATGATATGTTTTCTTTTTGCAAGATGTGTTTTACGCGACAAACAATCCGTACCAAGTGAGCGGACCAAGAGGATTCACGGAGTTTCAGTACATGGAAGAGACGACGGATCTGTTCGTGAGGCTTGATTTTCCAGGAGTCACAAAAGAGAGTGTCAAGATCCTTCTCGAGCCATCCATGAAGGCTGTTTTCGTGTTCGGAGACGCGCCTAAAGAACACAGAAACGATTCGTCTCACCGGAAGTACGGAACAGCCACGGGACTTGTCTGCGATTGCTGTGTGATAAGTAATATTCAGTGTTTTGTCGGAGATGGAATTGTCAGACTCATCCTCTCCAAGCAGAAGATCGATTCTCGTGTCCTTTCCTTTTGTTCCCGTAAGTTTTCTCTGAAATTAATTTTGAAACTCTTTTTTTTTGGTATTATCCCCAAAACACAAAACAATAAATAAATTGTGATATTATTTTGTTTGTATTTGTCTCTCAGTTGGAGGTGCCAGAATGCCTGCTGCTGCTCCTACCCTTCGTATGTTTCTTTATTTCAAAATATTTATCGTAAATTTATTTACCGATTATATTGTGTTTTTTATGTTTTGTGAATGATGATCATAACTTTTTTTTTTTTCTTTTGGCAGCTCACTTAATTCGTGGTTACAATCCGGAAGGTAATTGCTTTTTGCCTTTTTTTTGGTTATCTGGTTATAAACAAATTAATTTTTATCATAACTAGAGCTAGCTTCTTTTAGAAATTAGTTTTATTTATTCCTTGCATATCATATTGTAAAGTATATATATATCCGACATTTTTGATGGGATGTGTGTTGATTCTGTTGTTTGCAGTCGCAGGAGGCCATCCTCTTGGTATGTTTTTACATTTTTTAACGTTTGACTTACTCATCTTTTACATATTTTTTCTTTCTTTTATCTTTTTTTTTATTACAACTTTTTTTCCTTCTTTTATCTTTGACTTGAAATTTTAATCTTCTGTATTTATTCTTTCATTTTGAAGCTCATCTACGTGGACACAGCCCAGAAGGTATTTTCATTTGATAATTTTCATTGGTTATTAGTAAGCGTCAAGAAACCTTTCCAAAAACATGTTGGAATTGATTAGTTAATTTTTTCAACGTTCATATATGTAGGTTGCCGTGGCACTGACCCACTTGGTATGCTCTTTATCCCTCCATTAATATGACATAACTTCAAAAATATTAATTGATGTCATTAGCATCTATCGTATACATATATGTGCACTACATGATATTAGTATACATATCACATATTCACACACATGCACATGTGATCTATTGTTTTTTTTTTTTGTCAATGTGTGCTGATGTTAAGTGATTTAAACGTTGGACAGATCCGGCGTTCACGGGTCGGGTCATAATACCGCACCCGTCAGTGTTGGAAGGACCAAGGAGTCCGTACGAGTCAAAGCAGCTCTCAAACGGCGGTCTCTTTCTGCGTATTGACATGCCCGGAGTCCCAAAAGACCACTTCACGGTGATGGTGGAACGCGACGGCGGAGTCACCGTCATCGGAGTAGCTCCTCAGGCCATGTACGACTCGAGTGGGCGTCAGTACAGAGGCAAAGTCGCCGTCGTTCCTCGAGACTATGACAACAGTCGGATCAAAGTAATCGCTAAACATGGTGTCATCCGCCTAATTATCCCTCCCAACTAATATCTTTATCTTTGATTTGCTTATGGATTATTTATGTTTAACCATGGACAGTACTGTTTTTAATTATCATGTCTTTGCTTTTGGATTTCGGACTTTTTTTTTTTTTTTTTTTGGTAAAAGATTTAAAAAAACAATATGGATTGTTCCGTATGTAAGACGTTAATTATCTTATGTATTCACCAAATTATGTAGGTGAATTATAGAACCTATTAGTTATAGCGCAAATACGAATTTCACTTACTTGCTACGTACGTTAAACATCACATAGTAATTAACTAATTATGTTACGTTAACAACAACAACAACAACACAACAACAACACAACAACAACAAAAATTGCTTATAATTTTTTTTTAGAAAAAAAAATCGTTGATAAATTTAATCAGACAATTCCACGTCGTAGTCTCTACATACATCCTATTTTGGCTAATAAATATAAAGAAAAAAGTTTCACACAAATGAGAAGATATGCTTGTTTATAATTGGTGCAATGCGCAAGTCACAAATGGTATAGAGACACGTGTCCCATATTGTTCGTCGTTTTCACCTGACATCTCAGTCCTTACCTCTTCGTTGCCTTCTCTTGCCTCTCTGCTCATAAAGATCCAAATTAAAAACCCCTAAACGTAAACGAACCAGAGAACGAGAGAGAAAGAGTGAGCAAGAGCTATATATAAAAGAGAAGAAATTAACCCTAGCCAACTTAGCTACCTTAGAAATCCGAAATCTCAAAAAAAATAAAAACATTTCTCAGTTGCTCAACCATGGTCGTCCCTACTTTTGCTGTTCCTCAATCTCGCGGTGACACATCTTCTTCTAAACCCTAAACCGCAAATCTCATTTACTTTCCTCAGATTTATAGAAACAGGTCGTCACTGATTAAGCTTATTTCTTGTTTATGGTGTTCATATAATGGAGCAGAAGTTTTTTACGCCATCAACAATCAGTTTCAGCAGAACGGTCCAAAAGGTTACACGGAGTTCAAGATGCTTGAGAACGAGGACATGTTCGTGAGGATAGACCTTCCCGGTGTTCCACAAAACGGCGTGAAAGTTTCTCTTTGTGCGGATAATAAAGGTGTGGCCGTCCTCGCCGAAGCACCCAAAGAGCACAAACACGACTCTTCTCACCGGAAATACGTCACCGCCGTTGCCTGCCAATGCTGCCAAATCTCCGGCTTCACTTCCCACATGTGCGACGGCGTTCTCAGGCTTCTCCTCTGCAAGAGAAACATCACTCCACAACAACGCTCCTCCTCCATCTGTAATTAATTTCATCAAAATCCTTTTTTTTTGTTCCTTTCAGTCATTTTAGTTTGTAGAAACCATTCTGATGATTATAACCCAAAAATTAAAAAAATTTCTTTGACAGTTTTTCTTGCTGGGCCAGATTTCCAAGAAGGTATATTATTATATTCGATCTGCCGTTGTTTTCACCATTTTTTTGTATTGATATTACTTCAATAAAAAGTCTTTTTCATTTACAAACTTTTGAAAATAAGTTGCTTAAAATGTTTTGTCTTCTCTATTTCTGGTCCAAAAGTTCTTCGTAGCGATGGTCCTCACAAGTTTCCCCATGGCTCGGATCCCAATGGTAATTCACCTCTGCAAGCTTATTATGTTAATGTTAATTACATTTTTAATTACATAGGTACCTTTTGGTATTGAGGTAACAGGTTGTCTAAAAAAGGAATATATTTGTTGTTGTCGTTGTCGTATATGTGGAGTAGACCCAGCGTTAACGGGTCGGGTATTGGAGCCACAGCCACACCCATGCGTGTTACAAGGATCGCAGATGGCTTATGAGTCGAAGCAGCTCCAAAACGGCAGCCTATACGTGCGTGTTGACATGCCTGGTGTTCCTAAAGACAAGTTCACTGTCTCAGTCAAGAGTGGGAGAGTGATGGTGACTGGTGAAGCTCCTGCCGTTGGCCACGACTCTGGTGGTCGGTTCTACTCTGGTGACGTGGCTATGCTCTCCACTCCTATCGACATTCCCAGCCGTCGGATCAAAACCATCGCCAAGAACGGTGTGCTCCGTTTGATCATTCCTCCCGTTTGATCTGATGATATATGAAGACCACGTTTCTGTCTGTTAAGTTTCGTCTTGTTTGGACCTCTGTTTTAGGGACTATGTAGTTATTTTGAGGGAACATGTCGTTTCATGTTTATTCAGTACTTTGGATATTTTCTCAAAACTTAATAATTTTGTCTAATATTTTGGAGACTTTTCGGACAGCTAAATAATGTGTCTATCTAAATTGTTATCATTTTCTAAGGTGTCTTTAATTTGGAATTGCAAGGAAGTTTTACAAAACTCTTGCCAGTAATCAGTACATTATTGAAATTATTAATTATAATATTCAATTTTAAAAAGGGGACAAAATTTTGGAGCTGGGAAGCAACAAAGAACTCCACCAACAAAATTTCCCCCACATCCTTTCCATTTTTTGTATCTGTTGAAAACATCAATACGTTATTTATATGCTAATGGGATTGGTAAATAGAAAGGAAACAAAACTAAAGAAGCCTAAGAAAATAGTTTCACAAATTAGGGGATGACGCGTGTTCCCCTAGTATTATTTGTCGTTTTTAACTGACAAAATCTCTCTTCCTTCCTCCTCGGTGCTTTCCTCTCCCATAAATTAAGATCCACAAAAATCCATTGTGAAGGAGAATAAACATAAATACCGTTATCATGGCATGCATAAACCTACGTACATTTATACGTATTCGAGTGCTGTTTAAAAACAAATAAACGTCTAAACAAATAATAGAGAGACTAAACAAATAATAGAGAGACTAAACAAATAATAGAGACAAATTAAAAAACAAAAGAAATGTGTGCCTGAAGCATGCATTTAGGCGGTGTACAATACGGCTGAGACTAAAAACTTACTAATTTTAGCCAAAGACCAATTTTTTGTCTGTCTTCATTTAAAAAGAATCAGGCCTTTTCAGTGTACGACCAATAATAATTTATAGGTATATTAGTATACATATGTACATTGTATATTTAGTGGCCTATGAATATAGAACCTATTAGTTATCGCAAATGAGAATTTTAATTTACTTGCTACTTCAAACATCACATAGTAATAATATTAGGTTAAGCTATTTAAGTACGTAGTAGCAAAAAAAAAAAAACCTAAAAGGTTATACAATTATAAAGAAAAAACCATGTCGATAAATTGAATTACACACACAATTACACACAAATGGTAAAGAGACCCATACTGTTTTGTCGTTTCAACTTTACAACTCAGACCTTACCTCCTCGTTGCCTTCCCTCTGCTCGTAAAGATTCAAAATCCCTTAAACGCTAAAACCCAGAGAGAGAGAGAAAGAGTGAGCAAGAGATCTATAAAAAGAGAAGAAATTAACCCTAGCTAACTTAGAAATCTGAAATCTCAGAAAAACACATTTCTCAGTGGTTCAATCATGGTCGACCCGATTCGTGCTGTTCCTCCAACTCCCGGTAACACATCTTCAAAACCAACCATAAATCTCATTACTTTCCTCAGATTTATAGAAACGGGCCAGTCACTGATTGTTCTTAATTAGTCTCTTTTATGTTTTGTTTTATGTCTTGGGTTTATGGTGTTGATCACGACGGAGCAGAAGGGTATTACGCAACGAACAACGAGTTTCTAGTGAGTGGGTCAAAGGGTTTCACGGAGATGAAGATGCTTGAGAACGAAGAAAGCTTCTTGAGGATTGACCTTCCCGGTGTTCCAAAAGAGGGCTTGACGGTTTCACTTGACCCGTCTAAGAGATTTGTGTTGGTCACAGGCGAAGCACCTAAGTTCCAACACGACTCATCTGACCGGAAATACGGAATCTTCCCCGGCATCACCTGCGACTGTTGTGAGCTCTCCGGCTTCACCACCGACTTGCGTGACGGCGTTCTAAGACTTATCCTCTCCAAGATAAACCACATGCCACAACGTACGCTCCTCCTCCTCCTCCTCTGTATTAAAAAAATCTTGTCTTTTTGTTCTTCCGTCATCTTAAGTTATACAAGAATCTTTTTTTCATTAACAAACTTTTGAAACTAGTTTATTTATAAATGTTTTGTCTTCTCTATTTGTGGTAAAATTAAAGATCTTCGTAGCAAAGGTCCTCACAAGTTTCCACATGGCTCGGATCCCAATGGTAAATTCATTCACCCTCTCTGCAAGCTTATGTTATTACAAATTGCAAAGTTAAGTTGCTATTATTTGGTTGTCTAAAAAAAGGAATATATGTTTTGTTGTTGTGATACATGTGGAGCAGACCCGGTGTACACAGGTCCGGTATTGGAGTCACACCCATGTGTGTTTCAAGGATCAGGTTTGGCCTATGAGTCGAAGCAGCTCCAAAACGGCAGCCTCTACGTGCGTGTTGACATGCCTGGCCATCCCAAGGAGAGGTTCACCGTCTCAGTCGCCTACGGGAGAGTGAGTGTCACCGGTGAAGCTCCTGTCGTTAGCCACCACGACCAAGGTGCCCGTTTCTACTCTGGTGACGTGGCTATGCTATCTACACCTGTCGACATTCCTAGCCATCGGATCCAAACCATCGCCAAGGACGGTGTGCTTCGTTTGATCATCCCTTCTGTTTGATTTGATTTCTGTTCGTCTGCTTTAGGGATTATGTAGCTATTTTGGGGGATTTATGTCGTTTTATGTGTTATCGGTACTCTGGATATGTTTCAAAAAACTTATTTTGCCTAAGATATTGGTAAATTTTCGGCCCACCCATTTATCAGTCTATCTAAATTGTTATATTCCAAAGTCTCTATTGATCGTTGCAAAAGATTTTAACAAAACTTGATCTTGCCAAGAATCCTACAATATTAAAATGATTAATTATGGTCAATTTTCATAAAGGGACATGTAACTTTTGAAGCTGGGAAACACTATTCACATCCTTTCCATATTTATATATCTATTGAAAACACACTCACTGATAAATGAAAAAAGGGAATTTGAATTTTCAAACCACCTTTGAATATCTGCAACAAGTCTTCCTTTTTTTCATCTTTTGGGATTCATTCACCACCTGCATGATTTTCACGAACTAATTTGATTTGAGTGTTCAATTATATTCCCATCTTCTAGACTTTTTTGAAGAGTAAAAGTTTGTTGTGCCTATTCAAGTTCGAACCAATGAGATTTTAAACATGCATGTTCTCTATGCTCAACATTGAAACACAGTTAGTTAATAATTAGTATCAATTAATCACATAGCTGTAACTTCAGGGTCTAAATGCATGCTCAACTAGCTAATTAACTATATATACTTCTCTAAGCAATTATATAAGTCTAGGAAATGTTAAATATTTATTGATCATCCAGATGCCTGGATCAGTAGACAAATATCGAAGTACACGCAACAACACTATGGATACAGAGGTTTTCAAAACTGTAAAATTCTCTCTCCTCCTTTTCTCTCCCGAAAGTTTTAGATCTGAAATTACTTCTTCTTGTCGACGCTTTCATCTGCTCCGATCTCTTTCTCCGGCGCGCGTGGTGGCATACCGTCGCTGGAGGAGGGACCTCCTCGCTCCCCTCTTTCATTTAATGTGTATTTAAGTTTGGTGGCCGTCGGTTCGGGTGTGGCGTCGTGATGAAGCTTTTCCGGCGATTATATCTACTTCGACGGCGGCGGGATCTTAGCGGCTTCGCTGGGTCGCGGTGGAAGATGGTATCGTCCTTGGGTCGTGCCTCTTTTCTGTCTGCCTCGAGAAGTATTCGCTGCTTCTTCCTTCGCTCTCCGGCGATTTTCTGGACGGCTGCTCAGATTTCTTTTGAGGGTCTCCTCCGGTGGCGTGCACTCTGTCCTTCTCAGTGTTTGGGTGGTAGTTTCTTTCCTCTCTCTCCCTGATTATGGTCTCTCTCAAGTTTCGGTCTTTTCGACGCGGCGGCGAGGTAGCATTTGCAGATCTGGCCTCCTCGGCTCCGGCGATGGTGTTTTGAACCTTGAGGACGGGTTCAGCCTCCGTTTTTTGGTGTCTAGGTCGGCTTGTTTCTGGTGGCAAGCTTCAGAGTGGTGGCTCACGTCTTTCCGGCGGGTGCGGCTCCACCAACGGTTGTCTCAGCGGTGGCTTTAGATGGTGGCTCGGCGGTAGCTTTGATCGACTTTGACGGTTTTTTCTTCGTCGCCGTCTTCGACATCGGCGTGGCACGGGATCCCCAAAGGTGCGTGTTTCCGACTAATGAGTAGTAGGCCCGCGTTAGTGTCTGAGAACTCGGTTCGTGTTGGCTCCGGATGTGGTCTGGTGTTGACGGTGGAGCAATGTTGGACGTGATTGTTGAGGCGCCGGTTTGTTGTTGCGGTTTGCTTGTAGCTGTGGGAGCTGGTTTCTGCGGAGATTCGTTTTTGCAGGAATGGCGGTCCGAGGTGACGCTCCGACTGCCTGCTCGGCCTCCTTTGTCGCCGGTTGCAAGCTTGTCCGTTGCGGAAATCGGAAATTCCATTAGTTCTCGGAGAAGCTGTAGGTGTCCCCTTATGAGGTTTGAGGGCTGGCCTTGGGTTGATGCTCGTGGCACCTAAGATGAGAATTCTAGTTCTTTGGAGCTATGGCAAAATGGAATGGTCCGCGTTTCGGCGTGTGATTGCTGCGTTCTCGTTTGGTATTGTTCGGTTTTATTTTTTTTTAATCTCTCGAACCGTTTTTCTTAGTCTTTTGTTGTGGTTTGCTGTTCATTTGTCGTTGTTTTGTAGTTTTTTTGTTTAATCTGTTTTCTTTGTTATCCCTGTAATTTCTGTCATATAATCTTTACATTTTACCAAAAAAAAAAAAAAAAACACTATGGATACAGTAATCAAGCAACAAAATGATACATATATAATATAAATAGGTTGCCGAAAAAAAAAATATAATATAAATAGGTTGTGCCTTTACCCCCAACATCATAGAAGATAGAATATGCGGTTTTATACGCAAGTAAATTAAACATAGATAATTAATAAATGGCTGTGTTCTGTTAATCGAGATCAATTATTGAATTTTTATTTTGTGTGCAATACTTTGATGATAACAATTGCTAAATATCTGTACATTCCTAAGAATATAGACCATTGAAATTGATACATTAAGTTTGTGTTATCATGACCGTATATATAAACTATAAAACATTGCCTAAATTAGTTAGTGAAGTGGGTCCACATCCAATATATGGGCCCATCTAAACCCAACTACATCATGCATGCATAACCCTTGCGTACAAATGCTAATTATTTATACGAATTTAAACGCTGTTTAACGAAGTGTAGTAAGTTTAGGGAACAACATGTCGTTTCATGTTTCATCAGTACTTTGGATATGTTCACAAAACTTATTTTGTGTAATATTTTGAGAATCGTCCAACCCTTTTGTTGAGTATATCTAAATTGTTATCATTGTCCAAGGTGTCTATATTGGATTGTCAAGAATTTTTGAAAAACTCTTGCCAATAATCAGTACATAATTAAAATTAATAACTATGATCAATTTTAAAAAGGGGACCAAAATTTGGGAGCTGGGAAGCAACAAAGTACTCCACCAACAGAATTTCATTTCACATCCTTTCCATTTTTATAAGTATTGAAAACATCTATCTATACACACTTATCGATAAATGACAAAAGGGATCTTGAATTTTGAAACCACCTTTGAATCTCTGCAACAAATCTTCCTTTTTTGATTCTTCTTGATTAAATCACGGTCCTTAAATCACCGTCCGCATGATTTTCAGAAGCCAACTAGAGTATTCAAATATACACTCCTCTTTCTTCTTCTGACGAAAAGTTTTTGTGTTTAAACAAAGTTTGTATAAAGTGTGTATATATAATTTACTTGCTACGTCAAACATCTCGTAGTAATTATGTTCTATTAATTAAGTACGTAGTAGCAAAAACAAAAAGAATACTTATATAATTATAAAGAAACAAATATTTCCATAAATTTAATTACACACATACAAATGATAAAGAAACACGTGTCCCATACTGTTTTGTCGTATTGACTTGACAACTCAGTCCTTATTTGCTCGTTGCCTTCTCTATCCTCTAGCTCAAAAAGATCCAAAACACTCTAAATGCTAAAACTCAGAAAAATAGAGTGAGAGAGAGAGAGAGAGAGGAGAGAGAGAGAGGAGAGAGAGAGCAAGATCTTTAAATGAGAAGAAAATAATCCTAGCAAACTTTTAGAGATACCTTAGAAATTTGTAATCTCAGTCAATCATGGTCGCCCCAATTCGTGCAGCTCCTCCATCTCCCGGTAACACATCTCCTAAACCAACCACAAAACTCATTACTTACCTCAGATTTATTGAAACGGATCACTGATTGGTCTTCTTCTTCTTCTTTTTTTCTGTGTTTATGTCTTGGTTTATGGTGTGGACGACGGAGCAGAAGGGTATTACGCAACAAACAACGAGTTTCTAGTGAGTGGGTCAAAAGGATACACGGAGATGAAGATGCTTGAGAACGAAGAGATGTTCTTGAGGATTGACCTTCCCGGTGTTCCAGAAGACGGCGTGTCGGTTTCAATCGACCGGTCCAAGAAATTTGTGTGGGTCAACGCCGAAGCACCAAAAGTCCACAAACACGACTCATCTCACCGGAAATACGAAACCCTCCCCGGAATTACATGCAAATGCTGCGTTATCTCCAGCTTCACCGCCGACATGTCCGACGGCGTTCTAAGGCTTGTCCTCTCCAAGACAAACACCATGCCACAACGTATACGCTCTTCCTCCTCCTCCTCCTCCTCCTGTGTATTAATTTCATCAAATCCTTCTTTCTAAGAAAAAAAAAGTCTTCTTTTTTTTTTTGTTCTTCCGTCATTTTCTTGATTTGCCGTTTTCACCAATATTTTTATATATATCTTGGTATTTGTATCAATGCAAGAGTCGTTTTTTTTTTTTCCATTCAAAAACTTTTGAAAGTTGTTTACTGAAAAAACTGTTTGTCTTGTGGTCAAAGATCTTCGTAGCAAAGGTCCTCACAAGTTTCCCCATGGCTCGAATCCCAGTGGTAATTCATTCAACCTCTCTGCAAGCTTTATGTTAATGTTAATTATTATACTACAAATTGCAATAATTTTGGCTGTCTAAATTTTTTAAAAAGGAATATATTTGCTGTTGTTTTTGTTGTGATACATGTGGAGCAGACCCGAGTTACACGGGTCCGGTATTGGAGTCACACCCATGTGTGTTACAAGGATCGGGTATGGCCTATGAGTCTAAGCAGCTCCAAAACGGCAGCTTATACTTGCGTATTGACATGCCTGGCGTTCCCATCGACAACTTCACCGTCTCAGTCGCTAACGGGAAGCTGAAGGTGACTGGTGAAGCCCCTGTGGTTAGTCCCCACGACCAAGGTCCTCGTTTCTACTCTGGTGAGGTGGCTGCGCTCTCCACTCCGGTCAACATTCCTAGCCGTCGGATGAAATCCATCGCCAAGGACGGTGTGCTTCGCCTTCTCATCCCTCCCATTTGATTCCATGTTTATTTGTGTTTTGTTAAATTCTTTTTCTGAAGTAGACACCTTTTCTTTTTGGATTATGTCGATGTTTTAAGGATTATTATTGACGTTTTATGGGTTTTATTTAGGCACTACTTTTGGATATGTTCCAAAAAGACGCATAACTTATTTTGTCTTTTTGCATGAGTCTCTTTAAATAGTTACTAGCATTTTTTCCCAAACGCTCTATTGGATTTGATAAAGTATCACTATGCATAAAGATTAGGGATAGGAATCAAGCAAATAAAACTATGTGCTTTTGAAATATATAATTTCATCATGATGAAGTGTGAAACTAGAAGAACCGATATAACCACGTCAGGTAACTACATAGCCTACATTTAACGGATACTTGTACATTCCTAAGCATTTGAAACCATTGAAATTGTTACATTAAATACAACGAGTATTCCAAACATATGGTATATATGTGTCAAGTTCATGATGACCGTACAAAATTGAGTTAGTGGAGTGGGTTTACCATCCAATATATGGGCCCATTCAAACCCAACAATATCATGCATGCATAACCCTTACGTACAAATGCTAACTATTTATACGTATTCAAACGACTGTCTAAAAACAATATACGTATAATTATATAAACAAATAAATAGAGAGAAAATGAAAAACGTATAAATCTACACTATAAATGTGCCTGAAGCATGCAATTTGGGCGGTGTACAATAAAGCTGAAACTGAAAAAACTTACTAATTTTAGCCAAAGACCAACTTTATTTTTTGTCTCTCGTCGTAATAATTAAACTCAGACCTTTGCAGTGTACGAACAATTGAAATTTTATTAATTTATACGTATATAAGTATATACATATAGACTGTGTATATTAATTAGTTGACTTATTCTTCTCAATAAATTTTGTTGGCAAATAGGAATTGAACACACGCATCCTAGCTAGTATCCTACAGAACACTCACAATACAAAACGACACATCTCACAATAGGGATTGTTGTCGTTTTCATCTGACAGCCTCCATACTCTCTATCTTCTCTTTTTATTCTTTGATAGAGCTCATCTTCGTGGACAAATCCCCGAAGGTATTTGATTTGGTTTGATTTGATCATTCAGTAAACCTTAAGGAAATTTTCACAAAACTCAGGCGTTAACTAACTAATTTTATTGTTACAAAAAAAAACTAACTAATTTCATTACTTTTATTATAAAATGTAGGATCGCCTTGGGCCTTGGCACTGACCCTCTCGGTATGTACTTACTTAATCTGACAATTTTTACAATATATTAATTAATGTCCTTATAGTATTGATTAAACGTACGTTTACATAATTATCTAAATATCCCTGCACTCTAAATCATCAATAACTTCATGATTATGGAAATTATATAGTTTAACATTGGACTGTTACCCATTTGATATATGTCTCTTTTCTTTTGGGTTTTGAATATTCCAAGAACAATATGAATTTTAGTCACTAGCTAGTTACTACTTAGAGCATGTTTATCAACGTCTTTAACAGGGTCTCTTATTAATATTGGGCTTTAAATTAAATGAGAAATGGGCATTAGAGAGAGAAAAGCAGCAAACACATCTCTTATTTGGTATACGCTATTCACGTCTCTTGCCTGCCACATGTCGCAATGCTATTGGAGGATGAAACAGAGATGATGAAAAAAAATTTGCTCTCTCATTTCGTGTTTTTGGTAGACCAAAAACACAGACGGCTGCAGAAACTCCGCCGAATTGCCTTCACCACGACTACAGCTATGCTCACCGGTTCCGATCAAAGCGACGTCTGTCAGAGCAAGATTGAGACTTTGTTCGAATGAGGAGGTATATTGTACCTTTATTATTTTCAACTATAAAACTTCTTTTTAATAAAAAAATAATTTTCTGAAGAAACACATTATGATTTCTCTAATGTACCTCAAATAAATCAACATACATTTCTTAAGAGATCTTTTAACTAAACAATAAGTTTCTCCAATAAACATGGTCTTAGTTCACCTAATAATAACGTCGATAAAATAAACAAATTTCATAAAAAAAAAAATAGAAATTTGAAATTACACATGATTTCACGTCGTAGACTCGTACGTAGTAAAGAACCTATAGACACCTACATGGCTATAGCTGCTAATAAAAAAAAAAAATGTAAAGTAAATTGATTAATTAATTTACACATGAGAGAGGACGACGCGTATTTAATTTTGGTGCACTGCGGAAGTAACAAATGGTAAAGGGACACGTGTTCTTTAATGTTTTGTCGTTATAACCTGACAACTCAGCCTTTCCCTCCTCGTTGCCTTCTCTTCCCTCTGCTCATAAAGAACCAAAAACCCCTAAACGCTAACCAAAACCTAGAGAACGAACTTGAAAGAGTGAGAGAAGAAACCCTAAAGAGTGCTAAAAAAACCTGAAATCTTACAGAAAACTTCTCTCCGTCGACGTTGAAACATGGTCGTCCCTCTCAGCGCTGTCCCTCCATCTCGCAGTAAGTTATTCTCAAATCTCAATCCCATTTTCTCTTTTAACTTCACTTTTCAACTTTCTTTCTCTCAAATGGGTCACTGATTGTTCTTCCTCTTTTTGATGTTTTTGTTTTGGTGTTTGATGGGAGCAGATGGGTTTTATGCGATTAACAACCAGTTTCTAGCAAATGGACCAAAAGGGTTTCAGGAGTTCAAGATGCTCGAGAACCAGGACATGTACATTAGGATAGACCTTCCCGGCGTTCCTGAAGACGGCGTGAGGGTTACTGTTGATCCGACAAAGAAAGCTGTGTCTGTCCTCGCCGACGCACCAAAGGAGCACAAATACGACTCCTCTCCTCGTAACTACGGCCTCTGTACAGGTCTCACCTGCAAATGCTGCGAGATCTCCGGCGTCCACGCCCACATGTCCGACGGTGTTGTCAGGCTTCTCCTCTCCAAGACCCTCAGCAAAACACCAAGCCCTTCGTGCATCTGTAATCATCAATTAAACCCAAAACCCTTTTCTTTTTCTTCTTCTTCGGTTATTTTAGTTAAAACGTTCAACTTTTCTGATAGTAATTAACATAAAAATTTCAACTTTGTTTTCTCTTTAGCGTTTCTTGGTGGCCCAGATTCCAAAAAAGGTATTCAATCTTGATTTCATCTTTTCCACAAGCATAAAGTTGTGAATAGCCTTATTTTACTTATAAAAAAAAGTGTTCTTTCTCTCTGTTTATTGGTCAAAGATCGCTGTTGCACGGGTACTCACCAATTTCCTCACGGCACGGATCCCCATGGTATATTCACATATTTCTGCAAGCTTTATTTTTGTTCTAGACACGTTTATATGGTAGTAAGTTTGATTGTGTGTAGAAAGGATGACTAGTTTTGTTGTTATGATGTTATATGGAAGAGCAGACCCGGCGTTAACGGGTCGGGTATTGCAGCCACACCCATGCGTGAACCTAGGATCGCAGATGGCTTATGAGTCGAAGCAGCTTCAAAACGGCAGCCTATACGTGCGTGTTGACATGCCTGGCGTTCCCAAGGAGAGGTTCACTGTCTCCGTCAAGGGTGGGATAGTGATGGTGACTGGTGACGCTCCTGCCGTTAGCCACGACTCTGGTGGTCGGTTCTACTCTGGTGACGTGGCCATGCTCTCCACTCCGATCGACATTCCCAACCGTCGGATCAAAATGGTCGCCAAGAACGGTGTGCTCCGTTTGATCATCCCTCCGGTTTGATTTGATGATGTTATGTCATGAAAGTGTAAGAAACAGAGTATGTGAATTGGGCTTACAAAGAGACGAAGGCCCAAGACAGAAAGAAGATATTATCAGCCCACGAAAGAAAGAAGCTACAGTGGCACGTGATACTTGTACGAAAAGCAGAAGAAACAATTGCAGAGAAGAAGTAGATGGAGCTAAAAGACAAAGTCGGAGCATGTCGAACTTGAGCTCCACTCCAGTTGTGAGCGTGTGAATGTACTAGTGTCACATGGATATAGAAAGATCTAGAACTAGGGCTTCTTGTGTCTTATGTATATAAAGACATCTAAAACGATTGTAAGAAGTTAAGTAGAAAACAAAAGGAAGATACACAAAGTTCTTGTCTTTACAAAGTTGTCTCCTTTTTCTTGTCAAATCCTTTCTACTTCGTGTTTGTGTTAAGGAAAGTGTCATGTCTGAAGTTACTAACATGGTATCAGAGCCAAGAGGAGAGGGTGTGTCCGATCTCTTTCCGTTTCCAACAAACATCAAAGTTGGAAGCTTCGTGTCTGTCAAACTCGGTGATGACAACTACCTGGCCTGGAAGACACAGGTCGAGGCGTTACTGAGAAGTCAAAAGCTGCTCTGTTTTGTTGACGGTGGTCAGAAGCAGCCTACGGAGAAGATCCGTGTCAAGTTTCAGAATGAAGTCAGTGAGGTGAGTAATCCTGACTTTGAAGCGTGGTTACAAACAGATCAACTTGTTATGTCTTGGTTGTTTGGAACACTGTCTGAGGGAGCTCTTGGTTACACTTATGGTTGTCGTTCTGCTCGTGATGTGTGGCTCTCTTTGGCTGAAAACTTTAATCAATGTTCTGTTTCTCGAGAATACGATCTCTTGGCAAGTCTTCAGGTTCTCACCAAAGGAAATATGGAGATGCGAGACTATCTGCATGAGTTCAAGCTCATCTGCGACCAACTGAGCTCCATTGGGAAGCCGGTCTCAGAGAATATGAAGATCTTTCAGCTGCTCCACAGTTTGGGCAAGCCGTACGAGGCTTTTGCTACCTCAATCCAGACCTCGATGCATAAGCCACCTGTTCCAACCTACACTCAAGTTGTCTCTCAACTGATGGCTTCTAACAGTCGCATCAAGGCCTATACTCCTGCTCCTGTGGATGCTCACATGGCCTTTCAAGCCCAAGCTCAATCCTTTGTGCCTCAAACTCAAAACTTTGGCAACAATGGACGTGGAAACTACAATAACCGTGGTCGTGGACGTGGTGGATACAATACTCGTGGTCGTGGCTTCACTCAGCAAGTCTCCAACTGGTCTGGTGGCAATGGAAACTCACAGCAGACTCAACAACAGACTGGAAACCGCCCTGTGTGTCAGATCTGTGGGAGAACTGGTCACATAGCTCTTAAGTGCTGGAATCGTTTTGATCACTCCTACCAGAGCACTGATGTCCCTCAAGCCTTGGCAGCAATGCAGATTTCAGGCTCTTCTGGTCAAGAATGGTTCCCTGACTCGGGTGCCTCATCACACATCACCAACTCTGCAGCAAATCTTGAGACAGCTCAGCCTTATCATGGTGCAGAAACGGTGATGGTGGCTGATGGTAACTACTTACCAATCACTCATGTGGGTTCTACTTCCCTCCCAACACCCTCAGGTAAGTTACCTCTGCAAAATGTCTTGGTCTGTCCCACTATACAGAAACCGTTGCTGTCTGTCTCTAGGTTGTGTGATGATGCTGCATGTGGGGTTTACTTTGACTCTGATTATGTGTGTGTTGTAGACAAATCTACTCAGAAGGTGTTGACACAGGGAAGAAGGCATGACAGTCTCTACCGATTGGAGAATCCTGGAGCATTGGCGTTCTTTTCTTCAAGGCAACAGTTCACCAATGATGATGTCTGGCACCAACGTCTAGGACACCCCAATGCTCAAGTTCTCCATCACCTCAAGAATAATAACTCCATCCGGAGCAGTCGTTGTGGGTCTATCTCTGTGTGTTCGTCGTGTCAGTTAGGAAAAAGCTCACGCTTACCTTTTTCTTCCTCAGAGTCTGTTGCCTTAGAACCTTTGGCCAGGATTCATTGTGATTTGTGGGGTCCTGCTCCTACTTTGTCAGTTCAAGGCTTTAAGTATTATGCTATCTTTGTGGATAATTACTCTCGCTATGGTTGGTTTTATCCTCTGCGGTTTAAATCCGATTTTTATGAAGTCTTTCTTGGTTTCCAAAAGTTGGTTGAGAAACAATTCAACAAGAAAATCAAAGTGTTTCAAAGTGATGGAGGAGGAGAGTTCACTAGCAATCAACTCAAACAACATTTTATAGACCAAGGAATTCAACACTTCATGTCATGTCCACATACACCACAACAGAACGGTTTAGCTGAAAGAAGACATCGTCATTTGACTGAACTAGGTCTTACCATGATCTTTCACAGTCACATACCATTTCGGTATTGGGTTGAGGCATTTTATACGGCAAACTACTTAATCAATCTGTTACCTTCCTCTGCTTTGCGTTTTCAGTCCCCTTTTGAGCTTCTCTTTCAGCAAAAACCACACTATACAGCCCTACGAGTCTTTGGATGTGCGTGTTATCCCTACCTCCGACCATATACTACATCTAAGTTCTCTCCCAAGTCTCTCCAATGCGTTTTTCTTGGGTATAGTGCTCAGTACAAGAGCTATCGCTGTCTACACCCTGCAACTAACCGTGTGTTTACTTGCAGACATGTCATTTTTGATGAGATGTGCTTCCCTTTCAAATTACCATCCCCGTCTCTTCATCAGCCATCTTCTCCGGACCTTTCCTCTCAATGGTATCAACATCTCTCGTCTGATCCGGACACTGTATCTCAAGTACATCCCTCACGATCCACTCCAGCTGCTGAGACACCTGTTGGTCAAGAGATAACTACTTCATTGGGAGATGAGCGTTCTGAGCGTACGGCAAGCATTGATCTTGATCCTATTGGCGACAGCACTCATCTTCTCAATGAAAGGACAGTTATCACTTCCTCCTCACTGTTACCAGTCTCTCTACCTGAGCCATCCTCTCATCCTATGATTACAAGAGCACAACGAGGGATTACTAAACCAAATCAACGATATGTTCTCCTGACTGATACCACGATCCCCAAGATACCTAAAAACATTGCAGAAGCACTAAAACATCCGGGTTGGAAAGCGGCTGCAGATGAAGAGATGAAGAATATCTATGGAAGTCACACGTTTGATCTTGTTGCAGCAACTGACACTATGAATGTTCTGGGGTGCAGATGGATATTTACGGTTAAACTGAAAGCAGATGGTTCTGTTGATCGCCTGAAGGCTCGTTTAGTTGCTAAAGGCTTCTTACAAGAGGAAGGTGTGGACTTTACTGAGACTTTTAGTCCTGTGGTTAAAACCTCTACCATACGTATAGTCTTAGCTGTTGCTACTGCAAAGGACTGGCCACTTCAACAATTCGATGTTAAAAACGCCTTTTTACATGGAGACTTGCAGGAAGACGTGTTCATGACACAGCCTCCAGGCTATGAAGATCTCACTTATCTGAATCATGTCTGCAAACTCAAAAAATCTCTCTATGGTCTTCGTCAAGCACCAAGAGCTTGGTTTGACAAGTTTGCTAATTTTTTGCTGGAATTCGGGTTCTTCTGCAGCCCGGCTGATCCCTCACTCTTTATTTATCATCATGAGAAAACAACTATGGTTCTTCTTCTCTATGTTGATGATATGATTCTCACTGGTAGTTGTCCAGACTTACTTACTCGATTCATTGGTCTGCTTCATTCTGAATTCTCAATGAAGGATATGGGTCAGCTGAGTTACTTTTTGGGAATTCAAGCTTCCTTTCATGACTCGGGTCTGTTTCTACATCAGTCTAAGTATACAGAGGAAATACTCTTCACTGCAGGAATGGCCGACTGCAATCCGATGCCAACCCCTTTACCTCTGCAGCTTGATCACATTCCCAATGGTGATCAGCTCTTTGAGAATCCCACTTATTTTTGTAGCATTGCTGGTAAACTTCAGTACCTGACTCTTACAAGGCCAGACATCCAGTTCTCTGTTAATTTCGTCTGTCAACGGATGCATGCTCCAACAGTGGCTGACTTTATCCTGATGAAACGAATCCTACGTTACTTGAGAGGAACAAGTTCACTCGGTATTAATCTTCCCAAGGATGCTGACTTGTCTCTTACTGCCTTCTGTGACAGCGATTGGGCAGGTTGTAAGGACACACGACGGTCAACTACAGGCTTCTGCACCTTACTTGGTTCCCATCTTGTGTCTTGGAGTGCCAAAAAGCAACCGACTGTTTCTCGTTCTTCTACCGAGGCTGAGTATCGAGCTTTAGCATCTACAGCTGCTGAGCTCACTTGGATATCGGCTGTATTACGTGATCTTGGTATCCCTCAGCCTCGCCCTGCTCAACTACTGTGTGATAATTTATCTGCAGTTCATCTCACTGCAAATCCGAAGTTTCATGCCAGAACAAAACATGTGGAAGTTGATTATCACTTTATCCGTGAAAAGGTGGCTCTTGGTCTCATTGAAACATCACACATTCGAGCTCATAGTCAGCTTGCGGACATATTCACGAAATCACTAGCCAAGGAACCATTTCTACGGATTCGTGACAAACTCGGAGTCTGTCTTCCACCACACTCGAGTTTGAGGGGGGATGAAAGTGTAAGAAACAGAGTATGTGAATTGGGCTTACAAAGAGACGAAGGCCCAAGACAGAAAGAAGATATTATCAGCCCACGAAAGAAAGAAGCTACAGTGGCATGTGATACTTGTACGAAAAGCAGAAGAAACAATTGCAGAGAAGAAGTAGATGGAGCTAAAAGACAAAGTCGGAGCATGTCGAACTTGAGCTCCACTCCAGTTGTGAGCGTGTGAATGTACTAGTGTCACACGGATATAGAAAGATCTAGAACTAGGGTTTCTTGTGTCTTATGTATATAAAAACATCTAAAACGATTGTAAGAAGTTAAGTAGAAAACAAAAGGAAAATACACAAAGTTCTTGTCTTTACAAAGTTGTCTCCTTTTTCTTGTCAAATCCTTTCTACTTCGTGTTTGTGTTAAGGAAAGTGTCATGTCTGAAGTTACTAACATGTCATGTTTTATGTTTCTTGATTTTGTCTTGTGGACCTAGCTCTTTCTTTGAGGATTATGTCGTTATTTTGGGGAATGTTTGTGTCGTTTCATGTTTTATCAACTTTGGATATGTTCCAAAAAGACAATTTGAGTCTAAAATTTGGGAACTTTTCTCCCTTGCTGTTTATATATGAGTCTTTCTAAATTCTTTTTTTTAAATCATTTTCCAATGTCTGTATTGAATTGCAACGCAATTATACAATTATAAGTGCCACATAATTGTTTAAGCAGGAGCATTATATAAAGAACGCCACCAACATATTTCACTTCGCATCCTTTCCATTTTATATCTGTTGAAAACATGTATCTCTAAGTGAGAAAAGGGATTTTGAATTGTGAAACAACTTTTGAATCTCTGTAACAAGTCTTCTTAATTTCAAAAACTAATTCGAGCATTCCAAATGTATGTACTCTTCTTCTGATTACCATAAGTTTCTTGTCTCTATCCAAGTTGGAGCCAATGGAATTTCATTTCTCGAACTTAAAACGTTGAGACAAAGTTACTTAATATTAACCAAATATGCTCAACGACCCAATAATCAAACTGACGAACTAATTAACCATACCTCCCTAAGCATCAAATAGCTCTAAAAGTTACAGACTCACGTGAATCGCAGAGCATGTTTCAACAACACTAGATTTCATTCCTCAAGAAAACCATTGAATGATTGAACAATATCTAGTTATATCACAGCCCTTGGAAGCAATATAGTTCAGCAAAGAACACCAGTTGGAGCATAAACCAATAGATTATATCAAAAAAACGAGAGACTAAACAAATCAAGAACACTTAATTTTATTACTCAAGAAGAATCATATACAATAACAGATTTTCCTAGGCTGTGTGCAAGCAATTCAAGAGAAAACATCATTTGAGGCATTACTCATGTTCTATATTCATCGTCAAAACGAGAGACTGATCAAATCAAGAACTCTCAATTTTCACTCCTCAAGAAATCGTACATTGATAAGCAATAAACATATCTGTTAAGAGACCTTGCGTGCAATATAGATTCCATAGCTCAAAACCTGTGTTGCTATAACCGGAAAACAAATCGTAGAAGCTGGTCACTCACCTCCTCCGTGAAAAACCACCGTTTGTCTGGCTCTGTTTCATGAAAAGGGCTCTCTCTCTTTCCTTCTCAATCCTCTCCCTCTTCAACCGCTCTTCTCTCAATTCCTTCAAGCTCTTCTTCCCATTCCCACTCTTCTTCTTGGCTTCACCTCCTCTGTACCCACCATCATCATCATCATCCTCACCACGAACACCATCTTCATCCTTACGCTTGTTCTCAAGGTACCAAGGACGCTTCACTCCTTTACCAGCAACACCATACCCCAATCTATACTTCTCCTCATCAGGATCCCCTGCTCTCGCTGCTGCATCCTTCGCAGAAGCCCTCGCCGTCGCAGCCGCTTCTTTCCTCATCTTCTTCCTCCTGTGATCTTCCTCCTCCGCAGGCTTATCGTTCTTCGGCAACTCAATCGGATCAAATATCTTAATTCCTTCAAATAGGTTGATATGACCCGTCTTTGGCTCCTCCGGTTCAACGCTCTTCACAGCGGTGGAAGTAGCGGCGGCGGAAGCCACCACCGCCACCTCATATTTGCCCTTCTCTGCCTCCGGAGAAGCTCGTTTGAGAGGCGCCAAGCCACGGACGTTACGAAGCACCTCGAGACGAGACTCGGCGTCTCGTTTCCTGGCTTCCTCGCGCTTAATCTGCTCTTCCTTGGCGGCAGCTTCCTCGTCTTTTCGGACTTTTTCTCTGTTGTCGAAGTTGTAAACGTTCCACCGCTTCTGCGGAAGAATATTCAAACCACCGTGGCCTCCCATGGCTGATTCAAATCAACAAGCTCTAACTGCGAAATCTGTACGGATTGTCAAAAATTCGAGAATTCCGAAAAACCCTTGATCTCGGAAAATATAGGATTGAAGAAAAGAGGAAGATACTCGCAAAATTTAATTAGGGTTTTGTTTGATCTGATCTTCCAATCGACGAAATTGAGCGAAGGAAAGAGATGGAAGAATCTTCAAAAGCGAATCGGCAATTGAATTTTACTTGTTGCGCCCTTGAGTTTTAGAAAAAGTTGGGGACATCCCCAATTGTTTGATCTTTAACATTTAGGCCCATTGATCCCATCACATCCCTTGACTTTTAGACCTTGAAGAATGGAGTTTTGTCAAAGGTCATACCTTCTTACCTAATCAGAGGTTTCACTGTTGACCGGTTCCGCTAAAGTCTAAACTAATGCTTAACCACAACAAAATGGAATTCTGAGGTCCACAAAGCATATAATATGAGAGATAGATTATTACACTGATCTGAAATGATGAGCTAAAGTCGGAACAGGAGATACGTTTGTATAATGTGCATCGATACGCTTATTACACTGATCTGAAATGATGCGCCCTGTATCGGTCAATTTGCATTGTTACATCTTTCAACTGCTTCTTCCTCAACGTCGTTGTTTAGCCAGTGATCAAGTGAAATGTAAAAAAAAAGATGAAAATGCAATATCAAAACTTCAGCACAGATGTGGAAACTGAATACTTCTCCAGAAGCTAAGAAATAAAAAGACTTCCATGGATCCAAAAAGGGAATCAATCATGGCTGAAAAAAAGGTTAAAAATTTCCAACTACTTTCCTCTCGAAACTCATACACTATGCCTTGGGCCAAACTCACCTTCACATTCAGAATACAAACAACTTCAAGACAGTGACATATAAGAACCTGAAAACACTTGCTCCTTCGACTAATTGAGAACTGCAACATAAACTGTGGATTATTATACTCTTCATTTGATCTATCTAGGGGATTTTTAGAGACGTAGTTACCATTGTCTTATGATCAAGATACACAAACAGATGCTTGGATACAGAAGGGCATGGTGAAATTGGAATCATAACATTGAACCATGAAAACTCGACGAGGAAAAATTCACAAGCGTACATAGACAGATTCAGCGCTGAACAGAATGATAAGGAAGTCAATTAATTCCATGATCCGCAGGATTATCACAGTAAAAAAAAAATAACATAAAAAAACCAAAAATTTCCAAGTTTTCTCGCTGTATATAAAGGTCGGATCAGTGACCACGATCCATATTGTTCAATCTCCAAATCAAACCAATAATAATCCCTAAATTAGCTATCATAACAATAAAATCGAGATCAATACGGGTTAATTTTAGAAAGAAAATAGGAAAACTCGATCAAATAACATCGTCCTTCTTGGGTTTGCGATAATTCTCCTCGATGTGCTTGGCGATGACGACACCAGTGTTTGTGAGCTTCCTAATATCAGGAACGTTGTAATTCTGCGCAACGTATACGCCATAAGCCGTTCCCATCATGAACAAGAAGCAGCTCTTCAGTATGCCCATCCTCTCTCTCTCTCTCTCCACCTTCTTCTTCTTCCTCTCCCGCGAGCTTCAGGTCAACTGACTATTCAATTTGGGCCTCTATATCTAGCTTTAAATGGGCCTTAAATACAGTTACATATTCAATTGTAAGGCCCATAGATACGCTCAATTCCATTGGTTACCCTTCCCTACTCTTCACCTAACCCGCAGTTGCTAGGGGTAAATATGGCATATCATATGCAGAAACGTGATCCCGGCATATGCGGTTCTTCTTTATCCTTTTTCGGAGGTAATATTAGAGTGCATTGCTTCTTTGTACACCGTCAGTAAAACGGACGGTTGCGATGTTTGATTACTAGTCTAAACTAGTACGTACCGTCCGATTCGCTTGGATGTTTATATGTATTCCACGTCAGCTGAGGAATTTAGATAAGACCATGCTCCATCTGTATGCAATCTTTCGCCTTATCCGTGAATTTTTAATTGCTTCGCAGAATTTTTTGCAGGTTGCTTCTTTGCTTTTTCTTTTCATAATCTTTTGTTAATTGTGTGTTGTTATCTTCAACGATATTGTCGAGCTCTCTGGAGAAGTGTTTGATCGCAGAAAAGCTTCGTCTTTGTCTTCAACAGGTTTGATCATGGACTTTTACGCCCCTTTTTGGTCTTATTGCGATCTCGTACTGAGTTTAGATTACTCAAGGTTAGGTTTTGTAAAGTTGATCAATCGATCTAGGTTCTCGGGGTTTATGGTATTAGTCTGCCGAATTCTGTGATAGAAAGATGAAACCTGCCGTTTAGTAGTATCTTGGTTTGATGCGTATCTGGGAATTTGATTTGAGTTGTGAATTTATTTTGATGGTTATCTGATTGGCGTCAACGGTTTCTTATGTATATGTAGGCGTGGAAGGGATGGCAAAAAGCACGTTCAAGCAAGAGCATGATCTAGGTTTGGATCCGGACTTTGTTCTTGATTTGGTGTTTGATTCCTCAAAAATCGTTTCTTTGATCTAATTACCCTGTTTTATTGAATCTTCAGAGAAGAGAAGGGCAGAAGCTGCTCGGATTAGAGAGAAATATCCAGATAGAATTCCGGTGAGAGCTCAGTGTCTCTCTTATACGCTGGTCCATTACACATTTTCAAAGTCCTCTGTGATTTGCTTATTGTTTCTTTTTTCATGTTCGGACCAATCCATTTTGTTTCACTGAGTTTATGCAGTTTAAGTTGTTGTTGTGTTTCATTGCCCAGCGAGGCAGCAATATGGTAGTTTGCCCCTTTTGTGGCTCTTTCTTTTTGATTATGAACTTATCGTCTCTTTGCCTATGGTTCTATGCACTTAGCACCTGGCTTTAAATGTACACCCAACTAACAGCTAGTGATCAAGTTATTAGTGTCTGATTAGCTTCACGCTTGTTATATATGTTTGGCACTGTATCAACTACTGCACGGTGTTGTTTAAATTGTAGTGTCAAGTGTGTGTTTGTTTGTTCTATGTTTATGGAATGTGATTTTCTGAAAATCGTTTTTTATTTAACTGCTGATTGTTGCACTTACGAGTCACGACTTAATGGGTTGATTTCTATAATTCATGTGGATAAGTGCTTTATATAGCTTATATCTTAAAAATGACACTGGAGAAAAGATTGTCACACATTTCTATTTTGTGTGGGATCCAGGTGATTGTTGAGAAAGCTGAGAAGAGTGATATACCAACCATCGACAAGAAAAAGTAAAGCATGTTATTGTAATCAATATCCATCTCATTCGGACCTGGCTTGTGATTGACAACTAAGCTTTTTTCCGGGTTTCAAATTTGCAGATACCTAGTCCCGGCTGATCTGACAGTGGGGCAATTCGTGTATGTGATTCGCAAAAGAATCAAACTGAGTGCAGAAAAGGCGATCTTTATATTTGTGGACAATGTTCTTCCTCCAACAGGTACACCAATTTATATTCTGTATAGTCAAGAGTTTCATCACTAAGTAACTGTGATCAACGAAGAAGAAGCATGGAAATAAAAGGTTGATCTGATAATTTTGCAGGTGCGCTTATGTCTGCTGTGTACGAAGAGAAGAAGGATGATGATGGATTCCTCTATGTCACTTACAGCGGAGAAAACACGTTTGGAATTGGATCTCCATAGATCTCCTACTGGATATTTCATTTCACCCTTTTCTATTTCGCCGAATATTTCATCTTCTTATTTATTATCTAAGCAATCAAGCCTATGTACGTACTTCTCTAATAACTTTCGGTTGGGCTTTAATATGTACAGCAAACATAAAATAATGTATATAACATGCTTTGGTGATTATCATTTTTCAAATAATCTTTAATCATCACAACTTGATTGTGTTTGTTTGTTGTCTTTCACTCTATAAGCCGACATAACATGATGTCGTGAAGGCACATGGGCCATGGTAGTTACAATGGCAAGCATAAGCCCCCCCAACTAAATAGAAACAGCAGCACCAGGGTTTGTGCCACGTGGCAGACACGGTCGGTACCGGTTGAGAATGGCCGGTGATGTGAGAAAGGTCCCACATTGTCGTTGACGGAGAGAGAGAGGGTGGAGACGGTCGGACCATGCTGCCTTGTTCTAATTATACACTTTCAATATTGACTTTGTTTCTTCATTATGATTCTTCAAAAAGGTTTAGCTCAAAGATGTTATTGAACGATCCTCAAAAGATTCTCATTCAAGTTCTCCAACCGATCATGTGGAACATGAGAGACGCGGTTGTGTTTTTAGGAGAAGATGTAGTTATTTTGACCATTGAAGTTGAATGTAAAGATTCAGAGTTTTGTCCAAGTACAACTCTTAGTAATAGTAAGTACCTGTTGTCTGAATAGATGTGGATGTTAACAGTAGTATGTCTAATAGTGTCCTGATAAGAAGGTGATCGTCATCGAGTAGGACTTAGGAGAGTGATGTTCAAATTGCAGTGTTATATGTTACAAGGGGAAGAATAAGTTAAGCAAATGGAAGAAGGAAAATGAGAGATGCATGAGATGACCTCACGAAGACCTTTCAAGTAGACAAAAGGTTTGGTTGATCAAGACACCCACTATACATACGATAGATACGTATCCAAATACAGAGATGAATGGGAAATATATTTGAAAAAATAGACAAGAGAGAAGGTAAAAGAAGAAGAGAGGAACAAGAGCATGTTATGATAATGAAGGACCCCCCTCTCCTCCTCCCCACCTGCATTCAATGCTTGTCTTACTCTCTTTATTTATCTTTCTTCTTTGCCTACAAATACTCCTTTATCTCTTCTCTTCTCTTACACACTTAAAACACATTTCAAACTATATTTGTCCTGCTCTCAAGTCTCAACTCCCTACATATATATAGCCACAGTTTAACTTTTAAAGTATCTGAAGAAGAAGACGAAGAGAGGTCATGTCTTGCTCTGTTAAGAGTGGATTTGCGATGGTGTTCTGTTTCATTCTTCTGATTTTGTCATACAATGTTGGATGCACCAGTGCTCGCCGCCTAGGGCATCATCATAAGCATCATCACAAGGCTGCTTCTTTGCTGCAAAACGTAGTCAATGGTGACGGGAGGAGGAGGGTGCTGGGTGGAGTCGAGACAGGTGAAGAAGTAGTGGTCATGGACTATCCTCAGCCTCATCGTAAGCCTCCCATCCACAACGAGAAGGCTTGATTGCTCAGATCCTTACCTCTTATCTATATATATATCATACTGTTATATGCAATATGCATTCACCATGTCGGTGGTTGTAATGACTCTTCTTGTGCTACTGCTACATATATAAAAGATATTCGTGACCAACTACTTTGCTTTCTCTCTATTCCTCTCTCTATAGAACAAACAAGCTGCACCTTCTTCCTTCTATTTACTGTATTAATCTATTTCATATAGTTGTGCTATATTTTAGAACACTTGACCGCCATTTTAGCTCAGAGCAGCGTGAGTATAACGTAACAGACATCGTCATTAATTACAAAGAATACACATGTCTGTGAGAAGTACAAACCCTCATTGCAGCTCAAAATAATTAAGCTAAGTGTAACATTTGATAAAATACCAACGGTATACATTCGGTTCCGGATCAAATAACAGTGCGTCAAAAAAAAAAAAAATAGTGTGTTTTATAAAAAAATCCAGTTTTCAGCTGCAAGGAACAATGAATGGTTTGACAAAATCAAGGAATTCAGATGTCCTGACGCCTAGCTTCAGATCGATCTCGCCACCGCCCAACCAGAAGAAGTTCGGTCTAAGTTTGGTTATGGCCTCATCCAATATCACCTGACATTTCCCAAAACCCATCCAACATCAGCCATTTTCAAATCAAAAGTAATCTGAATATGCCTCTTGAAACTCTAAACATGAAAACAAAACTGGCTTTGGTAGATCACTGTGCACAAATTGAAATGGGATCCAAGATTTTAGTTATGAGAACACAAGTAACTGTAACTCAATGGATTTTTATCCGTATCTCCCACTAAAACGAACTTCCAACTCTATGAATACTTCCAAATAACAAGTCACTGTGCACAAATTAAATTGGGATCCAGGGTTTTTTATTACAAGAACACAAGCAACGGAACTAGTTACCCAAAAGGGAAACCCCGTTAATACTGAGGTCTAAAAGATGATTTTGAAAGACTGATGTGTCCCAATAGCACAAATAGTGTGTTGTCTGAAGTGGGCCACTTCCTCATAAGGAAAGGAAGATAACATGATCTACACATCAATGCAGTAGGGTACGAGCCTCAGATTATGTATACATACTCACCAAAAACAACGCCAATTTAAGTCTCTCTATCTGACACCCATTACTAACTCTGGCACTGGTAGTGCAAAGAAGGTATTGAACTGTAAAAAATGAGGTTCTATTTTTTTACTATCAATAGGGAAAATACTAAAGAACAATGAGTGGGACAAACAGCAGCTGGCTCACAAGAAGACTCTTAACTTTGGGTCCGTATCAAATGCAAGTTGTGATAGAAAATGTACTACACCTCCTGTACAGACATAGAGAAACAAGCATGACAAAAAAAACTAGCTGTGTAACCCATTGGGCATTGAAACCTACCGGGCCTCTGTGACAATTAGGATAGGAAAATATACTGTGATGTCTGCAAAACGCTTGGCAAGCGCATGTGTGTGAAAGGTAAAACTCTCTGTAACTATTTATGAATAGACAAAAAAACCAGTACAAAACTGTTTGTCTAGGAGACGAAAACACAAGTGGGTAGATGTTCGCTCATGATACTCCCCATGTCTTACACATGTCTAATATGTAATTAATAGTGTAGAGACTATTGTAGCAGCAAATGAGCAAGCACCAAGAAAAAGTCGGTCAGGCTTCACACCAAGATTTAATTCTATCATAGAAACAACGGGTGTGGAAACAAAACTTACCGGTATGTTTGTCTTCATACCTACACAAGTTACCGCATTGCGCTCAAAGCCAGTCAATTTATTTGACGTCTCCTCAGGAGCAAGTCTCACTACACAGGAATCAACACAGGACTCAGCAGATAGAAGCAACATATAAACTTCAAAAATCCTAACAGATAGCTCATGAACATAAAGAATAAGAAGCACTGACGATTAAATCTTTTCTTTGGGATCTTTCCCTCGTTTAGTGAATAAAGAAAGTTCTTCACTGCATCAGCACTGAATCTGGCAGAGTACTGCCATACAAAAAGATAGTAGTGGTCAGATTAATACGATTAAAAACGAGATAAAGGTGAAAATGCTATTACACAGGAACCATCAGGAGCACCTGAACCACAACGAGATAGTATTTTGAGTTGTTGCGATCACTGCAATCCAAAACATTTGATGAAGCTTGGGTATTAACCTGCACTAGTAATACATTTAGTGAAGAATCAAATGCAAAAAAGCAAGAAGTGTAAAATGAAACTTATTGATCTTTTCGTTGTTTACAATGTATATAGGCTAAACCATCTTGAACAGAAATTATACTGATCCTTGATTCAATGTGTTAATTTCACATGTCAAATACTATCCTTGATCGCAACATTGTTCACTTAATACGAAATTTTTACTCGAAATCCGAAAGTACCAGAACAATGCTCTTGCAGAGATGGTCGATAGAGGAGGCGCCGAGAACGACGCGGCGGGATTCGAGAGACCAGTCGTAGTAATCGGAAGCAACTCTCTTGAAGCAGAAATCGTTAACGCCGCCGGACCGGAGAATGGAGGAGAGGCGAGACACCGTTTCGCTTTCATCATCAGGTAGAGAAGGCGACGAAGACGATGAGGAGCTTTGTGGGAGGATAGAGCTCTCGAGAAGCGAGATTCTACGGAGGATTTCGATTTGGAGTCTCTCAAGCTCCGCCGCTGCAGCCTCCTCCATGCCTCCTCCCTCTTCTATCCCGATGTACTTTTCCGACGCCGCAAACAAGTCTCGTACGTAAACTCCGTGATCACCTGTGGTCGTGTCTACGGTAAATAAGAAAAAGCCAGGTAAATCTGAGCCGTTGATTTTATCTGGTGTCCCCTTGGGATTTTGGTTATATAAAAACTAAAAAGGAAAAAAAATAACGATTTAATTAACCCTTTTCAATTGAACCCGGTTAACCATGGTTTGCCGGTTCGACCGGTTTCTGGTTTTTAGCGGCTCAATCCGGTTTTTTAATCGGTTAATTAGGTTTTGGTACTAATCTAACCCGGTTATATTTCCGGTTCGCGGTTTAACTTGGTCGGACAGCCGGTCCGGTCCGGGTTTAAAAACATAGGCTTTAAACAAAAAGTATGCTCCAGAGTTTTTGACGCATGAATAAAACGACATCGTATTGTTAATCACTATTTTTGCCGCGCGAGTCCACGTTAGTTGTTGGGCCAAATCACCAAATATGGGCCCATTTAGTGCTCTGCCTATAAACTCCATTACTTAACTATGATGACTCTTTGACGAAACACGTGACGGGACAGGCTCCGTTGACTCTATAACGTGTTACGTATCTTACGCCACGTGGATACATCCAGTTGTAAAATCTGACGGTGTAAAACGACAATAGATTCATCACCGCGTGAGACGATTGGTCTATCCGTAAATCTCTGGAATTATCTGCCCACATTACAACGCAAAAGCAAATCTAAGAAATTATCCTCTATAAAAAAACCCGAAACCGACGATACCGTTAAGATCCGAAAAAGAAAAAAAGGATTAAGAAAACAAAATGATGAAATCGTTGATTTGTCTCTCTCTCATCATCCTCCCTCTCATCGCCGTCGTGGAAGGCAATCTCGGTGGATGGAAACCGATCAAGGATGTATCTGATCCGAACGTGGAAGCGATCGCCAAGTATGCGATTGAAGAGCATAACAAGCAATCGAAGGCGAATCTGGTGTTCGAGAAGGTCGTTCGTGGAAAAGAACAAGTGGTCTCCGGGAAAAAGTACGATCTGATCATCGCGGCGAAGAACGGCGGTGGTGCGACCAAGAATTACGAGGCCGTCGTTGTGGAAAGGCTTTGGGAACATTTCAGGAACCTTGAATCTTTCAAGGCTGTATAGATCTTTGGATTTTTGGTATAAAAAAATGGATCTCGATCGGATATACATTATCTAGGTTTTCGATGATTTGAGATTTTGACATTATGTTGTTGTACTTGTGTTGGTAACGTTTTTTTTTTTTGCAATTTGAAATAAATCAGGGATATGTTTTTTGAGATTCATAAAGAGCTTTTTGATTTATGTTTTTTGAGATTTATATACTCTTCACTCGATTTGCATTTGATGTGAACCGAACCATCGACGATGTGATGCAGTTGCGGTTGCAGACGCATACGTGCGTCGCTCAAAATTTTCACGTTCTAAACGCACGATTGTAACTTTTGCCTAAATTGCCTATGTGCTAGAGACCAATCTATGCTAAACACATTATCTCCTTATCCATTGAAAATTTCACAATAAGGTCACAAAATGTCACGATGCGAATCTCTTACTTAATTTTGGTTCCAAATTTACTTGCATTCTTTTGGGTTAACCCATCAATTAGTTGATTAAGAAGGAAGAATTGTTGTCAAGAGTCAAAAATGCATTTTTTTGGCAATCGAGTGGAGTCTCACATTGGCCTCCCGTGGAGAAACCGTGAAATCCTCATACTTTGGAAATCCACAAAAAAAAAATGTCATACGTAGTGCCTAAGCTTCCGCTGTGAAGGCTGATTTAGTTTCCGGGTTTATGGCTTGGAGCTTTCCTCCAGTTACAAATTCACATGCTATTATTATTGTGGTTTTGCCGAAAAGAAAATATTATAATCTTGTTCACGTTCTAAGATGCGTTGTTTATGCTATATCATATAAACAAAATAGATTTGAGGATCGTAGATATTGTAATCTTGTTCACCTATGCTATATAGGTGTTAATAGTCATTAGTCAAAACCAATTTTAAACATTTTGTTCTTGTTGGAAGCCCATTGGACCAATAGACCAAAGGACTAGATCAAGCTTTAAATTGAATGAGCTTTTATTTTTTCCCACTAACTGAGTTTTTTTCTTTTCTTGAATGTGATCTTAACGTTTTTGGGAAAAAAACAATTCCTCAAACATACTTCATTCATAAATTGGAAACTAAGAACATACATAGGTTCATTCTTAAAGTTGAAAAAAAAAAAATACAAATTGTAAAGCTGTTTAGTGTTGTATCGAGAAAACTTCAATAGCTAATTTAATTAACTTTTAGCTAATAAAATCACAAGAAAAAGGTTTATTGATAGCAGATTATAATAGCTCAGTTTTCGTAACTGCTATTAAAGATGGTATGTTGAAGTGGATTACTATTTGATAACATTTTAGAAATGCTAAACACAAAAATATGTATTGCGGGAAGTTAAAAATTACTTAGTGAGCCTTATTACATTTATCGAGCACCAACACTTAGCCGAAAAATCATTTTTGGTATCAAAATATTTTGGTTTTGCCCCCTTTTCTTCCAATTTAACCATTAACGCTAAACCTATTTTTTTTTCCAAAAACTCTTATACTTTTGTCGGTTTCTCTCTATATTCTTCTTTCTAGCCTTTCTCAAAATTTCCTAAGACTCTCTAGATCCAGAATCGGTACCATACTCTCGACGTCCTCCATCTACAATCATCTTCGTTAACTCCGCTTAAAGGTTGCGGCTTGCTGCACTGCTCCTCTGCCACAATTGTGGCCACCACCGCCTCTTCCTTGCTCCTCCCTTCCATATCTCTCAACAACCTCTGCTCCTTCTCTAAAAATGCCTCCCCATCTGCTTCTCCGACAAGAGCATCAGAAGATCTAGGGTTTCCCTGAGCGTCTCTGCTGGATCTAAGAATACCTTCAAAATTCTGGGTTTTCAAATTACTGATAATGAAGATTTTGGTCTCGTCGCGACTCTATCTCTCTCGCCGAATCCCTCTCTCTGCTCACTATCTCTCGTTGACTCACTTTCTAGCCGCCTCTGTTTCTCTCTCGCTGCTTCACACCACCGCTCTCTCTTGCCGCTACAAGACCACAAATCCTCGTACTCAGGTATTTTTAGACCTTGGGCTTCTAGGGAAAGGATTAGATGGATTTTGGTTAGTTCTGATTTTTTTTTTTGTTTTTTTTTTCCTTAGTTCTGAGCATCTATTTTCGTGGGTATGCTTCTGACTTTGAGCCAATATCACTTTGTCACTGAATCTTTCAACTCTTATCCGCAGGTGCAAAATATTTTGCAGCAAATGGTGGGTTTTCTTACAGATATATATATATATATATATATATATATATATATATATTTGTCTCATTAGGCCTGTGAATTGCACCTTCAAACAAGTAGACTCTGTTAATCTGGTCTTTTGTGTTTTTCAGCAAAACAGGTTCCATAAAATGTCGGACTCCATTATTGCAAAGAATATGCTTACATCAATTTATGGTTTTACTTGAATGTTGCTTCGATTATCATATTTGAAGTGTTTCCAACAAAGAGTAAGAACCATGATCTTTTTTTTCCGTCAAAAAATAACCATGATCTCTAATATTAGTTTCTTTCTGCCATTAAACTATATGAAATGACAATTCTCTAATGACATATTAGATGTAACGATGATCCCTGATAATTGTTTCTTTATGTTTAAATGTCTATGTTATAGATAGTATCACATGTGTCTATATTATGATCTTTAGTTAAGAGTTCCTCTTATACACATACTTCTTTGCTCTCGCTGATTTTCTTTTGTTTCCTAGATGGATTAACACAACCGTTCTGGGCTCTCCCCTGGAGATGGTCAGTTCTTTCATAACTTTTCTCTGTAGGAATTCAATTTGATGATGTTTAGAATGATCATCGATTTGTGGTCATTTTGGAATAATAGGAAGTCTGTTTCTTCTTTGGGTTTGTTATGATTTATGGCTTCTCATTCTTCCTGCCAAACTATTGTTATTTGCAGTTATGCCCAAACTCATGAGCACAAGAACATCTCAGTTCCGGAGTTTACATGTGTCTCATCTGCTAAGGTTTAAGTCAATTACCTTTCTCATTGGTTTATCACTTATGAATGCTAGTTTGATGACTAGTCCATGGTCAGCTTCTATTCTTCTAGCATGTATATTGTTCTCTTAATTCTTATAATCACTTATAAAACTTGTGAATTTTTGTTTGATCTTCACGAAATCAATGTTATTTTGCTTTGTATAGTTGTGCAAGCTTTGATATGATTCTCTATCATAGTTTGCTATCATCTCTAGAAGCTCCTAGAGGTTTTATGGTTTTTTTTGGTGTTTTAGGTTTCTCCTCTGGGCAAAGGAGCTTTGTATATAAGGCCTCTGCTAATAGGGAGTTTTCTGATTTTTTACTTGTATAAATGAAGTAAGTTTTGATTTTTTCAAAGAGTTGCATTTTGTTTGTTTGTTTTCAGAAGCGTGGATGCTTATTACTTGGTTTCCATAAGCTCTCTCGGTCTGCGCTCTCTCGGTCTGCTTATGTGTTCAATTCGATTCTGATTTTGCTTGTGTATTGGATTGGATGATCTGGTGAAGATGCTTTTGAGACTGCAAAGAGCTGACGTTTCTTCTTCTCCCTAATCTCATTAGCTTTTGGTTTTAGTTCTTATTCCTTCTCTCTGTTCTTGAGAGTTTTTTAAATTTCTCAATTTTTTTTTCAGAAAAGAAGAATTTTGCAATACTTAGACCACATTAAGCAAAACGAGAGACTTGAATCAGTTTCAGTTACATCTCATCATTACAGGTTTGATTTCTTGGTCCTTTACATGAATAATACTGTGTTTAACACTCTTAGGTCGATTATTATTTGCACAGTTCATCAAAAGCAGGTTTTGGTTACAATAAACTTTTCTCTAGAACAATTGGAACGTGTTTTGGATACAAGATCAAACCTGGTGGAGTTTTATATTGGACAAAAAACAGAAGAGGGCAACAACTGCTGCAAAAACCGGTTGCAAGATGATCACATCTTCTTGAGGTAATTTGTTCAGTTGGATTTGGTGCATTTCTGAAATTATGCCTTTGCTTGATGACTTTGGAGAATTACGTAATCACAGATTCCCAATACATCAATATGGTTTTGGTTTGTTGCAGTTACTATGTGTGTTTGTTGCTTGGAACAATGCAACTTATGGCATTGATTCTCTCCCAGGCTAGGCAAGCTCTTCTCACGCAAAGAATTGCTTCAGCACTTCAAGCAGCCATGACCACGTCTTGTAAGACATTTGGTATGATGTTTAAGACTTAATGTTTTGTAAGACTTGTTTTTAGTATGATGTTTGTCCTTGTGATGTTTTGTGTAAGACATGTTTGGATGTTTAATAAAAATAAGAGTGTTTTTAATGCAAACGCTGGTTTCATTTCATATAGTTTTGGAAAACATGTTTCTCTCGGTTTGAAAATAATTTTGCAAAACTACAGGTCGTAACCAAAAAAAAAAAAACTAGAACACATTAAACAATAGCCCGGAAAAAATGTTATAAAACAATATACTATAGTCCAGAAAAAGAGGTACAACACGTTATACCGTAGCCAAAAAAAGGAGCTACAAGAGATTAGTCTATAGCAACAAAACCGTGCGACAAAAATCCATATTATAGTATGCAAATAGTGCTACTAGACTATATAGAATAGCGTCTAAAATGAGTTACTATATCGTAAATAACAATACAATTTCAACGCTATAATAGAAGTATATATTACAGCACAATCCGAAAACGCTATCGTATAGGGGTCACCCTATTATAGTTTCGAATATTACAGCGTTTATGAAAATGCTATCAAATCGATATAATAGGGCTAATCGTGAGCTAACAATATATATTTTTTTTGTAGTGTCATTAACCAAATAAAACTATATCTATTCTTGTCGGTTGAAAACTTGAAATGTTCAGTTTATTGATAAACAAACACAAATGAGTAATTTACACATCTAAAGTTTACTTTGTCCTTTTTCTAAAGAAGAGTGCTTTATTTGGAATAAAATCGACGGAGTTTATTTGAAGTGAAAGGGTCATGATACATGGAAAAAGAATAGTGCTTGGACCCCTTCATTATTGCAATATTTAATTTGCATACACTTTATTCAGTCAATCTTGCATTGCTCTCACATCTCCACTTATTTCTTCTTCTTTTTTCTACATTTTTTAAGTTTTTTTTAATATATATCTCTAAATCCACTTAGTCACTTACGTATTTAATTTCATTTTATCCCTCATATGTTTTAAGTAGGACATACGTACGAAATTCAACTTCACTTGCAGATTGTAAAAACTGTGATAGTATTTGAAATGGAATACACTTTTTTACATCTTTTTTTTTAAGAACTTTTTTTACATCTTTGACATAAAGGAGTAATGATTATTATTCCTTAATCCTTACACCCGCACAATCTTTTTGGGCTGTCCGAGTGAAGACACGCATGTACTTCTAATTAAATATTGTAATTATTAGTATGCATTCAAAACGAAAATGGATCCACTTTTTCTTTCTTTGGCGGCATGTTTACTGCTTTTTCGTCATTAATTAGTGATTTTAGTGGTGAATGGTGATGATGACTTTTGTATGGCGCTATATTGCTTGGATTAATGTTGAATTTTGATTTCCATTATTGGAGTTGGTTATCTGCATAATTAGCAAAACGAGTAATTTTATTATGAAAATCTTATAGTAAAGATACATTACTTACACGTGTGGGTAGTAAAGAGATGACCACAAAAGAGTTGACTGATTAAGCATGATGTCATAAGAATGTACTCCCATGCTTTCTATTAAGTTGAGATGTCCTTTTTGTTTCCTCTTCGCTGCTATTACGTACAAACTAAATATTTACTCAAAACTGTATGAAAACATACTTCTTGTATGTAATTTAAACATTAAGACATTTTAGGATACTTCTTATTGTAGCTAATGGTTTTGATTGGTTGATGATTGCTTCAGAAGAAAATAAAATAGAAACAAAAACTATTCTGCTGTTTTTATTTTACACCTCAAACAAAAAAAAATCACAAAAGCAGGAAACAAAAATATAACTTCTCTTTATAAAACTTAAGAAGAATAAGAATTTCAGAATCTTTCTCTCTAATTTTTTCATCTCAGTTCCACTTTTTTATTCCAACTTCATACCAATCTATTATATAATGGGAGAGTTTTCTCTCCATTTAGGGTGTCCACATCAGCATAGCATAAGAAGAAAATTACAATGAATGACTCAATTAATTCATACACTTTAAAATAGTATCATTTTCATTTAAAAATAAAATAAAAACACTAATACTAAAGTTAATGACTTCATTAATTCACACATTGTTTATAATCATTATTTTTATCAAAAAGAAGCAGAGAAAAAACTAGAAAAAATAATAAGAAAAAGTAGTTAAAGAAAAAGATGATGATGAAAATGAAACTCAAGACGACGAAAAAGAATAAGAAAAAAAAAGAAGATGAAAAAATCAAAATATAAAGAAAAACATGTAGATGAAGATGAAATAGAAGATGAAGAATACATACACGAGATAAGTAAATATAAGAAAAACAAAATTAGAAAAAAAGATGAAGAAAAACAAAAAAAAAAGAAAAGATATAGAAGTTGAAGAAGATGAAGATGAAGAAAAGAAGGATAAAGAAAGAGAGGAAGAAGAACTCAAGCTGATGAAGAGGAATTTAAGAAAATACGAAGGCAAAAATGTTAAAGATGAGAAAGGAGACCGAAAATGAAAAATAATATATTATCTTAATATGATGATGGAGAAAAAGTATAATAAAATCAAGAAAATAAGAAAAAGAATATGATGAATTAGCTGTTTAAAAATAAAATATGATGAAAATCTATACCCACAAAATTTAATATTAACATATATTTAAAATATATATATATATATATATATATTTATATTCATATTTAGTATATTTAGTACAAATAAATAAAATAAAAGAAATTTTAGTATAAAGATGCAGAAAAAAAATTAAAATAACAAATTATGAGAATATGAGAAAATGAAGATAAAGAAAGAAAAATTTGTTGTTATATAGAAACACTATTAAAAATAACTAATAGAATGCAGGCATTGTTAACACAATGCAAACCATAAAAATTATTTATTAAACAAAGAAAAGAAACTATGACAAAAAAAAATGACAAAAAAAAAACAAAGAAAAGAAATTTATCAAACAAATTCTTTTTAAAAAATAGCAGAACATACGTTTAAATCTGCGCGAAGCGCTGAGTCAATCCTAGTATTTGGAATGGCGATGGCCCGTTGAAACTTCTTCTCATTAACAAGTAACAACGTATTTTGTTGTATTAATAATTAAGAGTATTAAGTACTCCTACTGTTTATATAAAAAAGAGTATTAAGTATTAACTAATGGCTGATGCTAAGAAATACGATAGAGATTCTTTCTAAAAGAAAAAAAAAAATCGATAGAATTGTTTACACTTTACACTAACATAAAGCTGAATCAAGGATATGATGACCACGTAGTATGAAGTACTCTATGAACTGAATCCTCTTGAATTTCCAAAAGCATTAATAGAAGCGTTGCCGGGAACCAAGCCTCTCGAAAATATTAATTTATTTTTTCAGAATCGAAAATATTAAATAAACAACTGAAAAAGGAAAAGCGCTGATTAAAAGTAATATTTAATCCTTTTCATTATTATTATTATTATTTTTTGACAACAATCCTTTTCATTATTTTTAGGACTTGCTTTTGTGAATTCGAGCTTTTTTTGGTCTGGGCTCTGGAGAAAGTGAGCAACACGGTTCGAACAAAGTGAGTAACGCGTAGCCGTTGTTATTTGAGGACTGTTTAACTTTATTTTTGAATTACTTTATAATTTATAGGGATATCATTTTCTAAAAATATTACTACAGTATAATTATTTTTCTAAAGAATTTGTATTAAATGACCATATTACTATTCATAATTTGCTACATAAGAAAAATTACTGTTCAAGTACTGTATAATTTTCTTTAATATATTTCTACCCTTATACACCCATATATAGTGTTCTCTCTCTTACTCTCTCGTCTTTCTCTTTCTTTCCTATACTACAATTTGAAGTCTAAACAACAACCACTACAAGAAAACACCTCATTTACAACGATCATATTTGTTGTAAATAAGTGTTTGCATCGATTTTACGACGAAAATCAAATCGTCGTTAATCAATCGTCGTAAATCCAATTTCGTCGTAAATTCGTTGTAAATTAGCGACGATTTATATTCGTCGCTAATTTACGACGATTTTCAATATTTTTAATTTTTAATTTTTAAAATTTTTTACAACGAATTTACAACGATTTTTAATATTTTATTTATTTTTAATTATTATTTTTACAACGAATTTACAACGATTTTTATTATTTTCCGGCGATGGTGGCTCCGGCGGTGGTGGCTCCTCCGGCGATGGTGGTTCCTCCAGCAGTGGTGGCTCCTCCGGCGGTGGTGGCTCCTCAGGCGGCGGTTGTGGTTCCTCCGGTGGTGGTGGTGGCTCCGGCGGGGGTGGTGGTGGTTCCTCCGGCAGCGGTGGTGGCTCCCGGCGGCGGCGGTGGCTCCCGGCAGCGGTGATGGCTCCGCGACGATGATGATGACTCCAGCGGTGAAGATAAATTATTGAACTTATTATATAATAGTGTTGAGTTTGTTATATATATATATTGTAAAAAAGTTTGTCAAATTGCCGATGTGTGACTTTTATAATTTTGATTAACGACGAATTTATATCGATTTTAGGATGAATCGTTGTAGTTTTTAAAAATTAAAAAAAATTTACAACGAATTTACATCGAATCGTCGGTAATTTTTTGTTAACTTTGAATTAATTATATATGATCATACTGTAGTAAATTATACATACACTTTTTATATGAAAATTTAATAAATCAACATAAAATTTATATAAAGTAAACATAAAATAATAAGATTTTAGAACTTATAAATAATAGTAGTTAGGAGAAAAGATTTTTTTTAATAATAGAAAACTTGCAATAATTTTTTTAATGTTTTTTTTATTTAAAAAAGAATTTGTTGTAAAATTATTGTGAATTTAAAACGAATGTACAACGAATATTAATTTTATTTTAATAAAAAAAATATTCGTTGTTAATTCGTTGTAAATTTACAACAAATGAACAACGATTATTTCTACAACGAATTTACAACAATTTTACAACGAATACCATATTCGTCGTAAATTCGTCGTAAATTTACGATGATTTTACAACGAATCATTTTACAACGAATTAACGACGAATTGGAATTCGTCGTAAAGTTGCAACGAAAAGAAATCCTTGTAAAAATTCGTTGGTAATCTTGTGTTTTCTTGTAGTGAACGACGGAAACAACAGTTCCTCTCACTCTCTCTCATCTATCTCTTTTTTTTTCCTTTACTCAAATATTCTAATGCCTCTGCTCAACTATTGTTCTATGTGCTCTAATGATGTAAAAGACTGTTTTTAGCTTTGTAATATGAGTTTATTCTAGTTTAATTTCAATTTCTCCAAGAAAACTATAAAAATTGATCTTATCTGAATTAAAGTTATTTTAATTTCGTATTTTCTCTTGAATTATGTATCTGCTTACGTAAATTAGAAATTATCTTTCTTCTCTAAAATTATAGATCTGAGACTGGGAGAGAGATTGTTGAAGACGGAGATCTCGATGAGTTACGTTGGAAAAATATTAATTTGAAAGTGAACAATCAACAATTTTATAACTCTATTAAATAACATATTAGAGATATATTTAAATGTTAATACCATCCAACAAAATTTTAACATATCCAAATAATATATAGCTGGATGATATATGATGGTTATCTTTGAATCCGAAAGCTGCACCCACTCCAAATTATCTTTGAATTTTGAATTAAGGTTTTAAAATGAGTGTTAGATTGCTAATATATTTTATAGAAGATTACAATTTATTTACTATACCATTTAAATGTTTTGATATATCTCTAATATACTACTTAACATGTTAACTATATTATTACATAAAATAGATTTAAATTAATATTCGATAAGCCAAATATACCAACTGAAATTAAGCACTCTAACAAATTATATAGTTTTATAATATGTTATGTAATTGTATAATTTATATGTTAACATGTATGAGATTATAAAAACGCGCTAAAGAATTATTTAGACTGCTAAAGTTTAATGTAGCTGTATAACATATATGTTAACGTGTTCTGATATAACCAGTTAACGAACCAAATATAGCAATTCAGATGTGTCAAATAATGCAGCAATCTTTTTTTATTATTTTTAAGAATGCAGAAACTTATCATGCTAACAAAATATGTAGTTTGATAAAAAGTTATGTAATTGTATAACTTATATGTTAAGTAAAGAAGAATGATGAAAGAGAAATTCTATTAAAAAAAATATTCGTTACAAAAGAATAAATGGGTAAAGAATAATAACACTCTCGACAATGTAGGACCAATGTCATATCAATTCACTGTTTTTTCTATTTTGCCAATTTTGAAGGATTTTCTAACAAATTAACTCTTTTTTATGATGGTTTAGCTAGTGATTTATTTTGGTCAGAAATACTTTAATGATGTATAATTCATCTGACTGGTAGATGCTACATATCAAATTACCTTGATTTTTTCTTTGTGCAATTAAATCCTATTGATTATATTTGATTTTGTATGCTATAGTTTTAGTTTTTTTTTTTGAAAAAAATTCACAATTTAGTTTGTTGTTTGTGATCAACTTCAAAAGTTTACTTGTATAGCAGTACTATATCATTTTTTGGGGCAATAATATCATATGGTTTATCATAAAATTAATATTTTTTCTAGCAAAAAAAAATTAATATTTTTATGAGCATAACATATACGCGTAGACATAAAATTATGTACAGATTAATGTACATACATACACCCAACTTTGCAGAAAATGACATTTCATGATGGAATCATTCATCAATTATAATTTTTTAAATTGCCAAAAACGACAAATATGATCTACTTAGAGTTTTAATATCGCCAGTTGAGAATGTTAATTATTTAAGGATTACGTAGTGTTTATAGAAAATATTATTTGTCTATTTTGGTCGCCGTAATAAGGATATACCTACTCTCATCTCTACGGCTGGCTAAACGATTGTTAGAGTGGGGACAAACACAATCTTTACAATCGCATTAATTTAATTGCATTATTAATCATTTTAGATTCTAGTTGGGGTGTTGAACAACTCACCATGCTGTATAATTATACGGCACGTTACTTTTAAAATGATCACAATCAGATACTTTGCCTCCGAAGCAATTCAGAGTAATTTCCTAAAACTCTAACTGGGATTATATAAACCTTCGAGAGACAGAATTTTTATATGTTTTTAATTGTTGATACGTCGCTTTGGCGACTGATTAATTATTTTTAATTAATCGTACGTGCACTTACTTATTCCTGACAATGAAAGCATATATTATTCAGTGCATCAAGTTTTATGTCATACGTATTTCGACACCACTAATCACTTATATTTATATAAAAGAATATGCTACATTGCAACACTTTCATCACTAGACAAGTTAAATATTTTTAAGCAAATCTGTTAGTCTGATCCGTCCCGTAAAAAACTGTATCGTTTATGTTAACACTATAGTTAGTTACCCACTGGTTGGTTTGTCCCTATATTAGGTTTGATACTAATACAGATGGATGATCCAAAATGAAACAAAATGACATAGTTTATGACAATAATAGCGTTAAATACAACAAAATAAAATGTGAATCAGATATGGATATACGACAAACGTTTAAACAAACTGAACTTGATAGACTGATAGTAATGAACAACACTCAAAATCTACTGTATATCTAATTATGGTTCTCTCTAGCAACTAGGTTTGATGTAATTGTCACAAAAAAATAATAAAAAACTAGGTTTGATGTTAATTGCCACAGCGAATATAGAGTTGTAAACATATAATTGAGTGATTTTGACAAATACAAAACTTGACTATAAGATGTAGTCTACTAATATACGTAAGTGTCATCGTTGCTGTATCATCATTATCCGAATAAAAATCTGTAATATCATGTTGTGGACAGAAAATAATCACTATAAACTCTTAAAATAAAAAAAATATTATAAAACCATAACGACAACCTCATAATTGTGCCATAACGGCACAACCTCATAATTGTGTATTGCAAAACTAATTTTCTTTCTGTTTAGCAAAAGAAAAAAAATCCATTTTTCGTTTTGTTGGTAAGTAATAAAATTAAACCGAGTTAAACCAATATAGATTGCAATGGTGAAAAATTTAAAACCAAGGCATTGGGCGAATCTATGTCGACGGTTTCAACGGACACGTGTGGACAAGCTGTGCACGTGCCGCCAGGTGTTCATTCAAAGCTCTAGAAACCGTTGGATATATGATCTGACGGTCTGAAACGTCTCTTCCTCAGCCGTTCATAACTCAACCCCATCAGCAGCATATCGGAATTACCAAAAAAGCCAACTGGCCCCACGTGTTTTATGGACTGGACTCCTTTGTTTAAAGGGGTATTGATGTACTTTAACATGGACCCCTCGGTTCACCTAAAAGTCACGGCCACATGGCTGGTGAGACAGACATGCAACCAATGTGCTGCTCCTTCTGAATCGTTGATTTTAAATAGATGCAGCTCTGGATCTCTCCACGTGTCACCGTGACTGTGGAAATTCGTCACAGTCCCGTGAGTGCAGTCTCTCCCAGTTACAAAACAGCTGCAAGCTTTTAAAAACCTTTCTCATCCTCTTCCTCAAGCCTCCTCTTCTTTAATCTCACCATGAAAGTTCAGAGAAATTGAGAAAAAAAAACGAAGGTCAAATTTGGTCAGCACAGATTCTTACGAAGATGGTTTCCGTGGAGGATCCGTTACCCCATTCGAATTCCACTCGCTTCCCGCTCACATCTGATTTCTACGGTTCATCGTCGCCGTCGGCAGCGAGGATACACCGTCAAGCTGGCCGGTCGATGAGGACGGTAAGATCTAATTTCTACCAAAGCGGCGATCAATCTTGCTCATTCGTCAGCTCCGTCGGCGATAAATCGGGGTACGCGTCGGAGTACCTGTCGGATTCAGTCATCGACATGAGGCTCGGCGAGCTCGCTTTGAAAAACAGTAATTCACTCAATTCAAACGCTTCTTCAGTTAAAGAGGAAGAGTTTCTCGACATTTCTCAGGTGTTTAGCGAGTTTTCCGCGTGTAGCAGTGATATCTCCGGCGAGTTACATCGTCTCGCTTGCTTGCCGTCGCCGGATATCGAGAGAAAAGAGAGCATCGGAGATAACGAAGCGCAGGATCCAGAACTAGAGAGGGAGCCGTGTCTAGGGTTTCTACAGAGGGAAAACTTCTCTACGGAGATTATCGAGTGTATTTCGCCAGAAGATCTACAGCCAACGGTGAAACTCTGCATCGACGGACTTCGCTCTTCTTCGGTGGCCATAAAGCGATCTGCTGCGGCGAAGCTACGGCTCTTGGCGAAGAATCGAGCGGATAACCGTGTGTTGATTGGGGAATCTGGAGCCATTCAAGCTCTGATCCCACTTCTTCGTTGCAACGATCCATGGACGCAGGAGCACGCAGTCACGGCTCTCTTGAATCTCTCTCTGCACGACCAGAACAAAGCCGTAATCGCCGCAGGAGGAGCAATCAAATCTCTAGTGTGGGTTCTCAAGACGGGGACGGAGACTTCAAAGCAGAACGCCGCTTGCGCGTTGCTCAGCCTGGCGCTCGTGGAGGAGAACAAAGGCTCAATCGGAGCCTGCGGCGCGATTCCGCCGCTGGTTTCTCTTCTGCTGAACGGATCTTGCAGGGGCAAAAAGGACGCGCTTACGACGCTTTACAAGCTGTGCACGCTTCAGCAAAACAAGGAGAGAGCTGTCACCGCCGGAGCGGTGAAGCCGTTGGTGGATCTAGTGGCGGAGGAAGGCACTGGAATGGCGGAGAAGGCCATGGTGGTTCTGAGCAGCCTAGCTGCGATCGACGAAGGCAAAGAGGCCATTGTTGAGGAAGGAGGGATCGCGGCACTCGTGGAGGCCATTGAGGATGGATCGGTGAAAGGGAAAGAATTTGCGGTCTTGACACTGTTGCAGCTTTGTGCTGATAGCGTCAGGAACCGTGGGTTGCTTGTGAGGGAAGGCGCGATTCCTCCGCTTGTGGGTCTCTCTCAGAGCGGCAGCGTCAGCGTTAGAGCTAAACGCAAGGTAAGAACTTTGCTATGTTATTGATTTCTTTAGACATATTTTTACTATTTAGCTTAATAACAGAGTTGGCTTAGCTACAACACACTGAGAGTCTTCTCTGTTAGGGATCATAGTTTTAATCTTCTGTTCTCAAGCAGGGGTGTCTCCTGAGATCTCTATCGGTTGTACTTAGCGTATTGGGTACTATCAGATCTAGTTTTCGTATTCCTGGTAGATCCATTTGATTATGCGATGTAGATTCCATAGATCAGCAGGGTCATCTTTTTTAAACGTGTGGTAAGATGTATGAAAAGCTTGAACTTGATGAATTGTCATCGTTTTCTATCCTGCAGGCAGAGAGACTTCTGGGGTATCTACGGGAGCCAAGGAAGGAGGGATGTTCATCAAGCCCTTGAAATGGATTAGGATGGTTCCTTTGAATTGAACAATGTGGAGGTTTCGTCAGTTTAGTATGTATATACTGAGTGTAAGTTTGGTGGTTTTGTATAGCGTCTTTGTGTAGACTGTTAAAGAGAGATCAAATGAGTCTCACAAAACTTGACTGACTTTGATCTTTCATATATTGATGTTAAGCTAGTTTTTAAGGGTGGAATTTGCTGATTTGGATTACAAGTCTAGCATTCAGTATTTTTTTGGTGTGTGGGGTGGAATTTGCTGATTTTTAAGGCAAAAAAAAAAGCTTGTAGAGTCGGCAAATGCTTGTTCAAGCACAAATCAATTTTAATCGATAATATTTCTTGATCACTTGTTTTAAATTCTATCTGGATCAATTATTGTTGGATCTGTCGAGTGTATTTGTGGATCTGTGTCTGTGTATAGTGAAGAGACGGTGGATCTGGTAGATGATTTGACTGTCACCAAATCTGGCACCGCTTATACTGTCTTGTCCTACAATAGTAATGATAAGCGTTGAAACAGTAGTTTGTCCCATAAACAATCAAAAGTTTTGTCTGCCTCCAAAGTTAAAATAATTTCACTAAGTATTAAACTTGAGCCTTTCGGTACACAAAAAGTTGTCTGCCTTATAGCAAACTCTTTTTTGGAGTATATTCACGTTGATACAGGATGTTTTGCTCTTTTGAATCATTTATTCTTTGACATTTTGAAGAGGTCTTTGATATAACGTATTCGCTTCCGATTTCATTCAATTTAGAAACTGGAATCGCTTGCAACAACAATATAAAAAGAGAGAAAGAAAGAGAACGTGATGTTCATCATCATCTTAAGCCGTATCAACATCTTTGGACTTTTTCCTCCGCCGCAAGAGACTTGGTTTGTATCCGACCTCGAGCAACTTCTCGACCTCCTCAAACTGAAGTCCTTTAGTCTCAGGCACGAGAAGCCAAATGAAGAAGAGACCAATCGCAGAGAAGCCAGCAAAGAGAAGGAAAGTCCCAGAGGAGCCAAGAGCATGTGTGAGCGAGAGGAAGCTCTCACTCACAATAAGATTCGAGACCCAATTCGAAACCGCGGCTATACCTCCTCCAAGACCTCTATATCTAAGCGGATAAATCTCAGAGTTAACAATCCATGGAACAGTGCCCATACCTGGTGCGTACACTATAATGTAAAGCCCCAAAAACACTATAGCCAAGAAACCAAACTTGCTTGGACATCCATCTTTGAAGTATGTTCTTCCCTTTGAGTGGCAAGTCGCTTTCATGTCGTCAGATAAAACCACGCATGCTCCTGGTGCGTAAGGCTGTGATCCGCTAGCGCAAAACCCACATTCCGACTTCAGACACTTCATGCAGTTCCACCTCGAAGGAGGCGCGTTTGTGGTTGTGAGCGGTACAAACGCTGGACAAGTAGCGTTTGGAGCAAACGTTGTTGATTCCACCGCATCGATCTTTGGTGCGTGAATGGCCGCTTGTGAAAACACCGTGGCTAAGATGATCAAACAAGTTATGATCCCGAACATTGAGATGATCATCAGCTTTCTTCTACCGTACCGGTCCACAAACATCATGCTCACGATCGAACCAACCGCGTTTAAACCGGAAGTTATGAGAGACAAGGCCATGGCTGTGCTGTTGGATGCGTAACCAGCGAATTGCACGATCGAGGGACTATAATACATCACCGTGTTGATCCCCACGAACTGCTGTGCAACTTGCACAGTGATACCGGCGGCGAGTCCACGTCGGACGATGGGGTTCGCGAAGGCTCCTTTGAGTTTCGCGACGAAGCTATCTCCGATGATTGCTTCGTCTGCTTTCTCCACCTCCACAGACTCTTTCAACGCTTCCATCTCCGCCTCCACTTCCTCCTCCGGATAGATTCTCTCCAGGATTGCTCTCGATTCCGCGATTCTGTCTTTTCTGTATAGCCACCGTGGAGACTCCGGTAAAGAAAGCATCAGCACAAACTGAACTATCGCCGGAACTCCCGCGATTCCCAACATCCATCTCCATGTTCCCGGAGTCTGTTTCAAAATCAAAATTAGGGTTTTAGTTACTTTCCCCCAAAGTTTGAAGCTTTAAATTAGGGTTTTAATTACTTTCCCCCAAAAAGTTTGAAGCTTTATATTTGTCTATTCGTCACTTTACCTTAACGAAGGCGAGATTGATGAGGTAGGAGAAGAATTGTCCTCCGGTGATGAGAAGACCGTTGGTGCTAACAAGCGCGCCTCTGATTCTCGCCGGAGATGCTTCGGAGATGTATAGCGGCGACGTCATCGAAGCCATACCAACGCCGAACCCGACGAAGATTCTTCCGACGATGATGACCCAAGGAGCCGGAGCAAAAGCCATCACGATCGCGCCGATAAAGAAAAGCACGTCGGCGATTAGAATCGACATCCTTCTTCCGAATCTATCGTTGATCCAACCTCCGACGGCTGCTCCGACGATGGCTCCGGCAACTGCCATGCTGACGATTGTCGATTGAAGCCATGTTTTTCTATCGACTTCGTCGAAATCCTCTCTGATGAAGAGGAGAGCGCCGGAGATGACTCCGGTGTCGTAACCGAAGAGAAGACCTCCGATTCCGGCGGAGAGAGCTAGTCGCATGATGTAAGGTGTCTTCCATGTCGTCCTCCAACACTCTGTGAACTCTGTTTTGTCTGCTTTCGCTATTCCTCCTTCCACCATTTTTGTCTGATCTCTCTCTATCCTCCTAATGAGATTGTTTCTCTCTCTTAGTAAACAAAGATTCTCACAACTCGTTGATCGATGATGCTCTGCGAAATGCAATTTGACGAACCCAGAAATGTTAAAGATATATAGAAGAGATGTACACGAATATCGGAAATGAGAATCTGGAATCGTCCATCATTAAAGCTTTTGAGATTTTCTTTCTCTTTCTTTCCATTCAAAACACATTTACTATACAGATCAATGACAAAATAACTAAATCGGGAAGCGAGAAAACATAAAAAGTTCAAAACAAAAAACTACAATTGTCATCGTTTTAACAGAATTTCGAGTCTCACCAGAGTGTTAATTATTCACGAAATATACAAATTACGGTGTTGAGTGTACGATAGAATATAAAAGACTAGACTTTGAGTAGGAGAGAAGATGATACTAGATGAAATGAATTGGATAAGATTTTTAGGCCTAATAAGATTCTCCTAATAACAAATGGTTGACTAAGTGGGACCCATATAAGACTAATCCTCTTTGACTATCTCGTATAAATCCACCACGGTAAGATCTGATTATCTCGAGATTCTCGGTAAAAAGGAAAACTAAAACGTGATTATCTTCTTTTGTCTGTAAAAGTTATTTTTTTTTCCACCCGGCTGAGCTCAAACATTAAAGAAAAATGGCGGATCCAGTGCTAAAGCATGTCAAAAGGAGGAAAAAACGGACTCATGAACCACATGATTTGATTTATCTCTTTCATTTCAAGAGATAACCAAAAGATAACCTTCTGATTAAATACTTAACTGCTAATTACTGTATTAAGTTATTAACATTGATGGTGCAAATCCAAAGCGTCTAAAACATGCGCCTACCTGAATCCTAAGACCTAGGCCATACAATTTTCGGACTCACATGCTGCAGCTATTAGAAAATGAAAGTGACTTGAATACAAAAAATATTATATTTTCCGTGAAATATATTATCTGAACGAGGTTGTTTTTTTTTTTTTTCCCAAATTACACCAGCCAGATTTAGAAAGCAGGGAATATTTTACCTGGGCTACACTCTGAATTTGATCTTCCAAATCTATCTATCGATTTTAAGAAAGGAAAAAAAAATTCGGAAAGATGTTTAGTGTCTCAACCTAACAGTTAGAAACAAAACAACAATGTTAAGTCTTATGTATTCTCAAAATTATTTAAAGAGAATCGACTCAGATTCTAAATTTAGAAAAAGAGTGACAACTTGATGATAAAACAAGTGGTCTAATATCCAGTAATTAAGGATTAACTTTAGGTAAATACTTGGGATAAGAACGCTTGACAAGAAAATGGTACTGTTTAGTGGTTGTGTTTTCTTCTCAATCCCCATATAGTTAACTAACTGTATCTCCTAAACTTGTGTTAGTTAAAAACTGTAATAGTTGGAGCTGGCTATTTTTAGTATATGAAATAACATACTTTCGAGTTAGAAAAGAAGTCTTCGTATGAGGAACTTCCTCAAAAGTATCTAAACAGAGATGTGATATTTTCGATCCAGCCAAACACGAAATAATATATCTAATATAACTTGGATTACCTGTCTTTAATTTTAAAATAGATGTACTCGTTTCTCTCTCTCTGACCAGAATAAAATCAAGATTTACTCGTCTCTCATTGTTTTTTCTTATCTATCATCTTCTCTCTTTACTTTTCCGTAATTATCTTCTTGTTTTCAGTATATTCAGTATATTCTTCTTGTTATACAAAAAAAAACTTTCTTTTTTGTTGAAATGTGAAATTATTATTATTCTGCTATAACTTTGTCACTGTTAACTTATTCATATAATTCTTTCTAATCATTTTACAATTGTTAGTTCTCCATAGTTCATATATTACGGTTCTTACAATTGTTAGTGCCTATTTCCTCTCTCTGGTAGAGAATGTTCTCCTCTACATCGCAACTATGTCCAGTTTAAAATTGGGTATAAACTAGTCTGATCCCAAACAAAACTTTATAAAGAGTTTAGAAAGGTAGATTAGTGAGATAAGTAGCTTTGAAAAATGCCTCAACAAAGTATTTATGAATTTTTTTATGCAATATGCTAAACATCATCGCTTTTGAGATGACTGTTGATAAATTTACCTTCACTATCACACTATAAAACACTTCAATCTTCTTGTTAAACATATTCTCAACCAGTTTTGTTTCTCAAACAAAATGAAAAAACAAATTCCTAAAAACATTATATCCCAATTAGCACTACTAAACCAAAATTACTGACTTTTTCTAACGATTAAGAAGAAGTGTGATTTTCATATGTTAGTTTAAAACTCACAACGACAAGTTCAAAATTATAGTCAAAATATTTTACTTGCTTTAAACTATAAAGCGGAAAGAAAAAAAAAACTTAAAAAGTGTGATTTTTTCTAACGATTAAGAAGAAGTGTGATTTTCATATGTTAAACTCACAACGACAAGTTCAAAACTATAGTCAAAATATTTTATTTGCTTTAAACTATAAGCCGGAAAGAAAAAAAAACTAAAAATGAATATTTGTCAAGAGTGGGATTTGAACCCACGCCCTTTCGGACCCGCACCTGAAGCGGGCGCCTTAGACCAACTCGGCCATCTTGACTTTTGTTTATTAGTTTCATAAAGTTTAATATTGTCTTGAAAACGAAATTAAACCCTTTCTATTGCGCTTGAACCCTAAAGTCGAGAAATTTATTGCAAGGCGCAATTTCTCCGGGTGATGATTGATCTCATCTCCTCTAGTAATCGGAGGGAATGTTTTCGCTTTCTCACAAATCCCAGTCTTCGGCTATCTGCTTCTTTTCCTTCTCGATCTCCCAACTCTCTAACTCCCAACTTTTGAGCGATTTCGGCTTCACGCTGAACAGGATTGCGATAGATAACACTCGGGAGTTACAGACAGAGGCGTCTCAGTCGCCGTCCTCGTCTGCTTCCGACGAGATACACGTTTTATCTGGTCCTATGTTTTCCGGCAAAGCGACAACGATCTTGCGGCGGATGCTGGCGGAGAAGAGAACTGGCAGGTTTTTCATCTCAAATCCTTTCCTAAATTCGAGATGCATTTTCCTCAATCTTGGGTTTTCGTTGATGATTCTGGTTTCGCAAGCGGGAAATGTTTATAATTGAAATCCATATCTTAACTTGTGAATGATGAACTATATTTATAATTGTGCTTGAAATTGACTGAAAATGGATCCGTATTCACTATGATCATCTCTTATGAGGTCGCAAAGTCTGAAACTTTGCATTGAGAGATCAAAGTTTGGTTCACATGTAACATGTTCTAGCTTTCAGGTGGGGCATCAGAGAAAGAAAGAGCAGCTGGATAAGACATTGAAGGGACTGTGTGTTACTGGGAGATTAAAAGAAGCTGTTGGGTTATTATGGCGTAGCGGGTCAAAAGTCGAGCCTGATACTTATGCTATGCTGTTGCAAGAATGCAAACAGAGGAAGGAATATACGAAAGGGAAACGGATACATGCTCAAATGGCTGTTGTAGGATTTGCTCCGAATGAGTATTTGAAAGTCAAGCTTTTGATACTGTACGCTTTATCAGGGGATCTTCAGACAGCTTGGATCCTCTTTCGTAGTTTGCTATTGAGGGATTTGATCCCGTGGAACGCAATGATATCAGGGCATGTGCAAAAGGGTCTTGAGCAAGAAGGGCTTTATATGTATTACGATATGAGACACCACAGAGTAGTTCCGGATCAGTATACCTTTGCTTCAGTGTTTAGAGGGTGTTCTGCGTTAGCATCGCTAGAACACGGTATGAGAGCTCATGCTGTCATGATAAAGAGCCGTATTAAGTCCAATATTATAGTCAATAGTGCCCTTGTTGATATGTACTTCAAATGCAGCAGCGTCTCTGATGGGTACAAAGTATTTGATCAGTTCTCCACCAGGAACGTTATTACGTGGACCTCGTTGATGTCTGGATATGGGTATCATGGAAAAGTTTCAGAGGTGTTAAAATGTTTTGATAAGATGAAGGAAGAAGGTTGTAGACCGAACTCTGTTACATTTTTGGTGGTTCTCACTGCGTGTAGCCATGGAGGTTTAGTTGGTGAAGGTCGGGAGTATTTCGATTCTATGAAGAGAGATTACGGGATTGAGCCTGAGGGACAACACTATGCGGCTATGGTTGATATCTTAGGGCGTGCTGGTAGGCTACAAGAAGCGTACGAGTTTGTTATGAAGTCACCGTGCAAGAAACACGCTCCGGTATGGGGTTCTTTACTTGGGGCATGCAGGAATTATGGGAATGTGAAACTGCTAGAACTCGCAGCTACGAAATACTTTGAGCTGGATCCAACGAACGGAGGGAATTACGTGGTGTTTGCCAATGGATACGCGAGTTGTGGATTATTGGATGCTGCCTCAAAAGTGAGGAGGAGAATGGAGGATGCGGGAGTGAAAAAGGATACCGGGTATAGCCAGATCGAATTACAAGGGGAAGTTCATAGGTTCATGACGGATGATAAGTCTCATAGACTCTCTGGAAAGATATACAAGAAGGTCCAAGAGATGACTTCTGTATTCATGCATGTTGACTGCTATCCAGATGATTTAGACGCTAGCTATCCTGTTTGATCGATTGGTTTGTCATCTTGTCTTGACTCTCTGACCAAAGCAACTTGCAGTTAGCTGACAGAAATCTGTCTCCAACGGATGCTGTAGCAGGCTCTCTCCAGAAAATCTATCTTGATTCAAACACAAGCTTTGGTTTTGGAGCATTAAGTTTATAGGTTTAGCAGTAGAATGTGAACTGTAGATAAGTGAGAATTGTGGTCTGGGTTTTGGATTCAATAGGAGCACATCCTGATAATGAAATGTGATTGGTATTGATGGAAAACTCAAATCTTAGGCGAATGTAGATAGCCTCAGTTTCTCATAGAACGACCAACAAGGGTGTACCACCACCAGTCTCTCATATCAAATCAGGTAAAGTGAAGGTATTAGGCTCCGAGAAATCTGTCGTGGATCAAACACAAGTCGGGAGTTCTAACTTTTATGGGTTTAGCTGTGGGAATGTGATTATGTAGAATAACTGAGAATGGTAGTCCGATTTATTTTGAATAGGAGCAAATTTCTTCTGATAATGGATGTGTTTAGAATGAATTATGTAAACTCAATTCTTAATACTAAAGAAGCTCTTACTGTAATTGAGACTGCATGGTTAAACTGTAAACAGATTAATTTCTAGATTATTCATCCATTATTGTTATCGAGTCGATTATTTTTTTACTCGATAATTTGAGACAATTCATTCTTTTAGGGAAAATTCCATATTAATACCTCAACTTATTTTCTATTACCATTTTAATACACCAACTTTTGATGTGCCCAGAACAATACATGAATTAAATTTGTTTTCCAGTTTAAACCACCAACTGTCTTAATTTGTATTTATATTCAATATACGGCAACTGTCTGTTTCTTTTTAATATGGGATAGAGGTTATCTTCGTGGCTTGAATTTTCTCATTATTTTTTTATTTTGAAAGAAACAATATAATAAGGGACCACCATATAATAATTTCGTTGTCGTTGTGTGGTTTTTGTTGTCATGCTCTATGTTTACAAACCTTTGATTTTCTTTTTTAAAAGTTTCTCCCTTTTGATTATACAGTAACCATGATGATGTTTTGAAGATGCACATTACCTTTGGGGGTTTAATGTCATATAGAGAGAATAGGTTCTCATATTCAGGTAGAGTTGTTGTCCGAGATATTAGCATTGATCCAGATCTTCTAACTTGGTCGATTTTTGAGGACTTCATCAAAGACAGAGGAATTGAGAGTAAGGTAGAGCATGTTTGGTACAAACTACCCACTGAAGATATTTCTGTGTCAAGATCGATCTACAAAGATAAAGATTCTGAGATTAGAAAGCTGTGTGAAGAAACTAAAGGAGTTGGAGAGATTGATTTGTTTATTTCTTATGGTGAGAGGGCTGATGTGGATGTTGATGGAGATGCTGAAGTTGAAGATCGGGAAGATGGTTCAGAAAGCAGTGAGGAAGATAGTGAGGATGGTGAAAACAGAGAGGAACAGAGTGATGATGAAAACAGAGACGAAGATAGTGAGGATGAAGAAAATAATGAGAGTGAAAACAGAGAGGAACAAGAGAAGGCAGATGAAGGTGGGCAACAATCTGAAGGTGAAGATCAGATTCTAGATGTAGGATCTAGTGATCCTCGATTCACAAACTTGTTCCAACAAGCTGAACAGGTCGAAGCTACACAAACTATGGTAAATGATGAAGTGGAATCTGACAGTGAAAGTGAAGATGAAGTACCTTTTGGAGCTGGTGAGTATCCTGATTCTCCGATCGATACTGATGAAGAGTGGACAAATTTTCACAAAGAAAAAAAAAGTTAGAAGAAAGAAAAAAGGAAACCCACAACGAAGTCGTGCTGATTATGACAATCCTCCATATTTGTGGTTGATGCAAACATTTAATAATGGTGATGAATTCAGAGATCAATTGCTGAAGTATGTGTTGAAGACACAATATGATGTAAAGCTTAATAGATGGGAGTCCACTAAGCAAGCAGCTGTGTGCACCCATGAGAAGTGCAAATGGAGGATCTATTGTTCTGTTGAGAAACCAATTCGAAAATGGATGGTTAAAGTATACGAAGACATCCATTGTCATTTGCCTACGGGAAGAGCTAGGATGTTGAAACAAGGTACCATTGCAAGATTGTTTAAAGAAGAGGCAAGAAGAAGACCTGACATAAGGAGTACAGATATCAAAGATGAGTTGATGTACGTGTACAATGTCTCAGTTTCAATATTCAAGTGCAGAAAAGCCAGAAGGATTGCCTTAGATATGGTGTTAGAAACACAAAAACAACAATTTGCAAAATTATGGGAGTACACGAAGCTGAATTGGTGCGATCTAATAAGGACATTAGTACAGAAATTGTCACTGTCGAGAAGGAAAGCAAGCAGGTATTTGAAAGCTTTTATGTATGCTTTGAACCCCTCAGGAGAAGCTGGAGAACATATTGCCGCCCTCTGATTGGTCTAGATGGTGCTTTTTTTTGAAGTGGGAACTGAAAGGAGAGATACTCGCAGCAGTTGGCAGAGATGCAGAAAGTTAGAGGAGAGAACAAAGAATCGTGGGAGTGGTTTATTAAAAAGTTGCAGGTTGACTTAAATTTGGGTTTAGGAGATGGATTTTCCTTTATTTCTGACAGACAAAAGGTATTTTTATTTATTTTTACATTAAGTGGTTTAAAACTGTTTTGTTAATTACAATTGGCATGTATTTTTTCAGGGTTTACAAATTGCTCTGGCAAACGTTCTCCCAAATGCAGAGCATAGAAATTGTGCAAGACATGTTTATGGTAATTGGAAGAAGACTTATGGTAGTGATGACTACAGACCATTCTTCTGGAATGTGGCTTATAGTCGAACACGTGGAGAGTATGATTTGCATATGGACGAGCTGCGTGCACTTGACAGAGAAGCACATGATGCTTTGTTAGCAGCCGCACCAGAAACCTGGTGCCTTGCTTTCTTCTCCAAAACTGCTAGATCTGTTGATGTTTGTAACAATTTATCAGAGAGAAGAAAACCGAGAAGACAGCAAAGCACTGTACGATCATAACAAGTTCTGATAACTTGTTTGAAGTTGTTTTGTACGGCTGCAGCTATGAGGTCAGTCTTCGGTTGAAACATTGTGTTTGTAGGGCGTGGGACCTCACAGGCATCCCTTGTTCACACGCAATCCGTGTTATCAACGACTGCCATCAAGATCCAGAAAAGTAAGTCTAATTTTTCATTAGTTTATACAGAAAATTTAAAAGGAGTATTTCTTGGTTATTGAGTTATTTGGCTATGTGCAGTCATGTTGAAAATTGTTACAAGACTTCAGTTTGGATAGAAAATTACAGAGATAAACATAAGGCCAGTAAATGGAGAAATATTTTGGGAAAAAAACTGGAAAAGATCCCATTGGAGTGCTGGGTTTTAGAAAGATGCCAGGGCGTCCTAAGAAAAAGAGGATAAAAGCAGCACATGAATCACCTTCCAAACCCAACAGAGTGACTCGTGGAGGCAGAACAATCACATGTCGTAATTGTAAACAAGTTGGACATAATCGAGCAACATGTAAGAATGCATCTTATGTGGTTCAAGGCCCAAAACGAAAACATGGTAGACCTTGGAAAACACATGTGAGTTAACTCCTCACCATATAACATAAAATATTTGGTTATGATTGCCGTATATTCTTTTGTTTGATTCTTCCACATTTCAGGTTGAAGGAGAAAGCCTCTCAAATCCACAAAAAAAGACGCAAGAAAACTCAGTCACTGTCGCCATGTCCAGCTTCAATCCCAATACCTGTAGTTTCTTCTTCACAGACATCTTCATATACAGCACCTGAAACATCAACAAGCACATCTTCACGTGGACGTGGACGTGGGCGTGGGCGTGGTCGTCCTCCTGGAAAAGTACAAGCCCGCAAGGAGACAGTTCCCAGGGGTCATGGAGTGTACGTAAGTCCATTCACTAATAGAGTATTCGAAGTTTGGGGAGACAGAGCACGAGTTGTAGGACAAAGTTCTTCTCATGGACTTATGGGACAAAACACAGCTAAGAATCCTCCAGAAAAATGCTCTTCTCGTGGTCGTAACTAGTTTCTCGGTTTGGTTTGAAACTGAAAAATTTATGGCTGTTTTTTTTTTTTTTTTGCTTTTTGGGTTTGAAATACTCGGCAAGGATGTTGGTTTCTAAACTCAAGTTACTACTTTTTGATTTTGAAATCATGAATCTTATGGTTTTTTGGTTCGTGATTATCTGTTATGATTCTAAATAAGCAGGATGCCATAAAAATAATAAAAACTTGTTACGTTTCGTTGACAAACAACTAAATTAAAATCAACAACAAAACTAATTAACTACTGAAATTGAGAAACAAGAGAAATCAAACAAACAACACTTCTCTTTGTCGTTGCATTCTTCTCCTTGTCGTTGCATCTTATCATTTTTTTATTCAGAAAAAGTTGATTTGTTTATCTTCTTATCTCTATTCTAGTGTTTTGTCTCTGCAAAAATATATTTCTGACTCGTGAAGGAAGAATAAATATTAGGGTTTGTATTTTGGAATTTCTACTAAATAGAAAGGGGGTTTTTAGCACGTGTAGTTAACCCATAGTTAGCCACTAAACGACTTAATTAACAGTGTTAAACGTCGTTTGTAGTGCTGTTAATTGCTGTTAACATAGTGTTTAAAAATGGATACATTGTTAATAGTTGGTGGTTTAAACTGGAAAAAAAAATTAATTCATGTACTGTTCTGGGGGCATCAAAAGTTGGGTGTATTAAAATGGTAATAGAAAATAAGTTGATGTATTAATATGGAATTTTCCCATTGTTGGAATATTTTGATAATTAATTTTCAAATTATTGTAATCCATCCCTTTCTGTTATTTTTTCATACTCATGTCGAAATAGATTAGATATCTTTTATTTAATTAGGTAAGAGAAGGCTCAGTTCAGCGGGATTATCGACACAGAAACGAAACTCCAGTTGAAAGGAAGAAACGCCTAATTCCGGTCTGTTGAGCTTGAAATTTCCGAGTCATCACTGCCTTCTCTCTCTCTATCTCCATTGGAGGAGATTTTCATTAAGGGAACAATTAAAACACACAAAGCTATATGTTTGGTCCCTATCTCATCTGTTATGTCTTAACAGAGGATTAACTGGTTCTAAGAAACACCTAGTACGGACCACATCCTTGTTAATTCAGACAAGAAAAATACTTGTACAAAATCAGGGAAAACTGTAACGGGGGCTCAGAGAAATATTGGGTAGAGAAAATTCTCAGCACATAATCCATTACGGATCTATATCAGAGTGGTGCATGACTTTCTCGAATTGCTCATCACTGAAACCGGCAAGTAAAACGCAAAATCAGTAACGTTATGATCAAAAGAAAAGCCTTAGAATTGGATTCAAATCAGCAAAAAAGCTTCATCGAAGAAGCCAATCAGAGCCGAAAGACCGTGATCTTTTCTAAATCTAATCTCTTCACAGGAAAAACATATAAAAGATTTTTGAAAAAAGAGGAGATAATATAATGTAGGTGTCATGGCCGGCCCAAACGGTAAAGGCAGCGACGCCGCTCCGCAAGGCGATGGAATATGAGACCTTTACGGCGATGCTTCCGACGGAGAAGCCAATTAAAAGGCTCCTTCTACGCCTTCCACTGTCGTTTTTCGTTTTATTTGTGACGTTTACTTTTAGGGTTATGCAACCACACAGGTTTATAGATTGCCCCTTGTCAAGTAATCGATTTCTTGGAGAGAAAATCGCGTCACGTTTGAAGACAATTGTAAAATATAAACACAGAGACATCTAAAAGACACTAAACGAGAGACGAAATCGAATTCTAAAGGAAACGGATTTGATTAGAAGATGAATGTGATTTGAGTGAATTTGCGTAGCACTATTTATAAGTAATAAGGCGAAACCCCCTTTGTTATTTTGGTCCAACGGCGGAAACCCTAATTACGTCATTTGAAGCCTAGACTGAAAATTCGAATTTGGTCAACCCAAAATAAGAAATGGGCCCGTTCAAAATGCAGCCCACAAAAGAGGAACTAAAACAACTTAAAATTGTGTGATTACAATATTGCTTTCATTGAGAGTTGAACTCAAGACCTCCCGCTTACTAAACGGTGCTCTACCAACTGAGCTATGAAAGCAACGTGTCCTCAATAGTTAGTAAAAAATAAACCAAGTTTAAACTCATTTGTTGTAACCTTTGCATGAACAATTTATTCCAGTAAGAGTGTAAATTTGTAATATCTGTTTGGCTATTTCCAACTCTATCAAACTTAGAAATCTTATTTGCTGATACACTATTTTATTCACTTAGAATATTTCCAACATTTTAATTCTACAATGAACTGTAGCACTGTACATAATTCTCGTAATTGACAATATATATATAATGCTTCTTCCATCATAGCTTCATGCCATAACTAATAACTTGTATCATTGAATTAAAATATTTGATTAGAAGCATATAAGATGATATATAGAGACGATGAGTATGAAATATGAATGTACTCCCACTTGTATTTGAAAAGAAAAATGATGAGTTTCCAAGATTTGTCTACAAAAAAAATAACGTTTTCACTTTTACAAACACTAATTTTATGAGCCTCTCCTTCATGTTGTCAACTCTACTGAAGTTGGAGTCCTGTTGACACTAGAAAAAAAGAGAAAACTCTCTAAATGATACTTGAGAGACAAAACGTGACTTTATATAATAATAATCCAATCCAAATATCAACATTTTAAGATACTTTGCATGCAAGTACCTTGGGTTTGGGAATGTTGTGACAGCAACCCCTCATGCTGGCCCTTTGATCTCACCATTCGCTTCACACGACTCAGACGTAGCCCACTTGACATTGCACCTGTTTATTTCCCAACTCACAAAACTTAGCCCTTATCAGAACACATCTATATCTGAATATGTGGTATATATAGAACATGAGCTAGCTAAGTACTAATTACGTCTTGTACTCTTTGCATAGGTTGCTCCACTGTTGCTTGCCTCTGCACCAGTAGAATTGGGCTTTCTCAATGTCCTCGCCAGATGTTTCATACGGCTCAGCCGTATAGTTCCCATCAGTTTAGCAAGATCCTCCACTTGTAACCCCACACCTACATGTCCCCAAAACATATATATGATCAAAACTATATATATTTTTGTAATTCCATTAACTAGATAGTGATCATTCTCTCTCACTCTGATCAGACTCAACCAACGGGACAGAACTGCTGGCTCCTGAATCAGGAGGTGATGAGGTCATTGCTGATTGGCTGCCTCCTCCGGTGATTGCTTGTATCTGAGAGTCTATACGGCTTATCTCAGCTCTCTGCCTTCGTAGCTGGTAGTTTTTGCGGCGCCTAGCCAAATGCCTTTCCCTCTCATCTTTGCTCATAGATTGTCTTCTTTCTCTGTCTCTTAGACGCCGCCTTTCCCTTTCTTGCTCCTTCCTACTTCTCCTCGATTCCACTCCCTCTTCCTCTTCCATACTATCGCTCGCTATTATAATGGAGAAAACTGTGGTCAAATGACAAATTTACAGAAGATATGAAATGCATGATGCAGTTGCATTGCATTATACAAACACTGATGCAAAACTTATCATTGAGCAGAGCATAAACTAATTAAGAGAGTGGAGAAGCAACGAAGCTAAGGGAAAAGTTGGTCACTAAACAAAGGAAAAAGAACTTACTTCTGCAAAGGAATGTGTTCAAAAGGTCCTTTTCTGTTGGGATTGTTCCATGCAAATAATTGCCTGAGGCATCACTGGTAAAAGAATGATCCACAAAGAAGAACAGTCAATCAAGTGAACTAAAAGACTTGAGAAGCGTAGAACATGAAGATATACTAGTGCTGGAATAGCTGGACTTACACAACTTTGAGGCTTGAGGTATAGCCGTGAGTTCGCTGAACTGGACCAGTCAAATCGATTTTTGTTAAGCCGTCTATACAAAGCTTAGAGAAATATACGAGTGATTCAATACAAATGACAATTCCAAATTCCATGGGCGAATAAAAGAATCCACGTTACATTTGCGTGTGGATCTATCGAACGAATAAACCCTAGGCTCAGACTACTTGACAAACACGTATTAGAACCTTACGAACCCTAATTACCGCAAAATCACAGATTCACAGGAGAGAACAAATCTTATAAGGCCGACCAAAAAGAGAAATACGGCACTCGCAAACCCGGTGACGAGATAGTGGATCAGAAATACAAAAGCCATTATTGTGTGTGATTCAAGAATTGACAAGGAATTACGAAAAACGATCGGTGCAACAAAGATTCAAGAACTGACCTGAACATACGACGGCGATAAAGGGATATGAGGATTCGACGAACGTTTTCTCCCAACAAATTTTTCCCTATTAAATTTTTTTTATACGACTCAACTTAATTTTTAATCAACCGCTACTATATAATTAACTCTGCTTTATCACCTTCCATATTTCTTTTTAAACTGCAAACTATTTCACTGATTTCAAATCGGAATTACAAAGTTTTATATAACTTTTGGAAAATAAATTTTTGAACTGTATATAGAAAAAAATATAGAAACATAATTGTTACGCTTATAAATTATTAAATCTGTTATTTTCTTCTAGGTATTTGATATTAATTTGATGTGAAATGCATGGTAGCATCTTTTCACTAAACTTTTGTATAGCACACTGCATGATAAACTCCGATGCTTTTAACGTCTATTCTGAAATTCCGACAAAATCTGATATCAATGCTTCCGTACCAGAATTATTTTAACAATGGTGACTTTAGGTTTCTTCCATTTTTTCTACATTCTTCAGCAGAATAATTCTATGCTGGTTTCCGTTGGGGTATTCATAGAAACGACAAATCCAATAAGATTTGTTCTAAACATCGATAAGCCACCATAAAATTATTATGATTATGGTAAACTATCTCAAAACTAGCAAGAAAAATTAGAACAGACAAATAATCGACAAAAAACCTTGGACAAACACCGGTAAAACAACCAAAAATTATATTTTAAATTAATTTTGTTGTTGTACAGTTTCGTACATATCCGCTAATGTATCAAAAATTGCTCTAAACACTTATATCTGAAAATTTGTATATATTATGACCTCCATATTACATTTTAATTTGCTAACAAAAATTATATATAGAGAGAAATTTGCATTTATAGCTCGATCGATCATGTGACCTCTAGGCTTACTTTTACCAGTTGAGCTAACGATATTTAGTTTACTTGATTTCCTTTACTGTTACAGATTTGATAGGTTTAACCATTTATTTTGAGCACATGTTTTTCAAACACGACAATTCAGCTCCGGCTACAATAATGCTCATATCCGGTAAGGTGGAAACTGAATTGTCTCAACATATTGGCTAAGGTGGATACAACCTTTGTTCTGGCATATACAAATATTACAAGTTGGAAACCGAAACGGCTAATAGACTGGCCAATGCAAGATATGCCAATACAAGATATGTTCTTCATTACAAGTGCACTGAAGATGATCAATCGTGTGATGAATCTCATGTCTCGGTGGTTTCGTGCAAGTCATGCCATATTAGTGGCCTAAGCGTTACAGATTTCACCACGCATCTCTCCAAATGGTTGGGATCTAATTCGCCCTCGAACCCCAATTCAAAGTTGGACATATCAAAAACGTTTGTTTCAAAGGAGCTACACCAATGCAAGCTTTCACAATGTGGATAATGTACCTTTATCTGTTCGCAACAAGATCTCAGGCTCGCAACATGGGGATTAAACATCATTAATTCCTTTTGAATATGTAATAATTACGAGGAAACAAGACACCATTTCTTCTTAAAAATGGGAAATCGGGTTTGAGACCTACTTCTCCCAATGGCTCGAGAACCATCCTCACCAGTTTCACACATGGAAAGCGTTCTCCATGTGGCTATCCTCAACTTTAGCTTCAACTCACGGATCTCGACCTCTCTCTCTTAGGAGTCTAGTGGCTCAAGCGGTGATCTATAGCATTTTGGTGGGAAAGAAACCAAAGGTTACATTTGTAAGTCTCTCATCTATTCCGGAGACGATATGCATTATTGTAATTATTGACCGGGTTATTCGAGATTCCATCCAATCCAAAAGAGAGAAGATAGCTTTCAACAACTTAATCCAACTTTCGCACGCTAACTCATGACGTATTTTTTCTCATGGTTTGTAAGGTTCGTAGCTTTAGGTTCTCCTTAAAACAAGGAAAGCCTCTATACAGCTGATTAAGCAATCGTTAGTACATTATTGTAAAGCTGCGGAACACCTGTAGTCATAAAGTCAAACGGATTACGATAAGACCATTGATTTAGCCGATTGGTGCATTTGGGCCAATAGCACATGGTATTCAGAGAAATGGATGATAAGCCAGTCGAACTTTCTTGGGTAGAAACTAGAAAGTTGAGCAGAAGGGTCAGAGTCATGACATGAAAGAAGAACCAGACACTACTGAATCAGAGAGATAAGGATTGAGAGCAAAAGGGGTTTATCCATAGAAAAGGTCTCCAAGAGCAAAAGGGGTTTATCCATAGAAAAGGTCTCCAAGAGCAAAATCAATTTATATCGACTCTCTCACTTTTTACCCGTTGACAAATCCTTTCTGCAAAAGCTGCACCAAATCCAACTAAACCACAGAGGTAGTAGCTACCACATCTGCTTTGCTTGTACCAATAGCCTCAAGGACTCTTATTACTACAGATAGAGCTCCAAATCGTAAAGGTATCTATTTTCATCACAAACCACAAGCATCCCTATTAAACAGCTTTGACTGGTAGGTGACTGTCATACAGAAACGCCGAAGCTAGCTTACCGGCAAAACCCAAAGGCAAATCAAGGCAGAGACTGAAACATTTCGGATTAACTTCCTAGGCAAAGCTAGATAGATAATGAGCATCAAATACCTTTTTTCCAGAATAGGAATTGAGGCAGAGTCTGTCGAGAAGCTCAAATGCAGCTGCCCCTTGTTCATCCACTGATACATACATGATACATCCCTCTGCAATACTTACACAAACTACACTACACACCAACAGGATCTGTTCAGAGTAATCTAATTGAAGCATTAAAAAACCCTTATTGCAAACATCACAAAGAATTCACTTTTCTCAAGCTCAAATCTTTTTATTGATCATAAGTCATAACAAACAAACAGAGGCACATATATCCTCAAACAGCAAGGAGTAGCAGAGAAAATCAATCCAATTACATGAAAAGAAAGGTTTCGAAGTCTGGAAGCAGCAAAAGGATTAAGCCAGATCCAGGAAAAACCCTAGAGTCATCATTTGGAGAAACCATCACGCTTCTGGTAACTAGCGACCTCACCGTCGTTGGGGAAAAACCCCATGAGTCGACCCGCCGAGTTCTGGTATGCATACATGAATCCACCCATGAGTCCGATCAGTCCTCCCGTTACCATTGACGGTCCTTTAATCCCAGGCTTAATCCCTACAGATCGCCGAATCCAAAACACCGATCAGCACATTCTCACGCATTTCAACTAATTGGGTAACCACAAAATCAAAAATTTCAAAAGAGAGAGAGAAATAGAGAGGTGGACCAGATAGATATCCGACGGTGACGGAGACTCCGGTGATAGTTGAGAAACGGAGGTAATCGAGGATACTGAAGTTTCCGACGACTTTAGTAAATGGAGGATTTCGGTCAACGACAGGGTATTGGGGCTTCTCCAAGGCAGTGATGTCAGTGTTCATCTTCGATATTCTACGAATCTCTGCTCTGAATCGTTCTTCTTCTTCCTATCAATCTCTACCTCTTAGGTTATTTCAATTTCCCAACAAAAAGCAGGAAGAGTCTTCACTTCGTCTAGAGGTTCTCTGTCGAAACGTAAACTTCTTTGTTGGGCTCTATCTCGGAGAAGACCCAAATGGGCCCATTTTAAGAATATAATATGAGCATTTCTGATGTTGTAGATTCTCGAAACCATTCCTCTTTAATTAAAAAAACATCATTATTCATTCTAATCCTTTGGATCTTACCTAATCACCTCATCATTAGCGAGCGATCGATCGACGTTAAAAATATATCGTCCGTATATTACATTTTGTGGGATTTTCTAACCAAAATACGTAAATGAATCATCAAACAATCGTTTTTACTATTCAATCAATGATTTAAAGTTAATTCCTCGTGTATATATCTAACAGTTTACACTTTTGTTAATTGCCACATAGAACCAGCAATATATATGACACCTGAATTTCTTTGTTTGAGAAAAAGAAGTATGAAAAAATTATAACATCAAACTTTAAATTTTCTGAAGCATGATTAACAAATATAAGCCCAATCACACCAAATGTAATTCTGTAACTTATAAAGGATTTTGTTTGAATTTATATTCTCCTAAAATCTATGATTGAATGGGTACTATAGTTTCTATCTCTCTCTCGTTATTACTGACATATACAAAGTACTGAGTCTACTGACTCAAACACATGCAAATAAGTTTTGATTGTGATTGACCATTTTCATCCATGAAATATTATTTATTTCTGAGAAATAGAAAAAAAACGTCCAAAGCAAAAAAGCAGTCCTGAACATGCGCAAGCGGAGCCCAAAAGAAATCAAATTTCAAGTGTACCCTTACGATGCCATTTTTGGCTGAAGTTTTATTAGTATATATAAAGTAGAAAGACGCAACATTTACATGGACAAGTATAAAGTAGATCAACTTGGGGTTGGGTTGGAGTATGATGGTAAGTTGGTAACCATCCAAAAACAAGAGTCAATAATTAACTCAATGAGTAGATCGTTATCATCGTAATATAAAATATATCATAGATTCATAATCATTAACTTCGAAATAACTAATATTATATATGATCGCATTTGAACCATACATATATCATCACCACCTACAAGACTCCTTAAAAGTAGAATACTGACCAAAAAAAGGGTTTATACATACATATTTATAAATTCAAACAAAAACAAAAAAAGATGGAGGAGCAACTTTATGAGTCTAGAGACGCAGAGACGTATCAACGTCGTCGTATCGATCAAAACCACCCATCTTTTTGTCCTCTTTACTTGGCCAGTGATGACAAAAGCTTGGCTTTTCAATGGAATCAGTGGTTGAGTGCGCGGATAAGGAGAGGGAGAGGAGATGCTGTGACGAGGATGTTTGAGAGTTTAGAGGTAAAAACTGGAAGAAACCGAAACTCGTGGGTTCGCTGTAATATTGTAAGATGTTGTTGTTGTCTTGGTGGCTAGGTTTAGGGTTTAGGAGCTCACGCTCAGCTCTTAGCTCTCGCGCTCTCTGAAGTTGTCTGAATCTTTCTTGAAGCAATACGATTGACGACTGGATCACCATTTGTTCCTTTCGGTCTCTTACCATTGAACTCATGACGTACAAAGTAAATGGTAATATTGATATATTGATATGAGTCGTGGAGAGTGTGTTGCTCTAGGGTTTGGGGCCATGTTACGTGTGTTGTGTCTATTTATATATGGAGGAATAGGTCGATATTTCTTAATTATTTAATCTGCATGAGAATATTATAAAATATTTAAAAAATGTATAGGGTTGTTGAGTAGTTCGATGAAATTCCGAAAGGAAGAGAATCAGGAGTAAAGTGGGAAGAGAACAAGAGGTAGAAGGCAAAAGGGACAATCTAAGGATTGTAAAAAGAGAATGTATAATCTGTGAGTGGAGATTTGCATATTTGAATTTTCATTTTTAAAAGTAACAAAAAAAAAGTTGGCCAAAGTAGAAGATGGTTGAGAGGAAAATGACAAGAAGAATGTTTGAAGGGAAGCACATGGATTGGTTTGTTTGGATGATTATTGAGTTATATAACCCCCTTTTTTCATGCTTCCCACTTACCTCCCCCTAAGGGCTCTTTTTTTTCTAATGGAAGCTTTCTTTTTTCCCACGAATCTAGATTATCTCTATATTTGTCTTGTTAATGCTTGAATTGAAACCAGACTGTATATTTAATTTTTGTTAATGCTTGAACTGTTCATATATATATATATAACAATTTGTTCAGTCGTGGATTGTCAAGGTTAAATAGAAAAATGAACCTTGCATAACCATTAATAATAAGACTAATTATAAAAGCTAGCTTATATATATGTGCATATCTTCTATGTTCAAGAAAACTCAAATGAGATTTTACTATTCCTGGGAAAAAAGTGAATAAGAAAAGGGAGTGACAAAAGGGTTTAGGAGAGATTTTGGTGGCTTGGGAGATGGTGAAATGGAGCCACTTCTTTGTCTCCACATCAAATCTTCTCGGTGGAATTTAAAGTTTTATTATTGGCACAATCTTTTAAAATGAAACACACTTTAAAGAAGAGTGTCAAAAGTTGTTAATGGTTTCTATAAATTAGTTGATCCACTTTTTATGTTTTAACGTCTAATGATTTGGCAAGGAGGAAAAAGTAAATAAAAAGTGGGCCTAGCTACTGATAAAAGAAACAAAAGGAGTTCGAGGGTAGAGAATAATGATAACAACAATATAATAGGATGTGGTTTGATTGATAAATTATTGTGAAAAAGACCGCTCGTTATACTCAAAGACATTCTCTCTCGATCGTCTCGTTTTCTCTTGATCGAAATGCTAATGCTAATCTAAGCTAGCTCCTTTTCCCATGATGAAAAAACATCCATGCATGTACATTACTATTATATACTTAGGTTAAGGAATTACTATGTCACAAAATAAAATGTAAATGAATAGAGCTGAGGCAAACTTATATAATATCCACCAACTCATATAGTATTGTATCTCTCCTGATTTTGATTAATTAGAATAAATTTGGAAACATTGATTGTAACAATCTTTAACAAAAGAAGCCAGACAGTATAGCTAGAAGATGGAGCGGGGATTGAAAAGAGAGAAGTGGACATGGGGATGTAAAGTCTAAAAGGCACATCAAAAGTGGTGGGAGCAAAAAGTTTGTCCGCAAGTAAATGGAATGTAATGGCATGCATACACCAAAGCTGAAGATGCTACGACGTTTAGGATTTGGATTTACATTGTTTCTCTCTTTATTTGTTTCTGCTTCGGTATCTGCGAACTTATCGATAATGCTCTGATTTGATGATAAACCCAATTAGCTAGTTGGTTAACATAAATTTAATTAAGTGAGGAGGATAGGATGAGACAAAACATAAAATGTCTTTAGATTAGTTGAGAGAGATTAGAGACAACGCGTGACTATTTCTTCTACTCCCATTACAACCACTCCACGTAAAAGTAATAATATGTAACAATTTTTTATTTGTTTTACCCTCCATATTGTACTTTTTTTTGCTATCTTTTACCCTAAACTTTCTAACTTTGGATACCAACCTTTTCTTTTTTGTCCTTACGATCAAGGCCAACATTTTCGCTACTTACATGATTGATTTCATATCAACATTTGAATTCATTTTTTTATATATTGAAAAACAACATTTGAAATCATTATATGGAGGAGCAAGTACATGTAAAATATCATGTATATGATTATGAACACTACAAGTCTGACAAGGTTTGGCAATGTAATGTACCTACGTCCACAAAAACATATACTAGTAGTTTTTACCAAAAAAACAAAACATATACTAGTAGTCATTACGATCGACCATAGTTCAACACTAAACAATTTATAGCATTCACTAAGACTCACTTCTACAGCTCAGATCCAAAGAACAAAAAGCTTATGTAACTCAGTTATTGATCTATTATCTATGGACACAGTCACGGTGGCAGATCTAGATTTTTTTTTTTACTGGAAGCACATATAACATACATATGTATTCAGCTTTTTACTGGGGGTATACATAACATCTTTTACTGGTGGTGACAATTGATAGAAGCTCAGACTCAAAAAATTAACAAAGGAAATCAAATTTTTACTAGTGGCAGCTGCCCCCACGTTAATGTAGGTGGATAACCAAACTATTTTACCATACAAATTCATATTCGCCTAAAAGATTAAACGTTAAGAACTATTATATTTTCCCTCAATGTTTGTGATAACCATAAAAAATAAACCTTCTTTTTTAGTCTTATATTTATATTGATAAAATTCATGCCCCAATTGCCCTATGAAAATTACCTTAGGGAAAAAATAATTTATAAACTGCTAAATATTTTCATATCATATCTTCCAAATATCTTTATGGCTCCCCTTTTCTATATTAAAATTCTCTTGAACACATCTTCCTAAATTACTTTGAGACGTGCATAACTTCTATGAAACTCAATCTTTGAGTACGAGCCTAATCTCATTTAAAACTTTCTCATGTTAAATTTACTCAGTTAATGTTAACTTAAAAATCGAGGACAAACTTGTTGCCTAGCTAGTCACTAGACTCAGTACATAATGCTTATTTAAAAAAAAATTATATAAAAATATTGGTTGGATTTAAAGTATGGGCCGATTCTCTCCTCATTATCTTAGGCTCGGATAAAGCCTTGTTGAATAATTCCCACAGTTATCGTTTTTGCTCTTTAAGGGCTTAAATTTTGTTTATGGAAAGGAAAAGAGTATTATACTTTTTATTTGTAAATTCTAAACCATCCTCTTTTCAGTTTCAGTCCTCCAATTTGAGACGTTAACCCGTATCATACATATGTTTGAGCTCCTGCGTTTGAAGGCTTGAAATTTCTGGGAATCTAGGACGAAAAGTGTAAGTTCCGATCTAATCGCAGTATTCATTCACGAGGGTATATCTTTACTCTAATCTTTTCTTCCTCGTCGTGCAATCTATAGATGAGATGGATTGTTTATCCAGAATATGACGGATCCAATTAGGGGTTTTAATCTTTGGATTTATATATAAGATTAAGCGAGCGAGAGAGAGAGAGAGAGAGATATCACTGTTTATAGAAACATTTGAACGATATTGAGTTTGTATTGTTTCAATTTGGGTTTAGCGGATTGCTATATTACAACCATCAGATTCAGTAATTCAGTAGAAGGGTTAATATGGAAGGAGAGAAACCGATAAAAGTCTCTTTGGTCGCTCCTCTGACCTTCTTCCTCGTCGTCGTCTTCCAGTTGCTATCCAAGTGGCTTGACCAATTGAAGAAGGTAATAAAAAGATAACCTTTTTAGCGTTTTCACATTCACCTGAGTAATCCATTTAAATTCCCTTCCTTTCTGAAACTTCTCCAGAAAGGGTCGAGGAACACCAAGGAAGCAGAGCTGCGATCCGAAATTAAGCAGCTTTTGAAAGAGGCCAGTGCATTGTCTCAGTAAGCAGTTTTAGTGATTGAAGAATTTACCTGAGTTTTGTTGATCAAATACTTATCGATGTGATTACTCACGCAGGCCGGCCACGTTTGCGCAAGCGGCAAAACTTAGGAGGTCGGCAGCTACTAAAGAGAAAGAACTTGCACAATGTGAGTATGCATACATGTTAGCTCGACAATGATTGATTGCTAAGTGATGGTAGATTTTCTAATATGATGCAGCAGTTTGTTAGTTTTAGAAATGAATACAACCTGATGACAGATACACCTACCTACCAGAGCACTGCATCATTATGGTTTTGTATAGGTGTGTTATTTGTTAATACTCGCTGTGACTTACAGATTTGGAGCAGCATAACAAAGAAAGTAAACTGTCATACGATCGGTATGGAAAGATTTTGCTTGCTTCAAAGGTAACTTAAGTGGTGTGTTTAAGCTTCTTTTTTTTTTTCTTCTTTTTTCTATCTAAATCTCTTTAATTGAGAGGTCCTAAGAACTTTGTTTGTCTCTAGGTTGTGGTATACCTGATCTTAGTATTTTGGTTCTGGAGGACTCCAATTGCCATTATAGCTAAGCAGCTTGTTCAACCGTTTGGTGAGTAGTTAGATTTACCGGTTAAAGATGTCTTTGGGCTTATCATACAATTGGTGCGACTTAGGTTAAAACAATAAACGAATGTGGTGTGTTTCTCAGGGAATTTGTTATCTTGGGGAACAGGAGGTCGCTTGACAGGCCATGTGATGGTAGGCTCTTTCTTCTCTTGCTTTTCAATCCATGGCTTTGGTCTGTGATAGTGAGAGTGTTGGTTTTGGTGAAAATGCAGGTTGGAATCATACCGTGGCTAATACTCTCAACCAGAGTAAGCAAATATGTGAGTAGGTTCGTGGAGTTCTAATTGGATTTTAAATAGCCTTTTAGGAGACCCTTGTGGCAGAATTGTGCCTTTTCTCCTCATCTTCCCTTGACAATTTCTTTGTACATTATATGAATCTTATTCTCCGGTTTGTGTTGGAATTTTACCAATAACAGTTAACAAGTGGTTCGGTTTTCATAGTTGTGACATTGGTCGAATGTGAGAGCTATAGCATTACAATACACAGCACATTGCCTCCACCAAGATACGTGTTGTCAATTTTTTATCTTTGAACAAAGCTAACGATAATCCAAAAACGCGTGGTACCATTTTTTGCAGATACAATGCATGTGGTTCATTAAGATTTTTGCATATATTGATAATTTGAGGGCATTATTATCTCCACTTTCACTAACCTCATTAGCGGGTTAGTGGAAATTCTTACCAATCAATTTTGTGTCACATCATTCACCATTCGCACATCATATCGAAGAAGTTGATTGGATTTTGGCTAACTATTTACTTATGTTTAGAGTCAATGAGACGAAACCAACAAAAGTGGGTTTTGGTTAGAAGCTAAGTGGGAGATGGGAAGTGCAATAAATAAGAAGAAGAGAGAAATGGTGTTCATTAAATAGTGTGTATGTGTAAGTGTGTGTGGCCATCCAAAGTCCCATCTTAATAATTTAAATATCTCTTCTCGAGATATTAATCCTCTTCTTCTTTATTTTCTTTTCCACTTTCCTAGAACATTAAAAGACAAAACATGGAGCATCGTAATTCAATTAATCCTAAAGGTCATTGTGATAGTTCACTTTCGACTTAATAGAGGGGACCTTAAATGCACAAAACCTACAATCTTTATCAGAAAGGGAAAATGTGTTTTAGGTTTTTGTTGTCATTTTCTACAACATTTCAAATTAAATGCATCTCTAAATACGTAAACGCTTACAAGAGATTTTCTACCACTTGGCAGATTTTGGGACTATGTTTGCGTGTCTCAATCAGTGTGATGATAATAAGGTTTAAGACAAGAACTATGAGCAAACATAAAATCTTAATTTGGTGATTTCAATTAAGGAACAAGGACCCAAGAAGCGATATGTGAAGTTAAAGCATAGCGTGGGACATTGAGCATCTCTATTTAAGGCCTTAACTCTTAGCCAACTGGTCTATTTCTCTCTCTTGTCTCTCAGTCTCTCAGTCTCTACCGATTCTGTCTTGTCCAAAGATGAGTTATTTGGGGGTCGGAATCACTCCCGGAAATGTCGCCGTCTACCACGGAGGCAAGATGAAGCTGATTGATCGGAGACTGAGGTTAACGGAGCTGCTCTTACGCTGCTCCGTCACTGTCTTCACTCTCCTCGCGCTTATTCTGGTTGTTACAGACACACAAGTCAAGCATATCTTCACAATTGAGAGGAGGGCCAAGTACACTGACATGAAGGCGCTTGTGTTAGTTACTCAACAAAAAAACCCACCTTTTTTTCAATTTTTAGCAATCCAACATTTCACTTTGAGAGAGAGAGATTGGTAAATTTCGCAACTTTTTTTGGTTTCTTCTTGTGGGATGCAGGTTCTTGGTGGTCGCCAATGGGATAGCTGCGGTTTATTCTTTGTTACATTCAGTTCGTTGCTTAGTGGGTTCGATGAAAGGAAGCGTTTTGTTCAGCAAGCCCCTTGCTTGGGCCATTTTCTCCGGCGATCAGGTTACTGAATCTCTAGTCTGTGTGTTTCTCCGTACATTTAATTTGCCAAAATCAGTGAATTGGTTGTGAAATTTATGGGGTTTGGCTTTGTCGTTTTTTGTTCTCTACATCTACATGTTCGGCTCTGGTCAAATTAGGGAAAAGTAGGGTTTGCTATGTTGAAAAGTCTTTGAGCATTTAATGGGTTTGGTTAGATAATCAGATGGGTGAAAAATTGAATGTTCTTAGGGTAGGATTGTTACTTGTTTGTATTCAAAACTGATGAAACTAGGAGAAACAAGGTCTTATTTGGCATTTTAAAGAGTCTCATGGTGTTGTGAATGAGCAGGCAATGGCGTACATGTGCGTGGCTGCAATAGCAGCAGCAGCAGAGTCTGGTTTGATTGGAAGGGAAGGTGAGGAGAAGCTGCAATGGATGAAGTTGTGCAATATGTATGGCAAATTCTGCGACTGGATGAGTGTAGGAGTCGCCATCGCCTTGCTTGCATCCATTGCTATGGTTTTCGTCTCCTGCATTTCTGCTTTTAGTCTCTTCCGCTTGTACGGTGGTGCTACACAGAGACCACCAAGCCTCGCCGTGGTGAAGTGAAAAACGCTTTCGTTGTCTCTTAGTAGTGTTGAAATGTTGTCATTAAACCAAAAAAAGTGTAGGCCTTTTGGTTTTGTTTCGTAAATCTTCTTCTTCTTCACCTTCCTTGTTTAATATGATGATGGTCTTTGTGACAAATTATATGTAGAACTGGACCTAGTGTTCTTTGTAACAATGTGCCATTTGCTATGATCAAATCAAAAACAAAACTGTGTGCTATAAGGAAGAGTTTTTTTTATTATCTTATTGATGAGGTTAGGTAGTGTTGGTAAATGATTACTTTGTGGTTCTTGATCCGGTTCGAACCACGGTTATTACAAAGAAAAGAAAAAACATCTCTTTTACACCGACCTAGTGTATCTTGCAGCTCTGATTACACTTAGGCCCCTCCACAATAGGATTATTATAAGGTCCGGCATGTCATTTTCGTTTGTGACTATTTAAACCCTATTAGGCTAAAGTATTGTTTTTTTTTTACTTCGTCTCTTTCGTTTCGTTGTTTTGATCGAACCCAGCTTTGGAACTTGGAACCACAGGAAGAAGAAAAACACCATCGACGCTTTTCTGATTTTTTGATACCCGAAGCTTCTCCGACACCAATCCTTAATCGTTGCCCACTGTATTTTGTTGGTTCTGCTAGTTTCTCCGCCTCCATAGTTTGAAAATTGAAAGTTTTGGAATAGAAACCGACTTAGGTATGTCGGAGAAGTTCTCACCGACCTTGAGGCTCGGAGATCTCAGCGATTTCATTGCTCCGTCTCAAGCTTGTGTCATATCTCTCAAGGGTCCTAAGAAAACCATCGACAAGAAGCCTAATCGACCCCAGGTCCGAAATTTCCAAGCTTTCCCATGATTAATTATGACTTTCGGTTGCTGCTTCAAGTAGTCTCTTTCATTGTAACCCAATAATGATATTACTGGCCTCTTTTGATATGGAGCCTATATATATCTTCACCAGCTTAAAGTGTCCGTTTTTTTTATCTTGAAGGTTGTAATTACCCCAAAAGAGCAGATGGAACCGGTCAAAATCTCTCTCAAGGATTGCTTGGCTTGCAGGTCAGTTCTTTCTCTTACCGCTCCTGATTCAGTCTAGACTTGTATAGAGTGTAATTGTGTTTCCGTTTTCGATGTAGTGGATGCATCACATCGGCTGAGACAGTTATGCTTGAGAAGCAAAGCTTAGACGAGCTCCTCTCTGCCCTTAGCAAAAGCAAGGACGTGATCATGTCTATTTCCCCACAGTCGAGAGCCTCGCTTGCTGTTCACTATGATATCTCTCCTCTTCAGGTTTTCAAGAAGCTTACTACGTTTTTGAAGTCTCTAGGAGTTAAAGCTGTGTTTGACACAAGCTGCAGCAGAGACTTGGTACTTATTGAAGCTTGTAATGAGTTTGTCAGCCGTTACAAGCAAGCTAGTTCTGAAGATGGTGGAAATTCTCAGTCCCCTCTCCCTGTGCTTTCCTCTGCTTGTCCTGGTAAGCAGCTTTTCCTAGTTTGACTTGATCGAATGTGACTGAAATGTGAGAGTAATGTGTAAAGTTTTTGATGAATCAAGGTTGGATATGTTATGCTGAAAAGCAGCTTGGTTCACTTGTTCTACCATATATCTCTTCTGTTAAAAGTCCTCAGCAAACTATTGGAGCTGCGATCAAACACCACCTGTGTCAAGCGTTGGGACTAAGGTACTCTTGGGAACTTTGGTTATCATTTGGTTGTTTTCCTACATTTTCGGACTCATCTGTGACCGTTTTCATGGAACTAGGCTGGAGGAGATTTACCATGTGACTGTGATGCCCTGTTACGATAAGAAGCTCGAGGCAGCGAGAGACGATTTTGTCTTTGAAGATAAGCTGACTGAGGTTGATTCCGTGCTGACAACTGGTGAAATTTTGGATTTAATGAAGGTGATAAGGAGTAAACCCTATGTTTTCATTGTACTTTTGCTTCCATCTTGCAGAAAATGTGAATCTGTTTCTGGACTGTTATATGTTTCTTGCAGTTGAAAGGAGTCGACTTTAAAGATCTGGAGGAGTCTCCACTCGACAGATTGTAAGAAAGATCGTTGTTTCCTCTTCTCTGTTTCTGTGTGACCGAATTTATTTGAAGTAAACATTTTCAATTTTCCATGCAAAAACAGGCTAACGAATGTTACTGAGGAAGGACATCTTTATGGTGTAGCTGGGGGTTCTGGTGGTTACGCAGAAACAATATTCAGACATGCGGCAAAAGTACTATTTGGACACACTATTGAAGGTCCTCTTGAGTTTAAAACTCTGAGAAATTCTGATTTCCGTGAATTAACTCTTCAAGTAAGTTCCTAGATTGCCATAAACAGGTTTAAATTTGCTATATCAATAATCCTCCCCTGGTTTTGTCTCATGTTCTTCATTTCTTTTCTCTCGAAGCTGGAAGGTAAAACAGTGTTGAAATTCGCGCTGTGTTACGGTTTCCAGAACCTTCAGAACATTGTTCGGAGAATAAAAACGCACAAATGCGATTATCAGTATGTAGAAATCATGGCGTGCCCTGCAGGTTCTTCTTCTACTTCGAAACCCCTGGTTGGAATTTGTAACTTTTGTTTGTTGTGTTTTTAATGATTCCCCAAAATGCTTGATCTAAAACAGGTTGCCTGAATGGTGGTGGGCAGATCAAGCCAAAGATAGGGCAGAGTCAGAAAGAACTGGTCCGTTCACTTGAAGCTACTTATATGAATGATACAGTAAGTTGCCTTGCAGTATTACTATTCTTTTTGATTTGTTTCAGTAAGCTACAGCTACTAACAACCTGACTTTTTGGATCCAGGCTTTGAGTACAGATCCATTCCAGAATCCAATAGCCAAGGGACTATATGATGAGTGGCTTGAGGAGCCTGGTTCCAACGAGGCGAAGAAGTACCTGCACACTCAGTACCATCCGGTCGTGAAAAGCGTTACAGCGCAGCTCAACAATTGGTAGACTAACCCTAGGTTCTGAAAATTTTGAATGAGATGGGAGCAAAGATGGTCGTGTGACTCGTGTCGCTTTTCTAGTTTTGTGTATTTATTTATACAGAAGATGAGTTAGTGAGAAGCTCCTGCTCAAGTCTCATATGTAAAAAACAAATCTCAACATGATATGAAATTACTATTACACACGCTCCTACTAAGCCGGAGTTTGTTTTGTTTAGCTGCTAAATAGTACATTGATACAACCTCAATAACAATACTGTTACCCTTTTACATAGCAATTACTGTGAGAGAGAGGCTAAGAGCTTGTCCTTTAACTGCTCAGCAGTGCAGCCACCTTGAGGTCGGAGAGTGAATGTATGAACCACACCTTCCTCTGTGACGGCCACGTTAGAATCATGAGGCGTAACTTCATTCTCTCTCAACGTCTGTATCACCTTTGAAACCGGATGCGTTTCCAACGGACAGCTTAGCCTCACCACCGCATCATCGTGCCTCTGTTGATAATCAACCTCTGCTGGAGTTATCTGATTACTCTCCCTCCTCTTCATTATCTGCTTCTCTGTCTCGTACACCCTTATTTTCTTCTGCATATCAGTGATGTATGTGATTGCATCCGCAAGAAGCGAAGCCTTGTCCATCTTAGAGATGTTAGGCACCACAGCTCTCAACGCGTAGAATCTCTGGTTCAGCTTCTCCCTCCTCTGCCGTTCCGCTTCCACGTGGTTTAGAGCCTCTTCTCTTCCGTTTGCTGGTTTCCTCCCTCTCTTCCTCGGCTTTTGCTCGTCGGTTAGATACAATGCCTCGTCTTTCCCTTGCTCATAACCATACACTTGATTGGAACCTCCAACCGCTTGTACCTCGTACGATTCCAAGGAGAAACCGGACTCATCCTCCATCTTTGGGGAGAAGTTTATACTCATGGACCGTGGCTTCGACCCACCAAGGCTCAGCTGTCGACCAAAGATCTTGGGAGCTTCTTTAGCCTGAACAAAGTCTGATCCACCAAACACTGACTTCACCATCTCAATCACACTCTTATCTTCTGGAATCAGCTGCAATGAACCCAACTCCACAACTCCACAGTTCACTGGTACAGACAACACCGTCTTGAACCCAGCGGATCTTGCCAAGAAGGACCTAACCCTGTAATAACTCAAGCAGCTAGGCAAATCTGAAGCCCAGAGCGGCTTCCCAGAGACATAAGTCCCAGCAGGACCGTACTTATTGGAATCACACCTAAAGGAAAAGTACAAGGAAGCAAGATAAAACATGTCGAGATCAGTAAGAGCCCCTGATTTCACCAGACGATGATCCTCATCTGAACCGACAAAGGAAGAGTGAAGCTTGCGAAGCACACGCCTCTTGCTCTCATCTTGCTGCGAATAGTCCTCTCCTGAGTTTCCCTTTTGGACACGGCAATGGCCGTCTCCCCAGACCAAGACACAACCATCGGAGCTGTTAACGTTGGAAGCTAGCCAGAAAACGGCGTAATCCCAATCGGAGCCTTCAACGACGTGGCGTAACCCTTGTTGCAGATTGGGATCACTTGGCGGCGCGACTAGCTTGGTGAGAGCAGTGTTGGAGGAAGCCGATGAGATGAAAAAGTCGCAAGCTTCGGAACCTATGGTGGATTCCACCATCGCCCGATCTTCCTGATTCTCCCAAAACTTGAGACCCATTGATTCTCCTACAACATTCATTGATATGGATAACCGATAAAACTTAGGTTTTTAAAATCGGACAGAATTAAGGTTATGGGTTGAAATCGCCGCACTTACAAGGAGATGGAAGATGAGCTTTTGTGAGGAAGAAGAAGTGTCACGTGTTTCTTGTTGGGATTCACCGATTTTTAGGGTTTGTTTGATGTCAAAGCAACGACCTTTAAAGCTCCTATCTCAAATTTCTGTATTGCCCGAGAAAAGTAAAAATTAAAAAAACAGAGCTTGATTCACTGTAGATCTGTTGTGACTTCTAATGAAATTGACGAAGAATGAAGAAATGAGGAGGAAGATGTGACTCTGAGAATTGGGTTGAATCGTGTCAAATGCCAACAATTTAGCAATTACCATAAAAGTTTAGGATTAGTGGATTAATCAATAGATATACTTCTACTACTATATAATTTAAGAGGCAGTTAAATTAATCATATTCTTATTAAGCATCACTTGCGTAATCGGAAAAAATCTAAAAAGCACAGTGGCTTAGAAAATAGAAATTCCTTTTTCCTCGACTCTCCTAATTTCTCTCAGACCACCGTCGATTACAGATCCGACCTGACAGCTCTCGACCGAGTAGGGTTGAATTCCGATTTGATCTTTCTCCTCCAGCGAAACCCTAAGTACCCTTCGATCTTTTTTCTACTTGACATTGTTGGGTTTTTGAATCCGATTCTTTGATTCGGCATCAATGGGTCGCTCTCGTGGGAACTTCCACAACTTTGAAGACCCTACGCAGAGGTATGCTCCTGTTTACCACTCAATTCCCGATTTGGGTTTCGTGGAATTCTCTTTTGTTATTCCCAATTTCTGCTTCCTCCAAATTCTCGAAATTGATTGAATTGCAATCTTCTTCGACTTTGCGCTGCGCAATTATCATTGTTTTCCAGTTGTGGCAATGATCATCGCGTCAAAATTGTGGCTTTAGATAACTTTCAGTAGCTATTGTCATCTTCCCTATCTTCATCTGTGTAATTGTGCCTTTCACTGTTAAAGAAGTTTGTTATGTTCTGTTGCAGAACGAGGAAAAAGAAAAATGCGGCTAATGTGGAGAACTTTGAGTCTACATCTATGGGTAAGAGACTCATATCAAGCCTTTATTTTGTTGGTTCTCCTGTCTTCAAGATTCTTCTTTTAATCAGTATTTGTTCTTGTGGAGTCAGTTCCAGGTACCGAAGGAGGAGGGAAATACAACTGCGATTATTGCCAGAAAGACATTACCGGCAAAATTAGGATCAAATGTGCGGTCTGTCCCGATTTCGATCTCTGTGTAGAATGTATGTCTGTTGGAGCAGAGATCACTCCTCACAAACGTGATCACGCATACAGAGTTATGGTTAGTTTGCATTTGCTTTTACCTAATTTCTTTAGTTTGCAAAGAGTTTGATTCACCAATAAAGAGTCGAGTTTTCTCTTTACTTTCATCATCTAGGCTCAGTGAACTTTTTGGTTTGCTTTGTCAGGGAAATCTAACTTTCCCGCTTATTTGTCCGGACTGGAGTGCCGATGATGAAATGCTTCTCCTGGAGGTACTACTACTTCTTTTAAGATCTTCTTACTGATATGTGGCCTATAATTTATTTTTCTTTCAAAAGTGTAAGTTCTTTTTTTTTTGTATTTAGGGACTTGAAATTTATGGCTTGGGAAACTGGGCAGAGGTTGCGGAGCATGTAGGAACGAAGAGTAAAGAACAGTGTCTCGAGCACTACAAAAATATTTATTTGAACTCGCCATTTTTCCCACTTCCAGTATGCTATATCCATCTGATTACATATATCTGCCACAGTACCAGTACTAGCCTTTTGTAATGTATTAATCTAAAGGGCAATTTTTTTATTTCCCAGGATATGTCGCATGTAGCAGGGAAGAACAAAAAAGAACTTCAAGCCATGGCAAAAGGACGAGTCGAAGATAAGAAAGGTCTGCACTATTTTGCTAGATGATTTGGTGAATCTTCGTTGTACGTGTTGCTATCTTAATTCGGAAATTAATGTGGTTTCCTCTTTGGCAGCAGAGCAGATCATGAAAGAAGAGTATCCGTTTTCTCCTCCTAAAGTCAAGTATGTCTCCTGTTCTTCACAGATACTGCACAGTGATACCCTATATATATTTCTCATTTCTTGTCCAATTTTCTCGCAGAGTTGAAGACACACAAAAAGGTGAGTCCTTTTATTGGTATGTTATAACGGGTTCGAATATATATGTGCTTCTCGTTTTGTTATTTACTTGCTCTAGCTTAAACCAGTAGTTATATCTAGATCAATATCCCGAGAATGGAATCATCTCCCTCTTGTAAGAAAGAAGCTAATTTGATCGACCAAATGTTTGAAATCCAACAAAAAAGCCCATTGTTTGTCATTGTATTTATACTGGTAGATATTTTTTCCATTTTTCAATGTTCTAATGTGCTTTGTGGTCAGAGTCTCATACAGACAGGAGTTTTGGAGGAAAGAAACCTGTTGTTGCCCCGGGAAACAACTCACTGGTTGAATTAAGTAATTACAATCTCAAAAGACAAGAGTTCGACCCTGAATATGACAATGATGCTGAGCAGCTCTTGGCTGAGATGGAGTTCAAAGAGAACGATACTCCTGAAGAACATGAGCTGAAGCTGCGTGTGTTACGTATCTATTCGAAAAGGTACAGGTTTTAAGATCACCAGGAGAAAATGAAAAGTCTATTCTTTTTGCCGCCATGCTAATGCAGGTGAGTCTGATATTTGCAGGCTTGATGAGAGGAAACGTAGAAAGGAATTCATACTAGAAAGAAACCTGTTGTACCCAAATCCCTTTGAGAAGGACCTGTCTCAGGAGGAGAAAGTGCAGTGTCGGCGTTTGGACGTTTTCATGCGTTTTCATTCAAAAGAAGAGCACGAGGAGCTACTCCGTAGTGTTGTGAGCGAATACCGTATGGTGAAACGGCTCAAAGATCTCAAGGTAAGGACATTGCAACTCTCAAACTGTGCGTTTGGTTGTTTGGATGTGGCTCACTGTGTTGGATTGGGCGGAGCAGGAAGCTCAAGGGGCAGGGTGTCGTTCGACGGCTGAAGCAGAGAGGTATCTAGGGAGGAAGAGAAAGAGAGAAAACGAAGAAGGGATGAACAGAGGGAAAGAGAGTGGCCAATTTGGTCAACTTGCAGGGGAAATGGGCTCTAGACCTCCTGTGCAAGCTTCTTCAAGCTATGTGAATGACTTGGACCTGATTGGATTCACAGAGTCGCAACTTCTGTCTGAATCCGTGAGTGTCGTGATTTACTGAACAGCTGGAACAAGTGTGAGAGCTGAGTTTTTGTAGTAACTGAAAGAAGAGTTGTTTGTTTTTGCAGGAGAAGCGTTTGTGCAGCGAGGCCAAGTTGGTTCCACCGATTTATCTACAGATGCAACAAGTGATGTCACATGAGATATTCAAAGGGAATGTGACGAAGAAGTCGGATGCATATAGCCTGTTCAAGATTGATCCGACCAAAGTGGATCGAGTTTACGATATGCTTGTGAAGAAGGGTATTGCTCAGCTTTAAGATCCTCGTGTTGTATCATATATGTATGTGTGAGCTCCATTGAGTAATTTGTCGACAATCCCTTTGTTTATTACACACCTTGTCATAATTGTAGTTTATATAATAGAGAAAAACGTGATTCACTTATCCCCGGACAGTTTCTTCCGTTTTTGAGAAAAGAGATAAGGTCAATGAGAGCCACACAATCCAAATCTGAATGTTTAGTATATAAGAAAGAATCAGACTCCAACAAGGAAGAAGTGAGATAATTATGATGATGTCTCTCCCCAAAATGAAAATATCTTGTCTGCAATCTCACCTCCATTTGAGCAGTAGCAAATCATTAGCACCAGCAGCTCAGGCGTTTCCGAGCTCAAGCATAAGGAGCTTAACATCATGCCGCGTTCGGTGCGGATCAGCAAGAAGAAGATTGTCGTCGAAAAGTAGCCAAACCGGGTTTGAAAAGGCACAACCTTTGGGTTTGGAGAAGAAGCAATGGAGGAGATATGCTCTAGTGAGTGGTGTATCGGTAGGGTTGATGATGGCTTTGGTAATGGGAATGGATGCAGAGAAGGCGATGGCTTTGGGTCCAGAAGGTCCATTGATGGAAGAGTTTTGGGACAACGTGAGAAGGTACGGTCTTTACGCTCTCACCGTCAGCACCGGAGCCCTCTCCGCCGTCTTTGAACCCATCTTTGAACTCCTCAAGAATCCAATCTCCGCCGTTCTCATCGTGATCATCTTAGGTGGAAGCTTCTTTATCGTCTCACAAGTTGTCTCCGCCATGATTGGTGTCAACGAATTCGCTTATGATTACGGATATTGACCAACAACAATTACAACTACAACTAGAGTTTGTTCTCTTCAATTAATACTCTGTTTTGGTCATCAATATTCTGCTTAATTGCTTATGCAGAGTCTTCTTTATCAATTTAAATTTTGTTACACAATCAAGCAACGAGGCAGGGACATTTTATTGGACACAAATGCCACCAAATCAGTTTTTACATTGTAAAGTTGTTAAAGATGGATAATTTGGATACAATCTTTCAATCGTACTTGTGAGATTCCTCAGGTCGTCCGGCGACGTAATCCATGATTCCCTCGCCGGTGCCTTCTTCTGAAAACTGTTGAAAGCCACCGAAAGTGATGGCCATGGCCAAGAAGGCGGCCGTTGACGCAAACAGAGGCCAGAAATAAGCTAGTATGTCTAGAATCCTTGGTGCTGCGTACACGAGAGACGATACAATCACGCACACAAAGATTGCAGCCATGAAATGGAATTTGTATTCCATTAGCCTTGCTTGAATCTCCATTTCCTTTCTTCTGATCGAATCCAGGGGAGAGAGAGAGAGAATAGGAGAGATGTTGAAGCCAACACTGTGATGATTGCAATTTGTGAGGAAGGAGATTGAGATTGGTTTTAATGTCAAAGTAGGTACCTTTGGCTCTGTTGATCAACGCAAGTTCTCAAGTCCTTTTCTAGTGGCTGTGTGCTTTGTTGAAGATTCCCTTGTTTACCATTAATTAACCCATTTAAACATGATTACTCTGTCTGGAATGACATGAATACCCCTCACAGTTTAGAGATTGTAAAGGGACAGAATCGTCATTTCAGGATTGATGGATGTTGGATGAGGCCGTGGAGATGCCTTTGTCCGGGTATCGGGTTTTGTCTCTTTTCTTCATCTTGATTACCAGACAAAGACTATGTTTAATTATAAGAGAATAATGAGGGAATAGGGATCGAATCGCTTTGCAAAGTTTCTTCCTTTTCATCATATCCAATGGAAAGGCATCTACTTTCTCTTCTTTGTTTACATTACAATAAAAAAAACTTTGAGGATTTTGAAATAAACACACTGAAGTCTTAACCATCAGATAACTCTGGCATTCTCCATTAATAGGTTTTTAAAAACAAACCCATTAAAAAGAGCTGTAAGTTAAACACTTTACAGATCAGCAGTCACAAGATCTTCTGAAAATACAAAGGAGAATCCAACTACTAGACTGAGTTCTTATAAAACTTTTCTCAGTTCTTCTACTCAGCTTCAAGCCACTGCGAGATTCAAAATTATACAGGCAGCAAAATGACTATCAAAAGTTATCTACCTCTACTATTGTCTGCAAAGATGGCTTCCATTTCCGCTTGCAGCTCCTAAAAGCCTCCGGGAGCTGAAAGGAAACGGGCTTGCAGCTCCCAAAAGTCTCTGGGAGCTGAAAGGAAACCCCCTCTGCACTTTTCAGCAGCAGCAGCTCGAGCTGCTTCCTTGTCAGAGTAATCTTTATGCACCTCCTTCTCCCTGTTTTCTGCTCAGCTGCTGCCTCCTCCCGAGGTGACTCCTTGGCCTTCTCTGTTGATGCCTCATCCAACCAGACATCTCCAACTTTGTTTCCATGATTGCAGCGGAATGTGTTAAAGCAGTTTCCCATGATGCGTAGTGATGTGATGATGCCTTGATTCATACAGTTTTATATTCAGCTCTTGGACCAACGTGCACACCATCATATGCCCACTAACTCTTTTCTTTATTACGGTCAGCTAATGTAGTAGCACTTGAAAATCATATCTTGTTTCACATGCAAAATGTCAAACTGGGTCTTCATTAATTACATGTACAATGAAAAAACATAGGATCAATAGAGCATGTTTGATGCTTCTGCAGGGCAAAGTTAAATCGGCACCGCCCCATCATTAAAGTCAATAGGAGGATATAAAATAGCATGAAATAAGGAGAAGTAGACTATTCAGCTCTCTAAATTGCTTTAAATTTATAAAAATCGAGTTTGCTAGCATTACAAAATCTTTCCTGATCCAGAGAATTCCAGTATCAGGAGAAAAAGCTAAACAGAGAATAAAGGTCAAAGCCACATAGACATATCAAAGCTACATACCAAAGACGAGTGCTACGCAGAAACCTCTGCAGATGAACGTCTAGACTCCAGCCATGCCTTTGCCGCAACACTGGTGGTCAAAAACCAGCCAACCTTATCCGGGGCTTCATGGAAAGGAGCATTTAGCTCTTTTAAGTGAGACTCAAAAACAGCTGCCAAACCTTTGTCTGAGTATTTGTGTTTCCCATGTCCAGTGTTGATTCCAAGCAACGGAGGAAACTCTTCTCCGGATGTCAGAGCCACCTCTGATAAGTCGTTCATCCAAACATGAAGAGCCGTCAAGGCTGCCCCGAGAGAGAGACTTTTCAGATGTAAGGACCATTGGGTCGCAGATTTCGACTGAAGACCTGAATAAATGTCATACTCCAGCCCCAGTTGTAGGATCTCACAAGCTCTTTCTAACTTATTGAGATTGACACACAGATCAATCAAGCAATTCAAATATGCTTTCTTTACATCAGAGCCTATGGAATCAATCAACTCAGATGCTTCCTTCTTGAACACCCCTTCCTCACAGTTTTCCTCCTCGACCAACATCTTTACCACCTGACCAAGCTTTGGCTTAGCCTTCTCGACACAGCCAATGAGTTTACTGATCTCCTCCCTCGGTGTCTGGGTCATTACATTCAGAAGGCACCCACAGAATCTGTCGTCCGGAGTTATCCCCAGTTCCAACACTTCCTCGAATGTCCTCACAACATCATCCACTTGCTTGGCTTTCCCATAACACTGGATAACTGACGTAAGAACAAAAAGAGTAGGCTCAAAACCAGCTTCTTTCATCTGAACCAGAGCTGCCTCAGCCTCTGAAACCCTCCCACAGCAAGAGTACACAGTGATTAACGAAGAGAAGGTCCAGCTATCAGGAACACAAGTCCCAGAACTCTTCATATCTTGAAAAATCTCAAAAGCCTCATCCACATATCCAATATCAGCACACATGGACAAGAGAGTATTGTAAAGAATCACAGTTAGTTCCAATCCTTTTTCCTTCATCTCTCGGTAGATAACAAGTGCGTCGTCTCCATAACGAGCTCTACCATAGGCTCTAATAAGAGCAGCATAAGTATTCCAATTGGGTTCAAAGCCATTGGTAAGAAGATCTTTGTGGATTATCTTAGCCTGCCAAGGCCTCTTGGCTTTACCCATAGAATCTAACAGCCTATTGTAAATGACCAGATTTGGCTTCACCCCAAGGGACTTCATTTCTTCATAGATATTGAGACACCCATCATAGTTTCCAGAATAGCCATATATCCTAATCAAAGTCGAAAACGTAACAGGGTCAATGCGCCATTTCTCAGTCCTTGCACGGTCATACAAGCTCAAGGCCATCTCAACGTTACCAGCACGCCCGTACGCGTCGATCATAGCTGCCAAGGTGACATTATCAGGCTCACAACCATGGAGAGGCATTTTCTCAAACCACTCAACAGCTCTCTTGGGTAAACCACACTGCCTAGCACAGCTGATTAGCGTCGTGAAGGTTGCATTGTCTGGCTTGACCCCTCTCTCAAGCATTTCGTCGAACAGCTTCTCTGATTTCTCGAGATCCTTGGATTTCCTGAACACCTTCATGGTGACATTGTAGAGAATCACTTCCCTGCTCGGTTTCAACGTCTCGAGCAGATTGTTCAGCACAATCGGCGCAGTTTCTGGGTTGGTCATGTTATTGAGGGTAACAACAGCATCTTGCTCAAACAGCTTACCACCAAACCCAGTGATTACATCGCAAACATCAATCTCGTTTGCGGCACAAGCGTCCAGAGACTCGGCTAGTTTGACAAGAGAAGAATACCTCGAATCGTACGACTTTCTACGGAGCTGAGAAGCTCTGGGGCTCTTAGGATTCACCCAGACGTAGCTTTTGAAGCCAGAATCTGGTGAATTCGCATCAAGTGTGGGTTTTTCGCTCTGGGTTTCCTGCGGAATCGCCTCCTGTACTGAGACATGGCTTACTTGGAGAAGGTTTCTGGGGTGGGAGGGAGAAGAATTGGGGTTGTAATTGCAAAAGAAACTCCTTGGAGTGGATTTGGGATATACGGAGAGAAGATTGCAGAGAGGAAGAGGGTCATGGAGAAGAGATGAAGGAGAGGAGCTTAGATGAAATGACATTTTTTTTTGTTTTGGTCACTTTTTCGCAGTTGCAGTTCTCGACCTTATCCAACAAGCGAGAAGATGCAGCGTTGAAGAAGAAGAAAAATGCGAAAGAAGAAGATTGTGTTGTTTCAGTGTTCCTGTTGGTAACTACGTGCTGTTTCTTCCCAAATAATTTGACAGCTGAAAACCCATTATATGTGTATCAGGCCCATTAAGTTATAACATTTTTGTTTTCTTATCTTACAAGGGTTTTAACATTTTTTTGTTTTTATCTATAAGAATGAAAAAAAACAAAGGAGTCTTTTTATATAAAAAAAAGTTTAGATTTACAAAAAAAATTGATCTGGAAATTCCTTTTAGGCTTTTATATAATTCTCTCAAAAGAAATCGTCACTAAATGAGATTAAAAAGTCATGTGTAAAATGTTTCTTATGCATGATGCGTCACAAACGTGTAACTTCGGAACTTCCCAATACTGTATATCTCACCGACACTTTTATTTGAAAAAAAAAAGTGTTAAATCAAAGGCACAACACAGAAAGTAGTTAATTAATAAAGCGAAATACTAACGACAAAACAAAAAGTAAAGCGAAATACTATTATTGGTTGATATTTGAGAAAATGAAACAATTTTCCTTTAATGTTTACAGTTACAGCTTCAAAATGGACAACCAAATGGAAATGGCTACCATATACAAAATACAACGATCCTTCCTTCCTTATTTGTTTCTCCTATTACAGAATTACACGTAAACATGTCTATATATCTTCTTGATTATTTGTATAAAAGAAAAAGATTTGAAGAAAAATCAGGGATTTCAAAGAAGAGAGAAAGTGGGAGAGACGAGTCATCACATGATGGAGCAACTCTGTGGATTTTCTTCGCTGAAGTAATCGCATCTGGTGAGGTGGCATTGTCGGTAGCTAGGTGGTGGCCCACCTCCCCAGCTATCGTAGACTGGTCGGCCATAGCACTCGTACGGCTGCGGCGGCGGCATTCCATATCCATTGAACGCAGGCCCACCTCCAAAACCATCGTAGTAAGGCCCACAACACATCGCTACGGGTTGACCCTGTGGCATAATCGGCACCATTTGTGGTGGTGGTCCCGGCTGCTTCGGGGCTGGAGCCGGAGCTGGAGCTGGTGCTGGAGCTGGTTTAGGCTTCTCCGGTTCTTTAGGCTTCTCGGGTTCCTTGGGCTTTTCAACTTGTTTAGGCTTCTCGAGTTCTTTGGGCTTTTCAGCCTGTTTAGGCTTCTCGGGTTCCTTAGGCTTCTCAGGCTCTTTGGGCTTTTGCTGAGGTTGAGGAGCATCTTTGGGCTTTTGCTGAGGTGGAGGTTGTGGCTGAGGCTGAGGTGGCTTGGGTGGCTCTATGATCTCGATGGTCTTGATTGAGCCACCGCCTTTGGAACAGAGTTTGTCCATAATCTTCTCAGGGCTGCAGCAAACCACCTTGATGATGACTACGTTGGACTTTTCATCGAACAATTGGTCTCTTATTTCTCTTGTTCCCAATCACAAAAAAGTTTTATCCACTCAGTCCATTTCCTCACCAATCGAATCAAAATCAAAACAAATAGTAATTCAACAAGAATAAAAAGAAGGAAGAGACTCACGAGGGAATTTGCAAAGAACTTTCTTGACCTTCTTGTAACACTTGGCGCAATCAAGATCCACCTTCAACTTCATCATAGTTACCTGTTTTTCGGATATCGACATCAGTAAATATCATAAGGTTCTTCTGCCTTATAGTTAATTATGGTAAAGTCGGATCAAACATACTTTGGATTTGACGTTTCTAAGGATCTAGTTACTGGGAAAGAAAAAAAGGAAGAGACAGAAGAACTGATTCCATCTCTGACACAAGAAAAAGAAAGAAAGAGATTCTTCTCATAACTTCCACAAAGTTTACTCTTTTTAATTCGATCTCATTTTTTTATAATCCACACAATCCATATACAAAAACCACCACAAGATAATAATAATAAAAAAAAAACAAGAAATGAGCAGAAAAGCAGTATCAAAAGCTCCACATAAAAACCACAACTTTCTCTACTGAGAGAAAAACAAAAAAAAACAAAACAAGGAGGAGGAGAAGAGAAGAGAACCTTTTCCTTGCCCTTCTCGGCCATGGCTTGGAACGGAGATCTGAGATCTGAGATCTGACGGTGGCTTAGAGTCTACTTCAAGGAGAGAGAGACATTGGTGGTGGTGAGAAGTGTAGCTTTTTATAACACAGACTCTAACCTGACTCAACCAATGATTTGGTGACACGCGTACGTAGTTGGCATCCATTTTTAATTAATCAAACCTTCGCCATCTCTTTTTGATCTTATATATCTCTATATATATATTTACTTTTTGATTTTTATTTTTCAAAAGAAAGAAATTGGTGAGCGTACAATAATGAAATGAATCATCGAAAAAAGAAAACCCTTTTCACATCTCTAACTTTCATAGTTGCCATTAATTGCCCTGACCAATCTTTCTTTCTTATTTTCTATTCCCAATGATATTTACTGCTCATCTGAATTCGATGTTTCGTTCTTTAGTTCTAATTACTTTAATGATTAATTACATGAAAAATTAAAATAAAGTTTTTAATGAAGAAATGGAACGTGAGTCGGCTATTTCAATCATTCTTCCTTCAACGAAACTCTTTGTCTCCTTCTCTTCTTCTTACTTATTTATTTTTATCTTTTAAGAAATGGTAGAGAATCTTTTTGTAATTGTTTCTCCAGCTCTATTAATGAACCACTCCAATTTCATTAGTACCTCATCACATGCTTTGGAATCATCTAATATATAAATAGAGGAGAGAGAGAAACATAAATTTGTATGTCTAGCTTATCACTAACAAACAAATTGAACAATCATCATCTTCATCAAATTCTTCATTTCATACGTAAGAAGAAGAAAATAGAAAGAGAGAAAACAACAAAAGAAAGAGCTGGAAGATTCGTCACATGCGGATTTAGTTGGTAGAATAAAAACACTAATAAATGGGCCCTTTTGTTTTTTAAAGCTAAACTGAAAGAGACTTAAGAATTACGATAAATACTGGGGGACCCAATGACAATATTACTCAAATACAAAAAAAAAAAAAAATTGTTACTCTTATTGGACTCTCAAATTCAGATAAGAAACGCCTATCTTCTTCACTCTCAAGTCCAGTGGGCCGTTTCACACTCTTTTTCAAACATAGTTTGTCTATAATAAAATCTCATCTTATTTTTCAGTTTCTAAGAGTTTGTTTCACCCTATGATTTATGAATCCGAATACTGTGTCAGGAGCCACCGGAGGATATGTTCATTAACGATCTTGTTTCATGTAAAACGATACATTTTCTAACTATCTGACTTTTTCTTCATTTTTAATTCCATAAATGCACACAAATTAAACGCACTTGTTTGCTTTTTATGTAACAACCGTCAACCAACAATCATGTCAAGGTTTATGAGCTTTCTTGTTCCCTTTAAATTTAATTAAACCTTTGATCAACTTTGAATGTGAGATTCACTCGGATGAATATGTGCTTTGATAGTATGTAAGAAAATCTCGTAATGGTCTTATATTTCTTTTTCGACTGAATAAAAAATTGGATACAACGTTTAGGAACCAAAAAGCCTTGTAAAACAAGAAACAATATGAATCTCCTCATCAAATATATATTGAGAGGAGTAGGAGGAACTAAATTTGGAGACAAAGATCAGAGATTAGAGATCAGAATCAGTTGTCTGCAAACCTTGGGATTTTGGTTTGTGACAGACTGACAGTGAACCAGTTCTGAAGAAAGTTTGAAGCTAATGTTGGAATATATAGTTTGCTTGTAGGAGAGGAAGCTCTAATTCGGATAGTGTGGTCAAGAGTATTCTATGATTGCCAAGCAAGTACTAGGAGGTTCTTATACGCTACATTTCAGGAAGAGATAGGTAGTTGATGATGTCTAGCCATTGGTCTATTTTCTTAAGTATATATCCATTGCCAACAACTATGCAAGTACTATAAAATTTTGTCCTCAAACCAAACGGAAGTGTATCAATCGACCACTTTGCGAGGAGGATGAAGATTAATAAGCCAATTTGCAGAAGATGATACACAAAAAAGTATCAGAAGCTTGATTTCTTTTTATTTTCCAAAGGTCTTTACATTATCTTATAGACCAACTATGTCTAATATGGCAATACTGTTACCTATCCAAAATGTAATTATATCTTACGGAACAATATTCACAAAAACAAAAAAAATAGAAATAGAAAACAAGATATGTAAGACCATCTCCATTGGGAATCCTTGGCTTGGATTTTTAGGTGTTTTGAGGTTAAAAAAAAAAGAAAAGAAATGGGCTTTTAACAAAGATCGTCCCTTATATAAGAGTTTTTAGGGACACTCCTTAATCGACGTGGCATGAAAGGGATTGACTATTTTTGAGAGATTCTCTCTCCTAAATTTATTAACTTTAATTAAATCTTAAATTTATTATTAAAATAATATTAAAGGATCCTTAAAGAATCCTTCTATTGAAGATGCTCTAACAAAATATTTGAAAAATCTTACCACATTTATTGGTACAATATATGTCACTGAAACGTCCAACTTTTGGGTAAACGTATACGTAAGATTGAAGCTCTGTTTATATGATGTAATCTCAAATGTGACATAATTTACTTGTTAAACCAGTAGAAAACATTATATCATCTCAAATGTGACGTGTTCTACTTTATAAATCAGTAGAAAACTAATTTAATGATTGAGTTCACATTGTCACATGCATGGTGACTGGAGAGTAGGGATGTCGTTAAGGGTTCAAAGCCCACGGACCTACCATGTAAAGCATATCTAATAATCTATGAAATAAATTGGGTCCAACATGGTCGATTCGTTTAGGTATACAGGTTTAGCAGTTTTGAACCGCGGGTAAACTGACCATTGTTTTGGACGTCTTGGACTAAGGTTTTGTTTATGCCGAAAAAGAGATGTCATCTTGGAGTTTGGAAATTAATATTCTTGTTCAATCTTTATGGACGAGCCAGCGGCTATACCAAAAGATTCGAAGATTTTAGTCTGCAAATTGATATAGTTCTCGTGTTTAGGATCAATATAGTTCAAGTTATATACTTATATTCATTAGTTTTTTTTTCCCTGACTTGACGTAGCTAGAAACCATACTTCAAATCCTCATGGATTTTATATATGTAATGTTATAATCTTCCAATTCCTTATTAACAAACAGTAGTTATTCAACCTCAGTTTTAAATGTTTGTTACCAAATAACATTTGATTCAACCAGTAGCATAAAAGAAAAATACAGTACAAAATGTTATTAGAGATAAAAGAGTAAAATCTACGATGAGACAAAGAAGAAGATGCGGTAGTTCCATTGGTCATTTTCATTAATCTTTGTTACTGTTGACTTTTTAAAAAGCAAAAAAGGTTCAACACGGGCAAATCTTGGCCATAAAAGATTACATGTGTAGGCTCTCTTGTCAACGGTTGCCGATTGGTTCGTTACGAATCCCGAAAATCCCGTTAGTTCTTGGTGAAGCTGTAGGTGTTTCTCTCTTGAGATTTGAGGGCTGGCCTCGGGAAGATGTTCATGGCGACGAAGATGATAACTCTAGTTCTTTGGAGCTGTGGCAAAACGGGGTGGTCTGTATTTCGGCGTGCGCTACTTTCCCTTCTGGTTTTGTTTCGATTTTATTTTTAGTCTCGCAAACCATTTTCTTATGCTTTCGTTGTTGTTTGCTGCATTTGGTCGGATTTGTTAGTAGTTTTTATTTTCAGTCTTTCTTTGTAATCTCTATAATTTATGTAAAAAATTCGAAAATTGGTAATATAATCTTATTGTTTACCAAAAAAAAAAGTCTTGGACATAAAGCTCAAACGGCCCGTCAATTCTGAAAACATTTGGGTTTAAACGACTAGTTTCATCTTAATGTGTTTGTAGGAGTTTGTTTCACACTTTCACCTATGAATCTATTATATAAAAGTTGGGTTGTGTCTCACAATCTTGACACATCAGCATTTTTCTATGTAACACATCAGTTCTGACAATAAAAATCTGATATTTTAAATTTTAAATAATAATTAATTATATTACAATTAATCGTAAAACATTTATGAGTTTTGGAACTCATTTCATGTCTTTACTACTACCAAATTCTTCTTTGATTCATCAGTCAGAATTTCAATCGGAATTTAAATGGCAAAACCGAAAATCAAGTTTTGAAATTTCACTGAGATTATAAAGAGTTTGTAAGTGAAGGAAGTAAATGTGATCATGACTTTGGCTTCAAAAGGTGGTGATTGCTATCTTAAGATATTGGAGAAGATTTGAAAAAAAAAAAGATATTGGAGAAGGAAAGTCGCACAAAAAATCAGTTAGGGGTTTATGAAGGATTAGGAGTTAGGATCACAATATGATCACCTTTTGTATTCATTATCTAAGTTTTTTGTTATAACATAATTTAGGCAGTGTGTTATTAAAAGATTTCATATTTAGATAGAAATAGAATGTAGTTCCCATAAGGCCATAATTCTTTCTACGCTCGATTCTTGGGGTGCAAGATTTCTGAAAGAACGATAGGTAAGACTAGATTTTTACGTAATTTTAGAAGTTATAAAAAGGTATTTGTACTTTCTTAAATGTGATATGGCGATGTGTAGCTTGCATGGATGTAAATATTTTTTTTTTGTGTGCTAACTGTTAACATATAAAAAAAGTCAGAAAGTTTTCTGCAGTTTAAGCTGATCATCTAAATTTCATGTGCATAATAAAAACCTCCAATTAAGTGATCATATAACTTAAGCTAGAAAACATTAATTATTTTCTTTTTATTTTTTAATATGTGGTCGATTACAACCGAGACTAATTGGAAATTTAGAGTAAAAACTACATATAATTTAAAAATGTGTTTACATTATATATAAAAATAAATACGAACAAATAATTTTAACGTAGATCAATTCATACATTTTATCAAATGACCGCTTCTATACCGAATTAGGTTGTATTTGTTAAGATATTTTTCATACAAGTAAAATATTCCTAAAGTTTAAATTAAAAATCTATCATATTATATAACATAAATTATAATTTATAAAGTATACAAACCCGTGTGTATACACGGGTTTTCACCTAGTCTGGAATACATATATCAGAAGCACATGTCGGATATGTTTTATTTAGTCGATGTAATCCAATGAAAGCACTATACATTTTCTAACAATTTGCTTTTATTCAATGACGAATATCAT